TTGTACTATGACGAGAAGCAAAGTCCATCTGTAATTGCCAGTACTGAAATGTGTATTTATAACTCCATTGAGAAGTGAGTCGCTAATGTCAATCAACACTCAATATTTTGTATGGGAATAGGTGACCTGTAAATGGATAAAGAGCAATGATAATTATTAAGCTCCTAATCTCATAGTCAACCTCCTTCCATGTCTTCATATATTCTATTTTCGACCAAATGTGATGACGATTATTAAAGTTTCATTTTTCCTCCTATTGTACCTAAAGATTATGAGTACCTGGTCATCAGGATGCCTGATAATTAACTAGGTATTTAACAGAGTATGTCGATTTCGCGTCATGACATGTAAAATAGGCAGCTGGACACCGAAATTGGAGTCTGTCGTATGTTTAGTTTGGTAAATTGGTGATACATGCATGTCTTCTCCATTCTGATAAATTATTTAATCCCCCTTCTTTAGGAAGCCTAGTTAGCCCGGAAAACTACCATCTAATATGGATTTCATTTATTCTACTGCACCAAATGAAAACGATTGGTACCAACGGCAGACTCAGCAAGTCTGATCGTGGGTGGGTATGTGTTACCTGCAATACTGATACCATAGTTATGTTGGGTACCATCATTACTTTACTAACAGGTCTGAGAGATAAGTTGTCTAAGAATTCGGTAAATTATAGTATTATGACGGGTAACGAAACTGGAAGGCATAGGGCAAACAAGAAAAAGGATATTGACAGGTCGGTTATCAACGGTTCTGTTAACAGGACGAATGATGATGTGCTGAAACTCAGCACCATCTTAACATCGACTGTCATCGACTCCCTCAGTAAACTTGGGTCCCCCAGGGAGGAGACCTTGAATGAGACAGTCGTCACCAAAAATCCTGTAAATGGTTGGACTCACGTTAACATGAGTAAAAATGCCCAAGCGTCCCCGCCGAAACTGAACATTTCAAGTACCGTGCGGAAATCATTTGATACTTTGGCCGCACAGTCTACCCCCAAGACTGTCCGCCCGGTCATCACTGAGCCCAGTAATCGAAAACGCGCCTCGACATCCAAACAACAAGATACCAAACCTAGACGCCCTGGAAAACGTGGAAAGTCAATTACGGTTCGTGACGACTCTGTCATAATCATGAACCTTATTGACAACCCCGACCTTCCTCTCAATTTGCAGGACAAAAATGATAGGATGCTCTGGGGAGAATTAATCAAGAGGCTTGAACTCCCTAGAATAAAGCCTTTGACTGTCACACGGCTCACTCGGGGGAAGGACTCTAACCACCTAAACCACCCGAGGCTGCTTCGTGTTACACTTAAGAATGCCTACGACATTGAGGACGTCCTGCTAGCCAGTCACTTACTGAAATCCGATGGGAACGTAAGAATACTGCCCGACATACCGTATTCTGAACGAAATCTCATACGGAACATCCCTAAGGAATCTCGCGAGGCGTTTTACCGTGGACGAAATATCATTGTGCAAGATGTACCGGAAAATATGGACCCAACTCAAGCAAACTCTGATATTCAGGAATGAAAATTCATTAAGCATTCCTTAAAACTCAAGAACACATTGACCCAACAGGTAATGCGACTAGCCAAGAGAGATGGAGACTCTAAACCACGGCTGTTGAAAATAACCTTCCCCTCCTCCCACGTGGCGACTGCAACTCTGGAAGCATTTCGTGCCAATAGACGTCGATTGCCAAGTGGCATCCATATGCATCCGGATAGGCCCCACGACAGCAGGATCAAGCACAAACGAAAGCTGGAGCTGACAATTCCACTCATGGACTGTCGTGATCATAATAAGAAACGTGTAAAGAACAGGGACTACCAACTCGGTAAACATCGTATAGGTAGGCTACCTGTCACTCACGCACGGCTCATATAGACAGACAGGAAGAAGCTCACGCTTTCCAAATTAAAAGCATAAACTGCCTATACACGAACGCCGCGAGCTTGCCAAACAAAATGGACAAGCTACGTGAACTTAGCAACGCTAATGATACCCATCTGATAGGAATATCCGAAACTTGGATAACGTCTCAGGTTATGGACCAGGAGCTAGCAATAACTGGAATGTCTTTATTTCGCGACGACAGGAAAACAAGAATGGGGGTGGGGTAGCACTATACATACTGTCATGCCTGAATGCGCACCAACTTCACAACCAAGAGTTTCTCAATCTTGATGAGTCAGTATGGTGCTCAGTAAGATTATCTAACACCTCGAGGTGTCTAGTTGGGGTCATCTACAGGAAGCCCACTGCCGACATCGAGTATGACAAACGTCTGCTGGAAGGATTAACTCTCTCTACGCGTCTCGGATTCTCTCGTATCCTGATTTTAGGGGACTTCAATTTTCCTAGAATCAACTTCGTGGAACATACCTACATTGGGGGTAACAACTCTACTGAAGCTCTGTTCTCCAACCTTATCGGCGACCTGGAATTATCTGAAAATGTGAAGTCGGCAACCCGTTGGAGAAACAGTCAGACGCCGTCACGCTTAGACTGGGTATTCACAAATGAAGAATACCTAGTTGACGACCTCTCAATCCTGGTTCCCCTGGGGAAAAGTGATCACGCCGTCTTAACATTCAGCTTTGTCAGCAAGACGGAGCTACGATATCCTACTGGCAACAAGCGCTGGAACTTCAAACGGTTGAATGTGTTAGCTTTACAGGACTATCTACAACAGGTGGATTGGGATGTTCACCCTCAAATTGAAGTGGATGCTCATTGGGATTTTTTACTGCACACGATCTTATGTGCTACTGAGCATTCAGTTCCTAAAATGGTCCCAAAAAGCTACAAGCAACCTGCAATCATCAAGAACCGCACTCGTCATTTGCTAAGTCGCTAAAGGCGCTGTTGGGCCGAATATAAACGAACTGACAATAACGACGCATACAGGCAGTACAAACATATAAGGAACATATGTTCAAAGGCAATAAGAGAAGACAGGCTTCAGTTCCAAACCAAGCTTATCGATAAATTCGTCTCCAATCCGAAAAGTTTATTCAGTTAAGCAGCTTCTCTTCGACAAGGCAAAACTGGAGTTTCCCAACTGCTTGGTCCTAATGGCCCGACCAATAACGACAGTGATGCCGCCAACCTTTTGGCTGAACAATACTCCCAGACATTCCAGCTGGCCCACATCAACTATACTGACGAAAGCTTCACCTGCACCTGTACAGGACTTTCCGAAGTGGATCTGAGTGCCGACCTGGTGCTCCGTAAACTGCAGCACCTAAGAAAAGACACTTCTCCTGGTCCGGATACGGTTCATTCCACTGTTTTGAGGGAAGCAGCTTCAATCCTGGCGACACCACTTAGCGTGATGTTTGCACACTCGCTAAGCAGAGGCAAACTACCGGAAATTTGGAAGCTGGCCCACATCACACCAATTTTCAAAGGAGGTCGACGCAGTGAACCCTCAAGCTACCGACCAGTGGCCCTTCTCTCCATACCTTCAAAAATTACGGAATCCCTAATATACGACGGTATACAAGAATACTTATCATCCTCAATGTTCTTCTCACCTCAACAGCATGGTTTCAGAAAAGGTTATTCTTGTATGACCAACCTGCTGACTGCGGTGGATAGATGGACAACCATCCTCGATCGCAAGGGGAAGGTTGACGTCATCTACCTGGACTTCTCAAAAGCTTTTGATAGGGTCAACCACGTATGTCTTATCAAGAAGCTTAGACGATTGGGTAAAAAAACCTTTAATTGATTGGCTCTCTTCATATTTAGAAAACTGACACTTTAAGGTCAGGGTTAACTTCACTCTGTCTAAGGCTATGGAATTTCCTAGTGGGGTCCCCCAGGGCTCAATACCGGTACTTATTCTCTTCTTGATTTACATTAACGATCTTCCTCAACAGGTTTCATCTGACTTACTGCTTTTTGCTGATGATGTGAAACTTTGGAGAGAGATACGTAATCATAATGGTATACTAGTTCTTCAGGAGGATCTAAACCAACTTCAAAGTTGGGCAGACATCAACGGACTTACCTTCAACACTTCCATCTGAGACATGTTGCAGACTATAGTTATAACTTAGGTAACTCCCCTCTAGAAGTTTCCCAAGTCGAAAAAAAATAGGAGTGTTGGTAAGCTATGACCTGAAATCGTACGCGAACTGTGACAAAAACGCCTCTCAAGCAAACCTTGCACTGGTAACATTGAAGCGCATTTTTGGCCAGTTTGACGATAGAACCTTCCACATGATCTTCGACAGTTTTATTCGTCCCCATTTAGAGTACGGAAACATAGTATTTCCTCCCTCCCTCCCTCCAAAAGGATAAGGACACTCTGGAACGTATCCAACGTCGAGCCACGAAATCAGTTCGGGGACTCAAATTCAAACCTTACGAAGAGCGCCTCCAATCACTTAACCTTTACCCGTTAGAGTACAGGCGTCTTAGAGGTGACCTTCTTATGACTTACAGTATCCTTATTACTTCTGGTCATCCCCTTAAACATCTTCTTAAGCTTAGTCATAACACTAACCTCAGAGGTAACACACAGAAATTGGAGACCCTACATAGCAGAACAGACTGCAGACACAACTTCTACTCCGTTAGAGTTGTCAGGTGCTGGAATTCGCTGCCGACTGAGCTAGTTCAAGCGACTTCCCAGGAGTCCTTTAAGAGGAAACGTGACTTATTCTTAAGGACTAAGGATAACATATTATTATGATTTACCAAATTCTTTTTTTCCTCTATTATCGTTAATATACCTAGGTTTTTGCCTGGAGGTATTGGTGATCCACTGCTACTAGACACGGAAACCCGTTAAGCGAAAGCTTCTTCTATTCCGTCCTCAACCATTTGAACCATTTGGACAATATCACCAGTAGGAGAACGGTCATGCATTTGTTAATTTGTTAATTAACAAACTAACTTCAATTATGTTCTGAGATAGTTTTCGATTGCGAAAATTACTGTTTAAAGGTCATTGGGCATCGAAATGACCTACAAGTTATGACGGTACCAATTTAAACTGCATCGCCGACCTTGTGGGTGTTGGTAGACTAATCGTATTTCGGGAACGAAATAGAAGCATCCTTCGGACTATTTTTACCTGGTTATTATTTATCTCATAAATTATCCGTTTTCCTCTTGAAGGAGCTACGTGATTTCACCAATACTATTATCCTTGTCAAGAATACTGTCTTTTGAACACTCCAGCACCAAACTGAAATGTTGGTGTAACTGGGTTTATTTATTTGTAATTCTCGGACCAATGTTGTCTCCTGAAAGGTTACCAGTCTTTGGTGGTTGGAAAATATGAATTTACTTAATCTCCTAACTTTGGGGAAGCTATAGCTATGGCAAAAATGTGATTAAAAACCTAAATTTCCCCTAGCCTGTGTTTTTTCTTCAGCTTACTTGATAGAAACCCACAAATTGTAGAAAAACAATTGTAGTTTTCCGTAAAGTTCACCCAGAATTCTCATAAGCTGTGGGGAAATCCACTGAACTTGACTGACAATTCCCAAACTTTCTGATTAAACCTTTCCTGAAACTTAAACTCACAAAAGGTCTCTCAGGAAGTAAGCATTAATTTATGTACACAACAGGTTATAGGCTAGTGAGAAGAATCGATAACTCTTCTCTTCGAATACTGTAAAACTAATACAAGACCAATGGTGAAACTAAGAGTTGACAAAGATAATAACATTCTTTTAAATAAGTCACCATCATCTGGCCAAGCAATTACAATTTATAAATCTAGCAGTAACTTACATTTCTAATGAAGATCAAACTAAATCTTGGATGTCTTTTCTATGTGTTTCTTATTGTCAGCTATAGTACGAACTAGTACAATCTGTAATTCACGCATATACCGCAGGAACAATGTGTGAGGACTTTTGTACTGATAAGTGATCAGTTCAGTCAATAGCAAGTTATGACTCAACTGGGATTGCTTAGCTAATGATCACCATCATTTTTAACGTAACTAAATTTCATACTACTGGGATTTGTAAAAGCTAAAACTGAGATGAACTCACCAGTTTCCAAAATCAATAGAAATCGCACTTCGTAGTTAGGCTTCATTATTCCATGTCCTTCGGTTTTATAGTTACAAACTACACAATGTTGGTTTTTTATTTATCATAATCTATCTAAAGTGCCTATTTTTCGTTCTTCAAGAGTTATTTTAACTTCAATGTGGAGAATGTTACACTTTTCAAAACCGCGCATTGTACTCAGCAGTCTGTCTTGCATTACACACTGTGGCCGTTACTTTAGTCCTCCCAAATCTGAAACTCTAAAAAAGCAATTATTGGAACGTATTAACACTTTTGGACCCTTAACTGTATCTGAATACATGAAAGAATGTTTATCTAACCCATTATATGTAGGTTGTAAGAATTTCCCGTGAATTACATTTCAGGGTTATTATAATACACACAGTGTTTTCGGAAAATCTGGAGATTTCACCACTTCACCTGAAATATGTCAAGTCTTTGGTGAGGTAATCATTTTTTTTGCCTAAAATACGCTAGTAGTTAATAGGTGTATGGTTGCTGGAAGAATGGAAAAGACAAAACAGCCCCAAACACTTACAACTCGTTGAACTTGGTCCAGGACGTGGCACACTTTGCTCTGATATACTGAGGGTTTGTTTGATGAAAATGCAATGTCTTTAATTTAATGAATCATTTATGTCATTATTTATTTATTTTATCTGAAAACCTGGCGTATCTTAGCGGTTTAAAATTAGTTTTGCAAAAGTACACATAACTAATCAACGTTGTTTGGTTGTCGGTAATCGACCTGACCCAGGAATCAGTAGAATTTTCACAAAAACATCTGTAAATCGTTGTGTGATTTATTTTCAAATACTTAGAAAAACTTTACTGCTTTTGCTCCGATTGTTTGTGGATATTCGTTCGTAATCAAACCTAGATAAAATAAGAATCTATGTTGCTACGTTTGTAACCTTTGTATTACCTAAAATTGATGGCTTTAACACAGATAGATTCATCTTTTATTTTCCCTTGCATAGTAAGTTTAATAATTACGTTAAACAATTTACGTTGACACAGGTTTCTAAATGTAAAGCGGCGGTTTAGTAGTCAACCCACTGATTCACACATGCAAGCACCTCATCCAAATACTATCATTATTCCTTTCTTAGTGAAAGTGTTCACCAAAGCTGAATGCATGAACCTGTATATGGTTTTAATGAAGGTGGTATTTACTAACAGTCTCTTAGCAATTTATAGCTATACCACTGAATAATTTAAATAATAAAAGTTTGTTAGTTATTGAGGTTACAGTATACTATATGGGTAATCCAGTCAGAATTAAAATGAGCTTCGAATGTTTGAACGATTTTCAAAAATGAGTGGCTTCTATCTTTCACTACATGTGTGATGGTAATGTCTTATTATAGACCTCAGAAAGTTTTTATAACTACCGGATAACTCACTTTCCTACACAATGTTACATAACATGTAAACAAATCACTTTTCTTTGTTTATGATAAAACTACAAAGTAATCATTTGATTAGTGTTTAACTGAAGAATAGGTGAGCTGGTGAAGTAGGAATATCAAACTAGATACCGTTTATTACACATGGATTTCTCATATCAGAATGGGGACAGTGATAGCTTTCCTATAACTCGGTCTTCCTGACTCTTCGGAGAAGTTAAGAACAAAGATTTTGTAGGTAATAATGAAATCCCTGGGAAACATTTATGGTTTTAAGAACGAATCAAAAACAAACCTTTTAGCCTGAAAAAGTTTGCATCCAGATAAACGAGGTTATGTGGCTGTATTCCTACTATATTAAAATCGGAGAACTGATAATAGCCATCGATAAACTAATAAACTTCCTAAAACTACTTATTTCTGATAGATCTGGTGATTTTTGTTGCGAAATACTTCTTATACATACAGGTCCTCTGCTCATTGACTGAAAAATAGCTTAAAAATCAAAACGTCATTTTAAAGATCCCTCGATTTCGTCCACATACCATACTTTAGCCGTTGGTAAATTACGTACATGAAATGTATCCTAATCAATTGTATTTCATTTTATTTCAGGTTTTTTCCAAATTCCCAGAGATATATTCAACATTATCAATACACTTAGTTGAAATAAGTCAATCAATGCGACAGACTCAAAAGCAAACAATAGAAAAAACTCTGTCACATTTAAATAATAAACCCCCGCTTATATTTTGGCATACTGACCTACAACAAGTTCCTGAAAATTTCTCATTTTTTATAGGTCACGAATTTTTTGATGTGCTTCCAGTTCACCGTTTTCAAGTAAGTTATCATATATTGTCATGACTTCATAAACGCTTACGGGAATCTGTTCTTATTTAAGTAGTTGATAAAAATCTAAAGATCATGTAATAAATGTGCTATTTTTATCCTTATAATCCTATACTTCTCATTATGATTATGATCTTCTATACGTGTGTATCCTCTACAATTGGTCTCGTTTATTCCACTAACCATATATGTTTTGATGTTTATGTGTATGTGTGTACTCATCCTATCCACTGTCTATTCTGTGTATAAACTTATACAAAATTATTCAGCTATCTATCTAGCGTGCCAACTCCATCTTGTATACGTTCCTATTTTCTTCTAGTCTTTCTACACTTATACAATTACCTGAAATTTTTATGTAATATTTCATATGTCGGCCTTTAATACTGCGTCGCATATACGTCTCAAGTCAAGGAACTTATACGAAATTAATCTGATATATATCAGAGACCAATATGCATTGGAGTCAGATCTCCCACTAAAATATTCATGCGATTATTATTATTGTTATTATTGTTATCATTATTATTTTAACTCATTTACACAATATGATAGCAATATGCAGTTATGACTGTTTGTTTGCCTTATCACTCTCGTTCGTTTTATTTTAGAAACATGAAGGGAAATGGCACGAAGTTTTAGTGAGCTCTAGGATGAATTCTAATAGCTTATGTTTTGTACGTTCAAGCACAAAAACTCCAGCATCAATAGCATATCTCCCGGTAAGCTGCTTATTTCTATCTTAGGAACTATGTATTGAATTCTTCGGTAATGAGCTAATCGTCGCGATATTGTAGGCTTCATCATTAAGTTTAAACAACGAAGTAATCGTTAGACCGTTGTATAATATTTACGTATGTTTCACAAAAAAGCTGAAACTATAATTGTCATAATTTATGGACAAATGGAATTGAAGTTTCATATCACACAGACTGATTTTGGTTAGAAAACTATTGAAGAACTAAAAGACCAAGGACAGCTGTTTTGTTCTAGCATGAGATTCACCAATCACCTCACAAGAAGTCAAACCCAGGATATTAATGTCTCTTAGTGAGCAACTGACGTTTAGATCACTGACTTAAAACCTAGTGGTTTACACTCCTAACTTCACTCTGCTCACAGTATTGTGTGACCGTTACTCATGGCTATTAATTATATTTGTCATAGTTGAAAGCATGAGTCAATTGAAGCTAGACCAACTTGGTGGTCTAACCATAGTTCGTGATGTAAAATTACAAACTCAGAAACTTACACAACAATCTAAAATAAAATTGGAATTACGCCGACTTTTGATAGGTCACTAAATATACTACTAACAGATCTAAAATAATGAGCCTTTAATCAGAATTTAATTGTAGAACAATTTGCTGAGCACCTAGATGCTAAGACATTTTCAAGTGAAAAATTATCCGAACATTCATTTTTTTAAATATAATCCCGTAGTATGTGATCAAAACTAATTTCTCCACATAGATCTAAAGTGTTATAAACACTAGCATTTTACTTGTTTAATTTTCGTATTAAGTCGCATTCTAAATTGAACTTCATGTATTCATCTTAGGACACAAATAACCTACCCAATAATTAAAATTTTGTCCAAAATTAACTTCTTTGAGACTAAAAATCAAACAGCCCAACTATTTTACTTGTGTGATTGTCAAGCAGTGCACTCAATAAGTTAAGTGAGTAATGCTGAGGTTGGACTCAGAGTAGTTGGTTGAGATGGCAAGTTATTTGATGAAGTAGTGAATCTTGATTGAATGAGGTGGTTGGAAAATGTATTGTACATGCCTAACAACAGTCTAATGCTTGCGCTATCTGCTGATGTGGAAGTAGATTTGAAGTAAGTCAATAATAGCCAAACTAAAATCTGACATCAGTTCGTGAAGTCACTGACTATTGAACTAAGGCTTGTAAATAAATACAGACCGGGTAAGGTCCACGAGATTATCGCAACTGATGGTATGAGACATTGAACGATATGGTTTAAAATCGGTCTCAATGGCTCATATGCATTCAGTCTTTTTCGGCAAATACTTATACCTTTTATTTCATAAATTTATCTTCTCATATCATAATATTTATGCCTAATCTTTTGTTAGTACTATCAATACTATTGCTGCATATAGTGATCTGTCATTTGTCTTGAGAATTTCATTTCGTTATACTGATTACTACTAGTAATGCACTTATTTGAACTCTAAATTGATGATATTCAGTTTTATTTCAGCTGTCAAATCAGATAGCTTCAACTTCACTTGAATATTATCATTTGAAATCGAAAAAATCACAATATTTTTTTATTACTTCTCAGAATCTAGGATTTACTTACATTCGAAGTAATGTGATTAATATCAAATAGCCAATAGTAATCATGGACAATAATGAAAATGCTTGTTTTAATAGGACTGAATAATTACTGACAATATTGATCAATAAAATATAGTAAAGAAATTGTATAACATAATAGTTACTTACATGTAATATAACCTTGTAGTACCGTGCTTCGTTAATAGTTCACCTCGATAACCGTTATAATACAGGTCTTAATGGTGCATAATATCAGAAGGCAAATAGAAGCGGCAACTACAGTTTTATTGACAAATGACACAGGCCAGAAAGTTATAAGCACATGGGTAAATATCAGCTAGCGAAACAAAAATGTGATACGCATTGAAGATGGTGGGTAAGCCAACTCACTTTAATCAAGCGTTAATCAATATTTATAGTCAGACAAGAATAAATTACAAACATGTGATAAATAGGATAAGAAGTGTTCACACACCTACTCTCATACAAAAATGGTCAGAGTTAATAAGTGAATAATGAACAAGGTGAAAACATGACTCATGATGGACAGGTGAATTGGCTTGTCCAGAAGCTATAATATGGTATATGGGTTTGGCATATCAACCGCCACCACAACCGTATTAAATAAGTCTCACAAATAGCCGAACTAATGTATGTGGTATATACCTCTTTTTAAAATTTCTACTGAAACAAGACATAAATCAAAGTAACCATTTGTGATAGTTTATACGATAAAACAATGTCAATCTTTATCTTCGTTTTGCGTTGAATATGTTGCTTTAGTGTACGAAGCTATTGCCAAAAGCTACCTATTTTTTGTATTATAACTTGCAATTTGGTAGCCACATGTAAAGCTAATGATTATATAGTGTCTTTCCATAGATATTTGTGTCAGTTTAGTGACTAAGGCACTCGACTTTCAGCCACCAAGTCCCAAGTTTGGACTCGAATCTACTTATTTCGGTTCACAAAACCGTGTAGTATCATTAACTTCAACATTTAAATTGTTTCACACCCAAGTACCTGGTTACCAAGTTAATTAATCAGATTTTTAGTATTAGATAATTGTATTTTTTCAATTATTTTCTAAAGTTAGTTCCTAATCTGCCGAACCGAGACTCTGTGGAAGTCTGTCCTGATATGATATGTATCGCACAATTATTATGCAAACGAATTAATAAAACGGGTGGTAGTGCACTATTGATTGATTATGGTCATGAAGGTGAAAAAGGTGATACATTTCGTGTAAGTCAAAGTCTTTGCATATGTCATTTAATAATATTCAGTATTATTTCATGTAATTTGTTATAAAGATTAAGTTGATATGATAAAATACTGAAATGATTGTGAGGTGTTAGTCAAAATTATAATTCCTTCATAAAATCTATCACCCCCAAATCTCAACTGAATCAATTTCAGGGGACAACATCACCTGACCAACTAACTGAATATATAGAGGATATATATTATAATGTATTTAAGATTTCTCAGTTATCTAAACAATACTCAAATAAAATAGTGTAATTAATCAGCCAACAATTGAATAATCAAAAGATTGAAATAAAATTAAACGAAGTTTTACTTCCGCTTATTCTATCAAAAACTTAGTTTAGGAACTTTTAGTGCCCCAAAATCTGACTCCAGTTAGATCGCTTCTGATGGTTATAGAATGATTGCTGTCGAAATACACATATCACCAATCCTCGTACATAATTACCGACTGAAACCGTGTTAATGAATAACAAAATGAAATAAGTCAAATACAAGAATAGGTTTTTGAATACGTAAATCTCGTACAATCGTTGATCAGAAAGTGAAACGAAACGAAATGACGCCTGGTGGAGAAGATTTGTAGCTCAGGTGGGTGATTTTTATGTTGGTTTGTTCTCTGAGCTGGATGGTTTGGTCGTGGAGCTTTCATCGTCCTTCTGAACGACATCATCAGCACAAACTTCGGGTAGACTTCTACAGTCAAGGTTGACAAGTGAATAATTGACAAGGTCAAAATGCGACTCAAGAAGAATGAATAAATTGGTCGATCAGGTAGCTAGGATAAAATACATGGGTTTGCTGTAGTAACTGACACTACAAACTTCTCTGTTGTGTTTCGGGTTAAAGAAGTTTATCAAAGTGATTTTGTATGTCACATACAAATGCTTATTTAAATAAACTTGTTTGATATATATATATATATATATATATATATATATATATATATATATATAATAGTGCGGTTATGACTCTGTACTTTGGATAGTTGATTGGTAACTTCAGTCTCTACATTTAATTCAACTTATTCACGAGGTACAAAATCTTGCACTTGGCTTTAGACCACATTGTATATATTCGGTTAAGTGATACTACCGATGGACCAAGCCGGAATAGGTGATGAAGTATTCGAACCTAGGAATTAGTCGCTGAAAGAAAAATGTTTAACCACTGAGTTACCATTGTTTACACAGTCGATGTATTTATGTATAAATCTGCTCTGAAAGACATTTTTTCTCATTACAACACCACTAATACATCCTCTCTTTTATTTTCCTTACAGGGTTTTCATAAACACTCAGTTTGTGATCCTCTCATCAATCCTGGTCACACTGATCTAACATGTGATGTTGATTTTAGTATTTTATGTCATGCAGTCAAAAACTCCGATGCTAAAGGTTTGTTTATTATTTAATTTTTTATTTTATTCCATGTTATTCCGGTTTATTTCTTTTTATAAAAATTAAATTAATGCTTTCCCGTTCAGCTTATTTGTTTCAGTGGTTAATTCTTAATTAATTATTATGATTATATTATAGTAACAAAAACTGTTTGCATAGATTTCTTTGACATTTCCCCTCTTACTAATATTATTGATTATCAAGTTGATATCATTGATCAGGAAATGAATAGGGGAGTTGCTAAGGTGACAGCTCAGGTTATCTAGTTTTTTCTTGTTACTATATGCCGGTTTTTCCTTTAAATATTACCTGGGTGACATTTTGTAACGTTTACATTTTGGTAGTTTCGTGTCTGACCTGAAGGTACCTTGTATGTTGGGAGAGTGTATGAGAGAATCCGACAGGAAAAAGGTGTGGCGATAACTCAATGAACACATAGAATGCACTTACATTTAATAACGAAAGCAATCGACAACATTTGGAAGTAACACTAACCTTAGATTAAAAAGATCTGATAATTGAAACTAGAAGTTGATAGCGTAAAGTCTCGAACGCGTTGCAATTTCTCTAATTTTAGTATCCATAATGACGTTTGCTGTTGTTCGATTGGTTGTTATTACTCTTAGTTCGCTTTTTTACGTGTTCCAAGTTCATTTCATATTACCATATCAACAGAGTTGTCGCTTTTCAATATCTGACTTCTGTTGGGAATATAAAGCTAGCTTGAAAGTTCTGTCTTCTCTATCTTACACTAGCTTATAGATTATTGACGTTAAAGTGTTGCTGTATCTCAAACATCCAGCATAGTATATTTAAGTTTAAATTCTTTCTCTTACTTCCGGGTGTGGGCCCCTAAGAAAACCACTTGCTTCAGTTTGGGCACCTGGGCAGTATCACAGCCCTCAAGCAAATCGAATGAGATTTGTATGGCGCATATGTATCTGGTGCTTCCTTGTACCAATATTTATGTGTTTAAATAAATAAAATAAAATAAAAACTTATTAGAAGATTCTCAGTTGTTCATAAACATGGTTTACCGTAGACCAATCGGAAACTACAATGTTTCGTTATTATCATTATTTGATGGTAGCCTAGCGTTTTAAGTACTTCATTATCAACCATTTAGTTTTGGGTTCAAACGCAATAATGTCCATTCAGTTTGGTCAAGTGATTAATATCACAGCCTTCACACAATAAAAAAATACAGCTTGAATCGCGTGCATAAGGCTATACTTAATAAATGATTTACAACATGATCCTCAAATGTGTACGATGACATATCTAGTTGTCTTAAACTACAACATGGCTAATTAATTGCACTTGAAAGCGTATAACTACCGAACCTTTACTCAAGAAAAATAATAACGGGTCTCATTAACCAATAAGACCTTTTAGTTCAATCATCGAAATTCTCGAATTTTAAACCTGTTTTGAATTAAACTACTGTATTGTACCATAAATTTATAACCTTAGTACATAATTCTGTACAGGTATATTAGATTCTTTTCAGTACTTTCATCCAGTAAGTCACACACAACGTAGAATCTGGCACATATGTGCATTGATTAAATTTGCCACACCACCTCACCACAGCGGAATGCCTGAGCAACAGAAGCGGTAATTATATCGGTCGTTGCAGAAGAGGTTACACTTAGACGAAATGATTCTGTAAGGAAGAATAAATTCTCAGGATAAAAAAGTACGACATAATTTCAAAAATCAGCACCTTAGAGAAGACAAAGACTGAGACCATTCACGCCGTTGCGTACGATTATAAGTCATTTCACCCTATGTTTTCAACCACTAACTACAATAATCGTGCGAACCCCAACCAAGTACGTTTCACTTGTATACATGATTTAGTCCAACGGTCAACGATGTCATGGACTAACACCACATCAAGTAACTTAACTCCCTTTTTCATTTTTCTCTACTTCACATCTCTGTTAATATTTTAACAAGTGAAATTTTCTTTTTCCTAATACTTTAGTAAGACTTCATGGCCCTGTAACTCAAGCTTATTTTCTTATCAATATGGGTTTATTCACCCGATTAAAGGTAACAATTGATAAGTGGTTGAATTTTTGATTGTCTCTTTATGGATTTGCTTTTTCATATTCATCACATTATTTAGGCATTTAAAAATTATTAATGTTATCTACTTGGAATTTAAGTTAATTTCAACAAAAATACTTCAGCTTTGCTAATAGTATGATTTAAAACACAAAAATTATTTCCCTCTTTTAGTCAGTCACATGCTTTGCCCCCAAATGCCCTGGTACGGCCAAGAGTGGGGAAGGGCCACCCTCCCTCTCAAAATGCTCTCACATGGTCACGCGTATATAGCCTCTGCCACGGAAGTTCTACTCACTGTCTTCTCGTGGCGGGGGTGTTGTTTACGAAATTGAGAGGACGAAAAGCGGATATCCGGCGCTTTAACCGGGTTAGCGGACACAGAAAGTCCACCTAGGGGAGTTGGAAAACCCTGATTCCAAACCAATGATGCACATGGGCTTCAGGATCCTGATGGAACAAATAGTATATGAATCAATCGTTGGTCACCGACTACCGTGGGACTGCATCTCCTCATGATGCTCCACTGTCTTGTGGGTTAGACCTTTAGGTCAAAGGCTTGGGATGTGGCCCCCTAAAAAGACCGCGTGCTTTAGTTTGGGCACCTGAGCAGTATCACAGCCCTCACATAAATCAAATGAGATTTGTGCAGCGCATATGTATCTGGTGCTTCCTTGTACCAATATTTATGTGTTTAAATAAATAAATAAAATAGTCAGTCACATATAAACCGGATCAGTTACTCAAGATTTTAGCCGAACAAATTCATTAATTGATTGTCAAGTCATATAGTTTGACCAGTAAAATATCTCGTTAGTCATTCCGAAAATCCTGGTTCAACTCTAGTTTCAACGTATATTCTTGTTCACTTATTATTATTTCACTCATATCGTCGCATATTCTTGTAAGTGATCTTCTCTGTGGATTGATACGATTTAAGGTGATGTTGAAATATAAGGAACATTAAATAACTGCTTTGTCCTAATATTTCTGAAAATGCATGTCAACGTTTGCTCAGGACATTTAAGTCTCATAGTGAACATGATACCTGTAGATTACTAACGACATGAAAACCAGTGGTTCATAGTTCCAATTTCAACAAATTCGCAACATCGTGTAACTACTATTCAGTGTTGTCGGTAACGACAGTTATCTTATTTCCGGCATGGCTTGATTTTCAATGATAGTTCAAATGATGTCAATCTGTGACAAATGCTAACTGCAAATTAATCTCCACAGTTCCTTTAATTGAACAGATTTTTACCTAAAATATAAGTTATCATATTATGTCTTAAGCATCTATTTTAGTACTCTTTTGATTAATGTACAGAGCATAATCCGATCTGTACTGATCATGAAGACTGATGAATAAAATACATTTACCTACGAATCTAACTACCGTTTAGTCCTCATGACGATCATGTTGAAAACAATGAATACCCTTGTTCCATTGTACATATAGATCCAGCGAGTATTAAATGCTTTTAAAGTTATAATATAGGTAGGAATGTTAACCGGTGATACAGAATTCATTGTTTAATTATAGCATAATCAGGTGTGCACTTGATCCGAAGTAGTGGTAATAAATAGTACGATCACCCTTCACGTGGATAATAGATGTGCAGTTCTTAGTTTCAGTATATGTAGATATGCATGAATGATGAATTGCTTCATCAGATAAGATGAAAATTTATTTGAATCAATATCTCTCTACTGTGTTTTTCAGCTTTTAATAATAATAAACTTATCACTTCACATATATTGGTCGTTCGAATCTTTCCAGTGTTGTTTAAGACTAGTTGATCAATCTGTTCTGGGATAAGTTCATCCTGTGCGGATTGCCTCGATATTGTCGTTAAGTTACAAGCACTATTAAACAGAGATGGATAGTGATTAGCATTGGAATTCAGAACTCACGTTTCGTCTTATTTGAAATTCCCAATCTGAATGCGCTAACATCCTAAAGTCAATGTTCATCCTGTGGCTTGAACTCAATATCATTCGCTTCAAACTCCATCTCTGCTTATAATAAAATTATTATCTTAAGATAAAAGGTTTGCGGAAGTTGTTCAGCTCGAAGTCGGTTTACGTCATGGAGACTGAAATCAACATTCGATGCTCATCTTGTGTTGGTTTAAGACCCTTCAGTAGTGTTGACTTTATAACCGTATACATGTGATTATACTCAATGATTTTCACTGCTCATAGTGAGTAAGATATTGGTAAATCGGTTACTCGAACGCTAGCTAATAACTTCTTAGCTGTTCCATAGATCTCCGGAATTGTTTTAAAATTCACCGCTGGATGCTAGGTTCAAAGTAAGAGCAGAAGCTTTACTTTAAGATTAGCTAATGTACAGAGAAAAATGCTTTTATGGGTTTATTGGAGGCCTTTGACACCTGGAAACTTATGTAAGGATCCTGAACTTTGCGACGAGATGAGTAATCATCTAATCAGTGTCAATTTTCTAAAAGTTTCTAAGGTGTTTCCACTAAATGCTAATTTCACAATATGTTTTTAGCCTTTTCCTGACCTCTGAAAAAATTATTGAGGAATTCTCAGGAAATCTCAATAGACATTTACTCAGAATCTAATGATTCCTACTCTCAATAAAGCTACAGATTGTCTCATGTCGTATTCAATATATTTACTTGTTTGTTTGTTTTCGCTTACTACATTTACTCTCTATAGGTTTTATTGTCTAAATGTGAATCAGAACAACAAAAAGATGAATTGTTTTCAGCGTGTGAAATCCTCGTCACCAATGAACAAATGGGTAGTCGATTCAAATTCGTTGCAATAACCCCTGAGTTAAAATCAGATTCCGCTGGTTGTGAGCAACAACTACCTGGTTTTACTCCATTATCTGGTACACCATATGCACAGCCGGATTCTGTATAAATAATGTGTTTTTTTTGTATAAATTCCCTTGTTTATTTATCAGCTAAATTACTGAACTCAATCTCCTAACTTTGTACATATAAACCTCAAATATATATTTATTATTGTATATATGCATGATCAGATGATGAGTTCTTTTTCTGAAATTCATATCTTTAATAAGTTTAATGGTATGTTAGTTATATGCTGAATATTGATTGTTTTCAACACAAGTCAATATTCCATCCTGAAGCCTTCTGTTACTGGATATCTAGTGATTTCATGTAAACTTCACTGTATCTCGTCAAAATCAGTACATGAATATGTTCTAATTGCAATATAAGTAGATCTTTTAAACACGTTTATTCGTATTAGCGCTTAATAAACTTCACTATATCGTCTATCAATTATATACCTAATAGTAATAATAATACTGTAAATACCGTAGTTTATTTTTGAACAACTTAATCATATCTCAGAAAAATGGTACTGACACTGATAAACTAGTTTGAATAATTAAGTGGTTAAGATTTAGAAATCCTTACAAAATCTACTTTGACCTAAATGTGAAACAAAAATAACCGTGAACTATTCAGTTCAGTTATCGTTAAAACGTCTTCAGATAATAATAATAAAGGTTCAGTAAGATGATATGTAGTAAAAAATTAGGCTGATGCTTTCCTTGACAAAATTCTATAATTATTTGAAATTAATTCATCAGTAAGATTTTCAATCATATAAACAAGTTAGTTCATAAACAGTTAAACTAAAGTTCATTATTTAAAGTAATAATTCATTTTTCACGCTCAATATAAATCTTTCAACAACAACAAAAAACGGTTAAACGTTATGAATTAAGCTCCAAGAGACTGATATTCAACACTAGTTATTACAAGACTCTCATGAAAAACTAGTAACTATGTATTAAGTTAGAAAATATGTGATTTTACATAAGCTATTTCACATGTAAAGAGCAGTAACTAGATAAGCTATAAATACATTCAAAATAAAACTTCATAATTTTTGTTAGGATGTTTAGAGTCATTTTAAGACAATGTATGTATTCCTGAACTACGTATTACATTTATTAGTACGTACGAAGCAGTATTTCAATGATTGAGGTACGCTCAGTCTTCAATCATTAAGTCGTCGACATATTCAAAACATCGTAGATTAAAGCTGAGTACACAAACCTGTACGTAGTAAGCAACTTACGTTGATTTTTTAGTAAACTAGATTTTGGGGGAATCACGAAAACAAATTATCTCTAGTGTTTATTTGATTACAAGGAGATCAACATATTCTATTTCTAATTTAATTGCTATCAAAAGCTTAAGTTCAAGAACTGAACGGAACAACTCGGTTAATTTTAATCTAAATACTAAGAAACGAAGTATAACATACGTTACACTTGAATTAACACGACAGGATTGGTAAGGAAACTCCCACTTTATTTTGCTTTCGCAGTTATTGGGAGCTAGTTGTACAGTTATTGAAAAATACAGTCCAGAATTTTATTTTGCGTTAATGAGTTCACTGTTGCGTTAACGTTTCAAATCTCAGCTAATTGATGATGATATATTGGGTAAAAATAGTCTCTCAGCAGCATAGATCTACATTGGTTTGTAACATTTTTCATACAACTTTTGCTAAGTAATAGATTAATAATGTTCAACTTGACGCTATCTGATACTTCTCTTGAAAATTCGAAACACAACTCTGTTTCGTTCAACATACAGTATAAATTCACTTAGTATTGTTTGCTTAAATCTTCTCATTGATGTTTAGGACTGCAATTGATCGGTCTCTGCTTAACATACAATATGCTATAATTTCGTTCTATCTCTGCTTGGGCTAATTTTATTTTCTAGATAGATCACATTCTACATCGCATGTGCACATCAGTAACGTGCAAATGTTGGTGAGATATTGCCAATGGATTATTCTCCTAACCAAGTTTATCACCCACACATTCTCCTGTTTATATATATTCTAGTTATCATTTTTTGGCTTATCATGCAGCCACAGTCGTTTATATTCTGGAAAACTGGTTGATTAAGCATAAAAATGTGCGTTAGTGACCTAATCAAAACCTGTACAACATAAGTCATTTGAATTATCTAAGTTCAAATACTTTGTTTTAACAATATTTATGATGAGAGTATTTGCAAATTATGCACTCTATATAAAGAAGCTATTAGTACCGTAGAATAACCAATTATAGTTAAATGAAATGATTATATTGTTTAAAAAAACGACACCCCCAAAAAATCAAACACTCTCTTCATTGAAATTTCTTCATTTTGTAAAATAAAAATTCCCAACTATAGAGAGAATTTTCCACAATAGTCACAAATCGAACATCTAACAAACAAAGATAATAGAGACTATACATATATACAAACTAAGAATTATATTGAATACAAAAAATGTTCAACGAATGATATAAAATACCACGCTTATATCATAATAGTTATTTGTATTTCAGAAAAAAATTATTAATGAAATCCATCAATAACAATTACTTGCATAATATTACCAAATTTAATACCATGTTATTACTCACTGATGTTCATTTTATATAGTTGAAATCATGAATCAGTCGAAGCTAGACCACCAGAGAAAACCTGAAAGCACTGGACGACCGTCTCGTCCTATTGTGGGACTCCTCATCAGTGCACATCCATGATCCCGCCTCACGAGATTCTAACCCATGACTTATCATTAGTCTAACTTCGATTGGCTCATGATTTCAACTATAAAATTATTAAAATCTCCACAACATTCCCTTCTGTTAATGATCATATGCTCACTAGTGACTGGCTTCAAGAGATATTTCCTGGAGTTCTAGTGAGAAGCAGTAACCAGTGGAGTTCAACAAGGTCTGTTTTGAGATATCAACTCGCTGAAGACAATGGTGAATGGTTTTTCTATTTCGTGGATTGGTTGAAGTTACACATTATCACTCTTGGGTGTCGACCGGCTCGGTGGTCTAGATGTTAAGCGTTCGCTCAGGAGACTGATAGGTCCTGGGTTCCAGTCTCGCGGGGTGGGATCGTGGATGCGCACTGCTCACAATAGGACGAAACGGCCGTCCAGGTTTTCGCAGGTGGTCTAGCTTCAATTGACTCATGATTTCAATTATAAAAAAATACTAAAATCTCCACAAAACCCGCTTCTAATAATGATTTTCATTTTGTTAATTTCACAATTTCCAAGGACAATATTTATTAAAATGATTGATTCTTTTAAGATTTGTGTGTGAGTGTGTTAGCTACACAAACATTAATTTATTCATTATTAGAAGGGGTTTTTGTGGAGATTTGGTATGTTTCATAGATGAAAGCATGAGTCAATTGAAGCTAGACCACCGAGGAAAACCTGGAAACACTGGACGGCCGTTTCATCCTATTATGGGACTCCTCAGCAGTGCGCATCCACGAACCCGCTCTCGCGAGCGAGATTCGAACCCAGGACCTACCAGTCTCGAGCCGAAGCCCTTAACCGATAGACCACTGAGCTGGCAACCAACGGTGTTAATGTCTAACTTCAACTGATCCACGAAGTTGAGCAACCATTCACCAATTGTCATCAGTGAGTTCCTATCTCACGACAGACGTGGTTTGCACTCCACTGGTCATTTATTCATTTATTCAAATTTATTCAATAAATTTTCAATTTTTAATTCTATCAATTCTTTTCTTTTTTAAAATGATAGATGATGTAATCTGTAATGTTTATCTCCCTGTGTGTATGTGTATACAGGTATGGTCATATTAGATAGGTCAGTTAATAGTTGAATTGAATTCTCTGTCTAATTTCATTTTTTTCTTTGACATGTCAACAAGTATCAGATTTCTATTATTATTATTATTATTATTATTATTATTATTATTATTATTATTATTATTATTATTATCCCCTCATTCGTTTTAATTGGAATTGAATAATGTACACAATTCTATATTTTGTTTGTTTTAAATTTCTGTCCTCAATTTATTTATTTATTTATTTATTTTGCTTTTTGAATAAATACTCATAATGAATGAATAAAGTTTATTAATTTATGATTAATTGGAACTATTCAACCTGAATAAATTCATTATGTCTTCTTGGATAATCTTTTTTTATATTAATTTCATACAAAAGATAAAAGAGGTCCACATAGCATACTAGATGAAGGTGTCAATGTTGTTCTATTTTCAATTCAATATATTTGTTAAAAATTCTTTGTTTTCATGTAAAATCATTATTTTTTTTTCATATTGTTTATAATAAGTTGTATTCAGTTAGTTTTCAGGTCACTTTTGTCATGGATTAATATCTGCTGAAGAGTCATTGTATAATCAAAGAGCTATCTGAATAGTTGTTTTGTCATATTTTTCTAAGAAATTTCATCTACAATCCTGAATGGGATAGGATCTAATATGTTTATATCATGAAGGAAATAGCCTAACACCAAATCACTAAGATAAAACTTAGTAGTTCATTTACTTTAACTTATCCTACACTAAGTAAATCACAGTTTAAATAACTCATTTGGTAACTGGTATGAACGTGATTCTACTGCGTGGCATATATTTTAATCATATGTAGATTATCAGTTTCCTCAAGGTGCAAATACACTATGTTGATGAGTATCAACTAGCACTAGAGCATAGACTTAGTAAGGATTATTGTTGATTATCCATAATCACTTGATTATTAAGCAGTTATATTAGTGATCAGTCATTTCATTTTCCGATTTGATCAACTCCATAGATCATAATTTATCATTTAAAATACAAGAAATCTATCTTAAAGTTACTTACTAGTTATTATCCTGTTATGAATCATTTATGTAAATAGTTTTGTGGAGATTTATAAAATTCGAATATGGTTTCTGTTATAAACTTATATCAGCTAGTCAATCATTTCAAACATTCTATAGATTACTATTAAGGACTCGTGATTCTTCGTTGTGAATATTGAGAACCGAAATTGATTAATTTCTCTCGGACCAAGTAACTTAGTAGATAAAGCGTTGGATTTTAGAGTGACAAACACTGGGTTTTAGTTACAGTATAAATATTGACATTATGATACATGTGTATTCAGTTAGATCCTAAGTAGAACGACACCTTTTTACTTAATTTCACTGTTAGCCAGAATCCAAATATTGCATAGATTACTGTCTTTGGTTAACAAGTAATAATCTTGCAAATTTGAATCAATGGTATTGCAGTTAGAGTATTCAAATTAAAATCAGTGACACACAGGTTTTGAATTTCATTTTATGTACTTCGGTTTAGACAGCTGGGTAGTACCACTACCCCTCACCCGAACATGCAAACAGATCTATTTTAACTAACAAAACGCAAGTAAGTAAATCTAAACTTGGTAATAGAGTAAAATTAGTCTTACGTATAATTAACATTTGTACTACTTTGTATCACTTCCTTGCAATATACCAGTTCTGCAGAGATCTGTTTGACGAGCAGCAGTGAAAAAGCGTAGCAGATCCTAGTTTCCATGGGAAGTTAAAAATCGCATAAGATAAGCCAGACTTTTTATGCTACTCTACTATATGAAAACTATATGTTAGTCGACACATCAGTAGTTTAAAGATAAAACAACTGTTTACTAGTATCATAAGTAGTATATTCCTCAGAAATAGGTATGCTTTAAGCTTAAAGTTAGTCAAAATCATATATGTACCCTCACAATACTAGATGTATGGTGTTCTAATGTGGATTTTTTCAGTCATTAAATTCGTTTGAGTGTTCTACGATGAAAAGTTATGTGCTATACCTTAAGATAAATCTCATTTTTCCGCCTAAGAATCTAGTGAAATCACATATATCGCCTAATTAAAGCATTTCTGATATCTTGATCTCACCCAGAAAAAACTCATCATTGTCATCTTTACTTATAGATCCCATAATTTACGAGACATTTTACACTCTCTACTTTCCACTTTTCACATCTTATTGTCATCAATTTAATCAACCAATTATATCTTGATTACATTTCATTCCTTACCCTTTTCATCTATAAAACAATCAAACCATTTAATCAATCATTTATCTTAAATATTCATTGGTTGAAAATTAGAAATAGCGCAAATTTTCTTCCTATTTTAATGTTTCACTATCGCAGTAAAACGAGCTTGGATTGAATAAATACGTAGTTCGAATATTGAGTGACAACAAAAAAAATGTTTTTTCAACAGGAAATACTGAAATACATCCGTTTAGTATTTTTTTTTCTCTATTATACATGCTAAAGTATATTAGTGAAATGTTCTTTTTTAAAACTCGAAAACGATCGTGACTGAGACTATCGTGGATTCCACATGTTATACTTAATTCATTAGACACAAACATTATGAATTACACTAATGATAACAATCAATTCGACACAAGTTATGCTAAGGAAATAAACGAATTCCCATTTACCATTAGTCAGGTAAGAATTGAAAATCAATATTAATGAATAACATACTTTTGGTTTTAATGAATTCACTTATTCAGTAATTAATTTATTTGATGAAGATATTCTCTACTTCGTCCTGTGTATCATTACTAGATTAATGGTTTAAAATAGTTGATTATTGACTGTTTTATTCACTCTTGGTTAAGCTAATAAGTAAGGTAGGCTTAAGTGTCCTGTAAGTAATCGTATTTATTAGAAATAGAATGAACCTAGTTCATCATAACATATATAAGTCTTCAGCAACGTACTGCCATAACTTCACTAAGGATTCACCACAAGATCCGCATTTATGTTCACTAAGAATGTGTTCTTTATAAATCCCTGATGTGAAATCCAGTGGTGTATATTTTCAACTTCCTTCAAGATTCCAGATTGCATAACGAACCTCAAGTGCTATCGATCATAAGTATTTCATTTCCAGTATGGATGAACATCATTGGTCATACTCTTTCTACAACTTTAAGAATATGTTCTTAATGTCAATTATTGTTCATTGTGAAAGTCAATTCATGATGTAAGTTATTGTTATAATTGAAAAATGTCCACGAATTCTTCATCAATTGAATAGAACTATAACACAAATGATAAATACTGATGTTCTAACAGTAAAATTCTACATTCTAGGTTTAAAGTATGCATTACATGCATAACAAAATAAATTGTTAAATGTTTCATAGGTTTCCAGTGGTTTCACTTATTGTTCACTTGGTTTCATTTGTTAATTAAAAGTATGGTTGTATTCATGAGTTGATGTAAGCCAGACTACTATTGATAACCTGGAAGCACTGGATGGCCGTTTCGTTCTAGTATGAAACTCCTGAGCAATGCACACCCACAATCCCTCATGCGAGACTCAAACTCAGGACTTTCAGTTTCCAGTGTGGGTGCGCACTGCTGAGGAGTCCCATACTATGATGGAACGACCGTCCAGTGCTTCCAGGTTTTCAGTGGCAGTCTAGCTTACATCGACTCATGAATTCAACTATTAAGATTACTACAAACTCTACAAACCCCCATTCTGAATTAAAAATATACTCAAATTAACCGGTCTTTCAAGATTATAAAGTTATATGTAAGAATTATTAAATGGAGGCATAGAAATATAGTCAATTTTAGTTATATCTTATTATTGGTAATAATAATAATATTTTAGAAGTGTGGAGTGAAAGAAGCATAGTGAATAAGCTTATTATAAATAATCATAAAACATAATGAGTAATGCTAAAAAACGACCATTTAATGTACTTCTTTTTATAGTAGTTACAATTAATATATCTAATTAACCCCTCGTGTTAATTCCCTATAAATTCAATCAGTTAGCTTTCAAAAACTATACATAAGTATGAGAATACAGAAGTGTAAATTGTGAACGGTCATTTAATTAGGTAATAGACTGAGATAAACAACGATTAGATTCAATAGGTAAATTTGCTAATGTGTTTTCCTATAACCTTTAGTATATGCTGAAAGCAAAATTTTGTAGCATAGTGCTAGCTAGATTAGAAAGCTTTGAATGGTGCTTTTACACTAATTCGGTATCATGTCAATTAAAAGTTTAAAGATGAAACACTCCATTTTGTTTGCTATCCTTTGAGCATCCATGAAGAGTGGTATTCAGAAATTAGATAAGTATGCTTGATCACACTGTAAATATAATAGGGTTCCATAGAAGTAGCTGAACAATCAAATGCCAAATAAATTGAAAAACCACCAAAATGAAGATCAATTTCCACATAAAACACAAAACTAATTAAATTATCCGTAAAGAATACTATCCTATCAGTTGTATTAAAATTAAATGGTGTATTTAAACTTAGTCAAAATGATTCTGCGTTCTAAGTGAAAGAAAGTCGGGAATCAAGGGTTCGCAGTTTAACTTGTAATTATAAACATTATTTTATTAGATAACATTAAAATAACTGTGGTTTAAATCTATCATTCATAGACGCTCCTAAATTAGTGAACAGTTCTTCAATCCTCACTACTTGACACTTCTCAAAACCAGTCGTCAAATAATACTAAGAATTTTAAAAATGGTATAATCGAGAATTATTGTTTAAAGCTGAATGTAAAAGTCAATAATTTATGCGGTAATTATCATTTTAATATCAGTGAGCTCTAATAATCACATTGTAATTCGAACGCGGTTACAGTCAGAGAGAATTTGTTTCTCAGCAACGCTATATCTTTGTACATATTTAAGTGAATAAAAGTGCTCACCTAGACGATATTGAGCAAATATTTTTAATAACACTGAAATCAAACGCTGTTTCTTAATGTATATAATTGAACCCTCGAAATTTATCTTTGGTGATAGAGAGAAAACCACAGTTGTATAATGTCAGCCTATTTTATTCAACTCATGTATAGTTTATGTGACTAAATGGTATAAGTGATTTTGTACTACACGCTTACTAGAGCATGAATATATAAGCATTTAATTAACTATTGTATTTATTTAATAAAGATCTCATCAACTGTTTCTGTTCACAAATAGACCTTCTAAATCAACTTGATTATGATCAGTTCTAAAGATGAATTTATGATGGACGAAAGCAAAGTATACGTTAATAGGGTTCACTATCCGAAATGAGAATAATATACAGTCAGATAAACCCATTTATAAAGTTTCACTGTGATTTCTTTAGAAAACAGAATAAAGACATTAAAAATATCAGGATGAAAGATGTAAAGTACGCTGACAAATAATGTGAATAGCCGATTTCCAACCACACCAACTAAGATCCCACGATCTCCAAATTAAGTTACTTAAAAATAATAAGAAGTCATTTTTCTTATCATCAGTAATATCTAGACAAACCAAAATTAGAAGAATTCTTAATTGATTTACAAATCACACCATTCACTTCGACCTGTTCTATAATTGATTAGTTCTATTATTTTAATAGTTGAGATCATGAATCACTTGAAGCTAGACCACCATGGAAAACCTGGAAGCAGTGGACAGCCGTTTCGTCCTGTTGTGGGGCTCCTCAGCAGTGCGCATCCACGATCCCACCTTGCGAGATTCGAACTCAGGACCTATTATTTTCGAGCGCGAGAACTTAACCACTAGACCACTGAGCCGGCATCTAATGGTGTTAATGTCTTACTTCTACCGATCCACAAAATTGAGCGACATATCCACCATTGTCTTCAGTGAGTCGATATCTCATAACAGACCTGGTTGAACTCCACTGGTCACTGCTCCTATTATTGTTGCAAAAAGGAATCTGTTGAAAAACACTCTAGAGGCCAACAACATAAAAGTATCAGACAAGCAAAAATGATAAACGAATAAATAAATTTGAACAGTTGAATTCATGAGTTGATCTAAGCTAGACCACCATTGAAAACCTGGAAGTACTGGGAGGTCATTTTGTTTTAGTATAGGACTTCTCAGCAGTAAACACCCATGATCCTGTCACAGGGAATCAAACTCAGAACCTTCAAGTCTGTCGTCAACAGCTTAACTTTTAGACCACTGAGATAGCACTTAATAGTTTACATGTTTAGTTGTAATCAATTTTTATTATTGCAAAACCAAATTACTGATGTGTAATTCCCTCACACTCTACATGGTTGAACTCCAGTAGTTAGGGGTTCATATTTCCACGAAAATCTCCCGGTTATCAACATAATGGTTCTGAAAGTTTAAATTCCCTTATCTACTGTTTTTTTAGTAATTTAATTTTTAATAGATTTGTTTGCAATCAAAAATATTTTTAAAAAACAAATAATGAATTAAGGTTTAATGCAGTGTGCTTTTATTTTAATGGATTCACACCAACGCCCCATTATTATTGTTGCTCTCCTACTAACAGAATATATATAAAAACTAACCAACTATTCTATTAATTAGTAATCAAAAGGAAAGGTTATGTAATCAAATCTAAGTCAATTAAAAAACGTGTTCATAATAATAATAACCAAGGTGATTGATGAAATAAAATAAAATGCGACCAGATAGTGGAGATTTTCTAACTAATTGACTTTAACAGACAAATTTGATTGCATCTTTGTTGTTTAATATCTGTTTGGGCATCATTGCAAAACAAAAAAGTATCAGATAGTTATTGAGCCATAGTGCGGAAAGACTTAACAGTGGCCATCCAAGGATTAAACTTATCAACTTCAGGCCTAACGGTGAGCAGTTAACATAAAACTAATATGTTAGTATCTAATGAGACACATTTGTAAACTAAGTCAATTCAAAATACAGCATAAATATCATTGTATTCCTAATATAGTTGAACTCCAGTCGTTGTGACTTCACACTAGAACTTCATGAGCTCATTTCTAATTAAGGTTCCAACTGTTCAGTCCCCTCTTAGTTTGCATTGACATTTCAACTGATGTCGATCCGTGACAAATATCCCTACATACTAAACGAATCTCCAAAACCTACTCAGTAAAACATTTGTTTCATAAAATGATCTGATGATTTATAATTTGGATAATGAAAAACGATTTCATCCTCTGTAGTTCATTCTAAAAGTTTAAGTGTAAGTACAAAACTGTAATGTTTTGAGGATACCATTAATTTATTGCATACCAGTGTTTCCTTTTTCAGTCACATAATTTGAATGCAACTATAATTTTACCTGGTGAACAATTTACCATCTACTACTAGCCAATTTACTTTTTTAATTTTTAAATATTTTAACATTTCAAAATGATCTAAAAGTAATAATCTGTACTGAAACTGAGAAACAAGCACTCATCTTTGATTCCACAAATATTATCATTTATGACTGATTTTTGAATAAATAGAATTTTCAGTATAGAGTTGTGCAGATTATTAAGCTTCATTGAAATCACGAACTGATTTAAGTTAGACAAACCATTGACAACATGAAAGCACTGGACGGTGATTCCTCTTCAGTATAAGACTTTTTAGAAGTATGCATACACGACTCCACAACCAGGAAGTGAACCCAGGATCCTCAGTCTTGCGCATGAAACTCTAAGCCGCTGAGCTCGAATCCAATAGTGTGCATGTCTGTCTTCAATCAGTTCACAATATTGTGAAACCATCTGCCATTGTTTATGGTAGATACCTTCTTGGCATCTGACTAGGCCGAAGTCCACTAGCTGTGGTTAAAAACAAGGGAAGATGGGTTGATTAAATTTAGATTTGTATACCATTGGATCTCGATTGTGGTCTGCAAATAGAATTGTTGACACTCTTCTCAAAATAATAACGATGATTGTTATATTCAATAAAACATTAAAATAGCACTTCTTAATAAAAGAAAACCATATACTTCCATCTCAATACTAACAACTTAAAGTAGCATTAACTTTCATCGAAAATCTTTCGCCTCTGTTCACTGAATTAGTTGTAGACAATATGAAATGGAATGTTTTAATTAATTCCTACACTCCAAAATCATATACTTTGATAAAATAGATCTTTTTCTCCACTATCAGTCTACATATTTCCACATTCTATATCGTTTTTCGGAATAATTACCATGATTTAACTATAACCCTAGGATGTGTACAAATCGATCCATCGAATAATGTAAAGAGTTTCTATGCAAACAGTTATCATATCTGTACTCAGTATATTGTATACTCATTTCTAATCTAAGCGTTGAAACTTTAGGTAATTTTACTATAAGGGAAATTAAAACATTTCACTTTATATGTTTATCTCTAGATCTTTTTAATACTAGTTTCGGACTTCTATTAATGCTATTATATGTTTCATTTTTGTTCGCTTCCTCTCGTTCCAGTGATCTATCTTCAATGAACTTGTAATCTTAACTATTTAAATTTCATTTCTTCTCAACTTTTTTACTAGGTAGGATGTATGTGTGAAGTATTAATTCAATCAAATCAATTTATATCATTACGTCATTTATTAAATAGAATACCAAAAACATGGTTGGTATCTGAGGAAAATTTCTTATTTTATTATCACCGTCACCAACAACAATTCAATACACAATTAGAAATATTAACTAATGAACAATTATATGAATTACGTGAATTAATTATTAAATCATTCATTATTCTATCATATAATGATCATAATTATAAATTAGTCTATGAATTAATTAAATATAATCATTTTTTTAATAAAAAACATCAAACTATATTACAACATATATGGTATAATATACATTATAATATAATAGAAAAATTACGTCAACGTTCATTAACCGCTGTTGATAAATATCGTATACGTAAAAAATATCCATTACCTAATACAATATGGGATGGTGAAAAAATTTTTTATTATTTTAAACAAAATATAAGATATTTATTAATTAATTATTATCAATATAATAAATATCCAAATTCTATAGAAAAATATGAAATTTCTAGAAAAACTGGATTAACTATAACTCAGGTAATATATTATATAATCAATATTTTTTGGTTGTTGTTGTTGTTGTGGTGGTGTTGGTGGTGGAGGTGGTGGTGTATTTCAGTTTAACGTAAATTTTTATCATTTTTTCTAAAATATTAAAAACTACTTATTAACTATTATAGATGATTAATATTATAATCTCATTAAAACCAAGAGAAACAATATAAGCAAAGATGGATAGTGGCAAGCAGTGGGGTCCAGGATGCGTGTATCGTCCTATTTGGGACTCGTCAGCTGGATGCACCTGCATCTCAGAGTTGATGCTCACTCTGGGACTCGAACCCACTACCTTTCGCTTCAAACGTCATCGCGTTATCCACTCGGTTACTGAGTCCTGATAGCCACTTGTTTGTGTAATGGGGTGAAGCTTTTAAATTCATCTGGTATTGTTTAGTTGAATCTTCCTGGATTCCACTGCTAGCCACTATCCATCTTTGCCTATAATGCTTGTGAATTAAGGCTATATCGAGACAATACGCACAGTATGCACATATGCCAATTAGAGACTGACTAGTTGCAGTCCTAAACATCAATGGGAAGATTCAAACAAACAATACTAAGTGAATTTAAGGGAAACAATATTTGTGGGTTGTTTCTTAGTTTTCGATAGTTTTCTAAATTTTGTCAGTTCATGATAAAATATGATCTCCAAACTAATTGAATCTCTGTAATATAATGATACAGAATTAGATTTGGTTAAGTTTAAAATACCTCCTCACTCTTAGTCTCTTTATACAGTAGCTGGTTGGAGCTTGTCTATAGGAAATGTGTCTATTATTTTCAGGCTTGTACACTGTTGTGGCGGGCAGTGTATGGAATCCGACACTGATACACAACTTAGTATGAACTAAACTCACCCCCCTCCATATATATATATATATATATATATATATATATATATATAGATCCATTAGGAAATTGGTCTATTTCTTAGCCAATAAGATTGCAATTGTCCTTCAGGTCACTTTGGATATCATCAAGTGATCTCATTGGGTTACTTATCATTGGCTTACCATATCAGACATCGCTTGTCATGAACTACCGTTCTCTCATAATACAGTCAATTATGAATTAAAGAAAAATAACAATGATATAATCAAAACATGAGAAGAGGTTGAGATAATGAATGACGTAATAAATAAAAAAAGGAGTGTAATGTTACCAGAGAAAAGAAACATTTATTACTTCTTCTTTCTGGACACATAGATCTAGTTTCAGACATTTGATCTCTATAACTTTGGCGAATTTTAGAACCTTCGCTACATCGTAATACACATATTCATCTTTGATCACCTTCGTATTTATAAATATTTCGATATCTGTAATAACTCTGAGCAATTGATTAGAACCTAATGAAATGAAATGAATTCATATTATTCCGCATCAATCTTTGATTTTGTTCTCTTGTTTTCTAATTAATCTTTGCAAGTATATTTTCTGTTAAATAATTGATTTCCCTTTTATTCCAATATTTTATTAGGTAAGTAATTGGTTTAAAAATCATAGACAACGTGATAAATCCTTAGAATCAACTGATTTATACATTAAAAATAAAAATAAAACTCTTCTTAACAATAATTATAATTGTAATTGGTCTTGGCAGTCAATTCAATCCAACACCGATACTACTACTACTACTACCACTACTACTACTACTACTACTACTACTACTAATAATAATAATAATAATAATAATAATAATAATAATAATAATAATAATAATAATAGCAATAGTAATAATAATTCAATTATACAGCATGAACAAAGTATAAAAAATGAATATTCAATTGAAACATATCGAAAATCTTTTAACTATCAATCATCTTATCAACAACTCACTAATCAACAAACATTGTCTGGCAACAACGGTATAGATCAGAATCTCAGTTCTTCCGTAGAAAATCCAAAAGATTCAGAATATTATAGAACAATAATATCATATCCAATATACTCACATCAATATTTAACATCATCTAAAAATTCCAATGAATTATGGTTTACACAATGGTCAACTAATCATTTCAACAGTGAACATGATAAATATAATTATGAAGGAAATTATAATACTGCTAGTTTTGATCATAATCAAAATCATTCATATTATACACTTTAACGAAATGAATAATGAATTGTATACAGTCAATCAATTGAATTCATAGTGAAACAATATCATCTTTGAATTATTCTAATGTACATTAAAATGATGTGTCTAATAATGTGGAATAAAGATATAAATAAATAAATGTTTTTAAAAAATACATTTCATTTAATGGTGTTATAGTTATAGTATCAGAAGGGGTTTTTCTTGGAGATTTTAGTAATTTTTTATATAGTTAAGATCATTAGTCAATTGAAACTAGACCACCAGAGAAAACCTGTAAGCACTAGACGGTCGTTTTGTCCTATTGTGGGATTTATCAGCAGTGTAAATCCACGATACCACCTCGCGAGATTCGAACCCAGGATCTATCAGTGGTCTAGCTTCAATTGACTCATGATTTCAACTAAATAAAATTACTAAAATCTCCACAAAAAACCCCTTCTGATAATAATCATATGCTCACTAGTGACTGGTTCCAGGAGCTATTTCTTGGAGTTCTAGTGAGAAGCAGTGACAAGTGGAGTTGAACCAGGTCTGTTGTGAGATAGTAAGTAACTCACTGGAGACAATTGGTGAACGGTTGCTCAACTTCGTGGATCAGTTGAAGTTAGACATTAACACCATCGGATGCCGGTCGGCTCAGTAGTATATCAGTTAAGTGCTCCGGCGCGAGACTGGTAGGTCCTGGGTTTGAATCTCGCGACACGGGATCGTGGGTGCACACTGCTGAGGAGTCCCATAATAGGACGAACTGGCCGCCTAGTGATTTCAGGTTTTCGATGGTGGTCTAGCTTCAATTGACTCATGATTTCAACCATAGTTATAGTAATCACTAGTTTGAAACTTCATCTGTTATTTAAGGAATTTTATTCAAGTTTCATAAATATAGCAGTGATCTAAGTACAAAGCAAGTATAATAATTGTTGTAGTATGCGTTAAAATCAATGTGTTTCGTTGCTGTTTTCTTAAGTTACATAAAAGTTAATATATTCAGTTGTTTCTCACTAATAACGTAACAATACCTTTCAAAGATTTTGCCCCATTTGGTTTTTAATATAAGTTGGTGAAAACGTCGTAACACAGAGTCAGGAGGTTATTTTCATGAGTCAAGTTTGAGGAAGAGTGTACTGTAGTACATAACTGAGAGAGAATGAATACACTTAATCAATTATGAATAAATATAGCACTAAATGATGAGTTAAGATGGTAGAATATAAATCTGAAAAGGAGAATTTTTCATTCGATTGCTATTCATGTGTGATCAAATAATAACTAAAATTAATCAAAGACGAACAGTAACTTTAAGCATGTTCCTCACAGTCACGTTAATGCCACTCTATTAAACACTATACCCAATAAAACGGAAAAAAGTGAATAAATATCCATCATATTTTACCTCCAAATACACATATCAATTTACATGTGCAAGCGAAAATGTGTATGTTGGAATAAAAAAATGACGGACTTATACTTATTTCAACGGTCAGATCCTAAAAAAGCTACACCTCAGAGGAGGACGTTACTTACAGAGCTCAGTAGCACTCCATCCGTTGGATACAAGATCTAACATCAATATATAAATTTATTCAAAATTATCAACACATTGACCGATTTCTGATGATATCTTTCAGAAGGACGATGAAAGCTTCACGACCAAACCATCCAGCTAAGAGAACAAAACTCCATCAAAAAAGTAACGTCAGTGCCTTCCTGAAGATAATCGGCTTCAGAAAACTTTCACGTACACAGATACCTACTCATAAGTAGACAACCGACATTCAACTAAATTTATGGAATCGATTGTAAAAGATAATTATTGATGTATGAAGTTTTATCAATTCTGATTCTTATTAAATAATTCCTTAAGAAGTATTGTTAACACATAATAATTATCACATGAAAGTGTTGGTTAACTTATTCGCAACTCCCCAGTTATGTTAAAAAAAACTCAATACTTTGTTACATCATACCTATAAAATTATGAGAGTTTGTAAATGGTACATGCTACAAAAGAGGTAAATTTTTAAAATATCTACTCTTTATAGATAATTCTATGGATGCATTCAGTTTCAGTTGTCATTAATTAGAGCATGAATTATATCCTAGAAGTAATTATTTCAATTCTAATGGTAGAATGATATAATTTCCTATTAACATTAAATGATTAAGTGTAAACTTAACTTACCCAATTATGAATATAGAGCATAGTATCCATGTTGTTCGTTAGTTTATTACTGAATACTAATCGATGTCGTTTTTTTCCATTCTTTTAATAGAAAGTGGTCACTACTCTAAGTGATTCGACGTCATATGAAACATGTAGAGATGTTTGCTGGTTGGATGATTGGACAGGAAACCCTGGTCGGCCTAGGTTTTGTACTAGTTAGCATTCGTTATCAAGGCATATTTGAGGTCTTGAAGGGTGTGGTACTTTCTGTAGGAATTTAGCCGGCGTGAATCAGCTTCTCAATCTCAAATATTATAGCTGAAACATGCGAGTGGCCGACTAATATAATTAGCACTATCTAACCATTTATCAAGTACATGTTGATCTGAGTGGCCCTGAGTTATACTTATTTTGTGAGGGGACTAATGAAACTACACAGTTTCTCGAAGTGAAAGAGGTCAGGAAGTATTCATATCTTGAACTCAATGACACACATTTGAGTCCTTCAACCAATAAGATATAATATCAATAATGCTAAACATGGATAGTTGTAGAAGTAGCCACTACTAATAAGACAAATTTCATCAGAATGCCGGATGATTTAAATTATTTTTAATAGCAGTTTACTTTATCAGCGAAACTCTGATACAGAGAATAACTTCGGGTTGCACTAAATATTTTCTTTTTGTATAAAGGAGTGTGAAGAAGAAATGACAATTTCATCTATGTGATTGCGGAAAATGTTAAGTGGAGAATCCCATTAAATACGATAATTATCTATTGTATTAACAATTATTCAGTAATTATTAATCTGATCTATAAGCCTGTGGATAACGTATTCGCTGATTTTTAGATGAACCAGGAGATTAACGTAATCGTTAATACTATGTTGTCTTTGCGAATTAGATCGGCAGATATTTCCAGTCCGCAAAGTATTTAATTAAATAGATTATCCTAACTTCATTGATTGTTTGATTGTTTCTGGTATAGATTGGAAAGGCTAATAACCAACCATACTGTAGAGTTAATAACGAAGTACTAGCACAGATTGAGTCAAAGTTCTTTACGATCAGATTACAATAAATCAAGTGGTTGAATTATATATTTGTATACATTATTTCTAATGGATTTGAATAATTAATTATGGAGCAAGTCAAAATATACAGTTTGAGTATATTTTCATTGACTTATTAAAACTAAGAGATATATTACTCACAATAGAAAGGAATACCATAATCATGAAATGTCACATAGGTGTATAAGTCTTGATGTGTATGCACAGTGATTCACGTTAATCGGCGAGTGAACAGAATCTATTTTGAACAGTGATGTTTCAGAGAAAACCGTGAATTCTTTGTAAATATTAATTTAACCAATAAACATAAATGATAATGAATATTTGCAATTTGTATTTCACTTTCATACAAAATTTGTTCATGAATGTACCATCATACAGTCATGTAACAAATTCATTGTTTTGCTTTAATAATGACTTTTTATCCAACTCTCATTGATTATTGTTGCAATGGACAAAAATGTCAACTATAAATAGGTTTTGCAACAGGCTATATATATATATATATATATATATATATATATATGTCTAGAAAGTTCTAGGGTACTGCAGTTGATATCAAAATTGTGAGTAAAGTATTTTGTTAGTAATATGTTTAAGATAAAAGTCTTTATACTTAGTCTTCTTGACATTAGATTATATTTCAAACTGTATATGTTGAGACAAGAAGGAAGAAAGAAACATGAAAATCAGTTGGTTATTCTATGTTGAGTTAGTTTGCAGGCATCCGATAAGTATTTCTGAGCGTGGATTGGTTGAAGTTAGATATTAACACCGTTGGATGCTGACTCAGTGGTTTAATTGTTAAGCGCTCGCGCACGAGACTGATAGGTTCTAGGTTCGAATCTCGTTAGGCGGGATAGTGGATGAGCACTGCTGAGGAATCCGACAATAGGACGAAACAGTCGTCCAGTGCTTCCAGGTTTTCCACGGTAGTCTAGCTTCAATTGACTCATGATTTCAACTATAATGTTTCTGAGCGGTTGATATATGATATTTTAAGCATATTTTTGTTTACAATCAAACACTACTTATTATTTTCAACTGTATTCATTGTTTAATGAACTTATACTTTAAGGTCATCTGTTAAAAAATGAACAATAATGGTAGATAAATTTCATGACATATTTACAACTGGTAGCTGCTAAATACAACTAGATCATTTTAAGATACTCAAGGAAACAAATTTTTCGTGATCAGTTGGCAAATTAGAGGTCACTTGTTTGTTTCAAGTTTTAGTATAACTATGAGTATAATAATAATAAACAGTTATGGGAGTTGAAATGTTAATCAAAGAAAAAGTTCACGGATCAATAGTATAAAATGTTGTTGTTCTTTATCAGAAACAGATATATTGAGTAAAATAATTAAAATAAAATATTGTTTGTCCCGTTATCTAGACTTGTTTGCTCAGATTTTTAATTATTGATACACAAGTTACTTTAAACAATATGGTAACGTTATTCAGTGTCAATTATGGTACCATTCAGTACATAAATATAAGTGAATTGTAAACAAGTAACTATTGTCAGTCATTAATAATTCCTTGAAAAGTCTTCAACAGTTTTGTTATATCTTGTGGCTTGCGTGCCCTGTGTATTATATGACGTGATAATACCGTCAATTGGAGAGCAGTGAATTATCGATCGGACCAACGAGACACGAAACCTGTACGAGCAGTCTAGAGTCCTTGTCGGTCCCAACCAGTCAAGTCCAGAACACGTATCTCAGCCTCTGCGGTATGAATAATTTATTTCAAACATACTGAGTTTATATACTAAACAGACAGACTACATCGTACCATAAAATAGGAAACAACATTTATACAAGATTCAGTCAAATGTGGCTGTGAATGTGGGAGATAGTAAGTGATAGACAGGGTATAATTCAAGAACGGTAAATCGTATGACAATAGTTCATAAGTCAGAATAAAGCTTATAATAAGGGGACGCGAAAATGAATAGTTTAGTTATTTAGCAATTATACAATAAAAAATATATGCATAGTATTGGTTCATAAATGGATCCCAAAGTTACCATTCACTATTGTTATAGGGACACAACAAGTTTCTAAGGTGCTGAAAATACTTCTACCAACTAACGCTCTCTCCCTATAAAACTTTCTATTAGACAATAACCACACTTTTCGACTATTTCTGCATCTTTGCCGTCCTCCAGAATATAAGTTTTACACATAATCCCATAAACACCCATGTTTTCTGTGCATAAAATAACCCTCAAAGTAAAGCTTCTTCTGTGATCTCCATCTCTTGTGCTTCTCTTCGAGGTTCAAAAGTAGAAGAGTTCTGGTGACTAGGAATCAATCATGAAGTTGTCTAAGTAATCAAGTACAAAACGCATCATTAATCCTAAAAATTAGAGTGGAACTAAAAAAAGTATTACAAAATAAAAATTTTTATCACAGGCTAACAAAAATTGGCAAACCAAGCATTTATCCTGGTTCAATACTTCTCTTTAACGAGCACACACATATGAACACGGGATTGTATTCAAAACGATATAGTTTCAGGAAATGCACGATATGCCATTACTTTCGGTGAGTTATACGCCATCTGCTCAAATTTTCAGTTGTAGTTGACTGTCGTTTTAAAATTCAGTAAAATAGTATACTATGTATTGAAGGAAGCTAGATTTTAATACTGATTAAAATGATGAATTTATATAGTTCAGTCAACTGTAATTTTTAACTGCTCGTGACTGAATTCACCTTGAAAATACATACGAATCATTACAATTGACCGATTTGTATGTTGGGACCAATATCAGATTTTCAGTATAGGGTTGTAAAAATTGTTGAGTTTTGATTGATATCGCTGATGGATTAGTGTTATACCACCATTGAAAACCTGGAAGCACTGAACAGCCGTTTCGTCCTAGTGTGGGACTCCTCAACAGTGCGCACCCATGATCCCGCACCAAAAGGTCTCGAACCCAGGGCCTTCAGTCTCGTGCGCAAACGCTTGAACTCTGGACCACTGAGCCGGCATCCAACAGTGTTAATGTCTAACTTCACTCATTTCACGACCGGAATCGTGGATGCACACTGATAGGGAGTCCCATATCAGGAGGATTATGAGTCTAATGACATTTCGCCACATTTTCGATCATCCTGAACTATAATACTCGATTAATGCCACCTTCATATTTCCTTTCATGTTCGTACACACATGTAAAATGGAAATGAAATAGGGTGTATTGGGATTACTTATACAATGTTGAAATTTAAATGAAACTATAAGTCTTATTTTTCTAATGACAATATGACTGACTACGAATTAGTGGTCAACTAAAGGTAAGTAACAATTAGTAGAAAGTGTGAGTCAATTTTTTAAAATACTGTTCACATCGAGGTGCACAGGACAAGCTGTGAATCACATGTGGAGAAATTCAAACACTCCACTTCTACCCGAAGTTTGTGCTGATGATGTCGTTCAGATGGACGATGAAAGCTCCACGACCAAAGCATCCATCTTAAAGAACATCAAAATCACCCACCTGAGCTACAAATCTTCTCCACCAACAGTTCACAATTCGTTGACCCTAATGAATCGAACCTATCTATTCTTTTGTCGACGCGATAAAAATCACATTTAGGAAATTGATCACAACACCTGTTATATCCGGATGAGAATAAATGAATGGTAACAGTTGGGAATTACCTATGGACTAATATTATACGTACATTCTTATTGTATGATTATTAAGTGACTATATTGTATGTATATTCCTCTTATTATAAGCTCTTATTTGACCTATTGACTATTATCATACGCTTTACCATTCTTGAGATATTCCCAATTTAATAGTAACAGCTTCTCCCAATCATAGCCACTTTTGGCTTAATCTTGTACAGATGTTATTTTCTATTTTATAGTGTGATGTGGTCAAATTTGTCTGTATATAAATCTAGTATGTTTGAAATATATGATTCGAATCGCGGAGCCTAGAATTGGCGTTCTGGACTTAACAGGCAAGACCAATCGGGGCTCTAGGCTGTCGTACGGGTGCATGCGTCATTAGTTTGGTTGTATAAGTTAGAGTATCTAAATAGGTAATCGTATTTCGTGATAATCGTATAGCCAAGGTCATAACAGCACCAAATAAAATTTGCAAATACTAGATCCTATTCGTCCATAAACTGGTTATTTATAAGAAATATTCAACAACATTTATCATCATGAATGTCGACAACAATTTACTGATGACCTATCTCTTATTATGTTTACTTCAAATTATTTTAACTGAGATAAAACGAGTTACTTTGTCTTAATTTCCATAAATTATCAATACATTGTTTAAATCACTGAGTTTATTTGGGTGTTTCCATGTACGACATCTAAACTTTATTGGTATATCATCCAAAAAAATAATTTCCTTTCCCTTTGTTAGCTACCCGCATGATAGGATTACTAATTATAGGTGAGGTCCAGTTCTTGTGCCCACTTAGTTTACCTATTAATCATAGAAGCAATGACATTCTTCCTATCAATCACTCAATGACTATGAAAAGGCCATTAAAATCCTAACGCCTATTGATTCTCAAGTTCCTGTTCGGTAAGAAGGACTAAGTCAGCAAGCAAATATCTTAGTTGTTTTATTGTTATCCTTACTCAAAAACTCATACGGTATTTTGCATCAGTTCCCTGACCACAGCTACACAAATAAGAAATTACAATAGGTACACAGCTAAGACATAAATTACACAGTATTCAAGCAATAGGGGAACAGTTAATTAATGATAAATCAGGAACAGTAAAGTATATAATATAGGTTTATGAGCCATTCTAAAGCTTACAGTAGGAGAATATAAAAATACAATGATTCAGTCATCATCCAATAAATATATAAATAATAATTCTTTTTAGGATATTTCTAATGATTCAAGTTTCTCAATATTCTCACCACTAAAACAAGCATCCTCTAACATCATGACAAAACTGAAAGCTTAATACTGCATTTTATCCGCCATGACTTCTAACTGCATAAAAAGAGAAGGCCGATACGTGTGTAAACAAGATTTGTACTCAAATACTTCACAAACAAGTAGTGATATGAAAGTTCAACTTCATACGTTATTTGTGCTTGTGAAAAAGAGCTACAACTTCATGGAATAGGTTCTTTGGCCAAAGACTAGATTTGATTAATAATTATCTGCTACTGAACAATTGTTTCTAGGATTTCACTAGACAAAAGTACCCAAATATTAAAAAAATAAATGAGATTTATAGACTGTATTGTTGAGCATAAGTAGAACACAGTGAAAAAAATTTTATAGATCTCTTATTTGTGGAATAAAGAAAAAGGCCCCCAAATGCCCTGGTACAGCCGAGAGTGGGGAGATCCTCTCTTCCTCTCAAAATACTCTCACATGGCCACGCGTATATAGTGGGGGTGTTTTTACGAAATTGAAAGGACGAAAAGCAAATGTCCGGCAACTTAACCGGGTTGGTTGATATGGAGGATCCACCTAAAAGAGTTGGAAAACCTTGATTCCAATTCAATATTCGACATGGGCTCCAGTATCCTGAGTAAACAACTGGTGTATGAACCTATTGTTGACCACCGGCTATCATGGGACTGCATCTCCTAGCGGTGCTCCACTGCTTTGTGGATTAGACCTTTAGGTCAAAGGCTCCGGGTATGGCCCCCAAAGAAAACTACCTACCTCAGTTTGTGCGCCCGAGCAGTATCACAGATCTGACATAAATTAATGATAACTACTACTGGTCTCATTGTTATTGTGTGGCGCATATGTATTTGATGTCTCCTTGTACCAATGTTTATGTACTCAAAATATATAAAAAAACGAAATTCAGAATTAATGAGTTTTTTCAACTATTAATTACTGCTACTATAGAACCTATATGGAAAACGGATATGTCCACACAGCAATCACTAGTATAATTGTTGGTAGGATATGTGTATCTGTGTATCACATGATTGGATCTGTTGGTCTTATTATAAAATGTATTATCTTGTTTTGTGTTCTAATGTGCTCAGTTGTGTTATCGAGTCAAGAGTTATTCTATGATAGTATTTCGTATAACAGGGCAAGTTATTATTTTTTTTAGGCCCAACAATAACTTCGATTTTTATGTTTAGTAAAAATCTGATTGGTTCATATCTAATAAACCAGAGAGTTGGTTTACCAAACACATAATGTTCGTAACCTATTTACTAATTTTATGCATTTAGCTTTAAGCTACACTACTTACGTATGGTTTATTTGATATTACGTAACTGTGCAAACTGAAATAAATAGAACGACGTTTTAACTCATGACCTAATGGTAACAAGTTAAATATTGTAATCAATAAGCTATCACCACAGTAAATAAAGAAGAAAATGTGATGACTTATTGTTAATTTCAACAACTACCATCATTTTTTGAGTGTTTACTAAAACCCCTTTGAGTATTACTTAAAGTGGACATCATATAAAGAAGTGATAATTATATATATTGTAAATAATTTGAAAAGCATTCAGTTCAATCTTCGAGTTAATTAAGTAAACTGTTAACTGAAAAACAACTGACTGATCGGAGTTATTTCACTTGGAAACACACCAAAGCAATATACATATTAAAAAAAACACAATTGATGAAAAGAATAACTGAATTGGACTAAAAAAATCGACAACTCCTTTTTTGGAAATTCCCCGCTTATGGAACCGAAAACACTGAATAGCACTTATGCTGATGACTATGATCATAATGTCGATGATAATAACAGTAACAAAAATATTAGTAGAATGGAAAATGGAAGTATAATTGTGTATAACACTGAAATTTTATCTAGATCTAATCAACAATTATTTTCATTGGATGTTGAATCTAATACTGATAACTTGATGAAAGAAGATTCTTCATTGAAATATGATGAAACGAATAATATTTTATCAAAGCATAAATTAAATTTCAATTTAATGCTTTCAAAATATTCTAAATCTATTCATTGTAAAGATTCCAATTATCATCAGTCAAATTCTTCTATTCATGAACTAGATACTACTTATGGAGAACTAGATAAAAGTAGTATTCTTTTTTACAATGATTATGATAAGGATGATAATTGTAATGTTGGTATCAACTATGGTACTGTTAATGATATGATAATTGATGATATTAGTCATATCATTGCATCTATTAAAAGTGAGTGAATGCAATTTTTTTTAAAAATTGTATGATGCCTATTTTAAAATTACCTGTCAGTGGGGGAAGGGGTGGGGCTTAACAGCAAAACTATATAAATCATAGTTATTTTATTCAGCTGACATCTCTATCCATAGTATAGTAATTAACTATTCAATATCATTCATTTAAATAATAAACTACATGATTATTATTCCCATTATTAACCAATTTATCTATGATGAACACTGGATGTCAGAGTTGAATGGAAGGCATGGAATTCCTCATTGATGGTTATAGCATACATTAGAAGTCAGGGTTTCGAAGTTTTCCTTAACTCTTACCATCGGCTAACAAGATTCCTTTGAAATACATTAATTTCGAATAGAAAATTAGCTTCTTGCTATAGTGTTAAGATACCGATATAATTTTTTTAAGAACCCAATCAACTAATCACCATAGAGTGATGCCCTAACCTGGAAAATAAAATTTCTTGAATCCCTCATAATTAGTAATAAAATTATAAAATGTAAATACAACTTGATAACTGTCGTATATTTCATCACTAGTAATTCCGCTAATTCCAAGAACGATAGCCTTGACAAGAATGACCACATTCCTGAGCCTCCAACCAGATCATTAGAATCCCAGATGACCGGTCACAAGTATTTAATTATTCATTCGAACCCATAACTCTCATGATAACATAAATAAAAAAAACAATAATGGTCAACAGCTTATTGATCTTAAAATATACATAACTAGGAGAGTTGTAATAAAGCTGAGTAACAGATTTATAATTAATTAACTTTTAATTTATAGACAGTAGAAGATATGCCGATGAGTTAAAACGACAGTTTACGATGAAGACTGTGCAAAAATCACTTGTCAAACAATTAACCTATTGATATGAAAAACTCATCTGCTAATCAGTTATCCTTTTCATTTCATTCTTAATTCACATGCATAGACCATGTTCACTAAAAATCTAAAAAAACATGAAAACGATTACGTCACATATCACTGTGTTTATCAATTTAAATGTGTGTCTGGCCAAACATTCATTAAGAGGAGTGATCATGATCTCCAAATTACTGTATCTGAACATGTACCTAAATGATTACAAATGACAAATAAAATTAAATGACATAATAAGAGTAGATGATAAACATTTATCGTCCTCTACTTCCAATATTTAGTTGAAACAACATTGAGGCCTGCTAAAGCCTTGGTCATAGTAAAACTCACGACCCCCTTTATGAATAATAAATAATTTGTTCTCACCTTAAACTTACACTGGTAACGTTAACTTACTATCCAGAGTTGTCAGTTTCACATTGTTTTTCACATTATTTTCTTTATTATGTTTGTTTCCTCTTACTCTGTATTTGTCTAACTGACCTATTGATTTTCATATATTTAATGTTCTAAACAAGTATATGTGTGATCAGATTGTTCGAAATGTATTACGCTAACATGTCAAATAGTTCTGACAATCTTAGTCTTCTTATTACACTAAATTTATCGCATGGACTAATTGCTTTAAAGAACTCAGTTTTCTGAAGGTTAGGCACCCACTGCGGAACTCGAAGCTTCCGAGTTTACTTCCCGTGAGGTTTGTGTGTAAACGTGTTAATACCCACAATTCCTCGTTTAAGCTACTTTCTAAGGAACATTTAATGACTTGAGAGGCAAGTGGATGCATCGGGTTACTTCTTCCGTTTATATGAACAAACCTATATCTATTAATCATTCATTCACTTCACGATGATTTTCTACTAAGTAACCTTTTGACAGATACATCACTTCTCATCGCAGTTCGACAATCCAACACTGAAACCTTAGATCGTATTTCTTTTACTGAAGTGAACTGAATCGATAGATGTGATTCTCTGATAATCCTAAGCATCTTCACCAGGTTACAGATTCTTCGTAAATGATGAATGATGTAAATAACTTATACATACTTGTGGAAATTTCTCCACCCCAACTACGTTTTTCGCTAGACTAACGTCTCAATGTTTGTTAAGAAAAATTTAACCAATAAGGAGTTCTAGACTGATCTCTGTGCTCTTGTTTAAATACTAATTTCATTCATAATGACTTTAATTTTCAACTGGAGAGTTTCATAATTTAGTTATTCTTTCTGTTCAGCTCTAGTCTCCCAGACGTTCCATTTTTATTTTTTATTGAAGGTATGAATTTCCTATTTGTTTTTCTGTTCTTTAAGATAGTTGTTTTTCCCTAATAGCACAACTATGAGTGCTTTTCCATTTTTACTGTTTAATTAGAACAAAATAAAGTTCTACACTACAGAGTTCTTTGATAAACTGTGAAAACCATACATTAAATACTTCATCTACAAACTTACATCATTTGTCCTCCACATTCCATATGATTCTCCCAAATTAAAATTCCTTTCTATTTCCGTTTCTGTTCTTTTCAACTCGATCTTCTCAGCCTTCTGCTACCAGGTTTTCCACTTCTGATTGGTGTTGCATACTACTAATGTCGACAGACATAAGTAGCATACACCACAGTAGAATCAAAAAATAGTGTTCATAATAAATTTCATATTTAGAACAGTCATCAATGACATTTCAATATAGGTCAAATAACTTTGAGTCAAGAGTTATCATCGAAGTTTAGAACTTAAATTTTTTATTTACGTAGCTTCGGTGATTAGTCTACTCTGCTTAAGTAGATTTTTAATCAGATGTCGATGAAATACATTGTTACACAATTTGAATATATTTGTTAAGTGGATACCAGTTGGATCCGGCGCGCCTATTTCGTCTTATTTGGGACTCGTAAGCAGACTATACCTGCATTTCAGGATTGATATTTGCGTTGAGACTCGAACACAGTACCTTTAGCTTGAAACGCTAATTAAGTTATTCAATGAGTTACTTAGGAAGTATATTTGGTGACTGAGATTGATCATTTGTTAAGTAACCTGTTCAATGAATACTTGGGCCGAGGTCATCAAAAACTTTATTTCTCAATATTTAGGATGAATGAATCATACAGCTCCACATTCACAATATTCCTTATATAAAGTAATATATTTGTTCCATTTAAAAACATCCTTTGGAGTCCTTTGAAGTCAATCCATTCAGTTATCACATCATATAACATTTTATAATCAATTTATCGTTTGTTGTTTTAGCTTGATATTGCACTCATGAAACCATAATTCAGTCACTGATAATCTTTTGGTCAGATGGTACTAACGTTAGGACAATTTTTACACACACAACGTTTTTAGTCTCAAGTGTTTGATTAAAAGTGATTGCCTAAACGATTTTTTCGAATTCAATTCACTATCTATGATATGGACAGTGGGTTGAAAATCAGAAAGCAGAGGAAACCGGGAGACACTCTATGTTCTCATTAACACGAAAGGTATAACTGACAAGCTTAATGACTGACTTCGCGTATTTATTGGACTGACCATTTATATTGATTCCTTAACGTTTGATAACTATCTCTGTGTTGCACACCCGTCCAAGGAGTAAGGAAGTATGATAATGCATTAAAAAAAGAGACAAAATTGAAACCTAATAAGCCATAAGCCTTAATCAACAGATGATGAATCTCTATAGCCCAAACCAAAACTGAGTATTGGATGCTTGTGAATGTTCTAATAGTTACACCTTATCAGAAACTTTAGCTACCTATTTATGAAACGGTGAATTTCAAACAATAATGTTCAAGAAACGTACATCAGAAATCTTGGCCAATATATTGAATAATGAACTGAGTTTGGTCAGTAATAGCCACTATAATTTGTTCAGAAATTCCCTTTGTCTAGTTTATGTGAACAAAGAGGTTGTTGCTGAGACGGCCATTAAGATATAGATCTTAGGCAGTTAGCAGTAGTTGTGATCCTTTCTCACACGAAACATAAATTCTCTGAATGAGTGAAGTGTTAAGCACATCGTATGGTGTCTTCTGAAAAGTAATCGAAATGTCCCAAACTCCACAACCGTTATATCCAGGTTTATTTATGATTAAATATCCCCAGAGTGACTCAGATATGTTAGTGTTTAAATATGACAGGTTGGTGAGTGGGTAGATAGCTCAGTATAGTACCGACGGCGTCTGTTTAGCATGAGAACAAGCAGCTGATTAGAAAACACGGGTATTTGAGCGATAATCAATCTTCGAAAGTACTAAAATCAAAAACTTTGCACGAAAACGTTTACAGCTAATTACAACTATGTGGAACACATATAAAATTTTAAGGAAAGAATCTATAAAAAATATATTTACAAATCATATTTTAATATTTAACATAGATATATCTACTCTTCTTTAGAAATGGAGTACTGTGTGTAATTGAAAACAACCTGATCATAATTAATCATTTTTTACAGCTTTTGAACATTCTTTTAATGTTGGTTTGATAGAACTCAACATTAACTACTTAATTTATTGAATTTTTCTAGTGTTTTTTTTAGGTAGGAAAGTTGTTTCTTTATTGATTTTGGTTAACATCTTAGTCAAGCATGATTTCTCCAAGTATAGCGTTACTTTAATTCATCCAAGTTGTACCTTGAACAATATTTTATTGAACTAACTGAGCTCTTTGTTTTTAATACTATTTGATTGTTTGTTATCAATGTGATTTAAACATACTTGAATATGATCAATCGATTAGAACCAGTTTCCACCTAATTCGAGCGAATTTGTATTTGTTTTACACATAGTCATAGTAACAAATATTTCACTGAGATTTATTACGTTTATTCTATGCCAAACAGGAAACTTTTATTTTTTTTAAAAACAGGTGTTACCTACGGCTGTCATTCACTGATTTGATTGTATTTGCTTAAAACATACATGCTTCATAATATTTCTTAATGTTTACAATTCAATCTTTTGGTATTTTTATAGTTATTACAGATTGACAGGAAATGTACAGAGAGTTAAATCCATTTTCTATCTTCAGTTCACTTGTAAGGGTTGTGTAGATCATTTGGGTTGACTTTGAGATATGTAATTGACCAGTCTCTTTTGGTATATGTGCTTCGTCCGAGGATTGCTACGATATTGCCACTAAGTAGGAAGAGTTATTAGACAGAGTTGGATAGTGGCTGGCATTGGAATACAAGACGTGTGTCATAAGAGCCAGTAGCTATCTGGGTTTAATAGCTCAATGGATAATGAATTGAGCGTTTGAAGAGAAAGGTACTGGGTTTAGGTCATAGTATAAGCATAAATCCTGAGTACAGATACATCCAAATGATGAGCACCAAATGGATTGAAACTTGCCCATCCATCCAACTCTGTTTAAAACTTTTTACCTTTCTCCAGAAGTGCAGAAATAATATTTTCTCCTCATAGAATTTTTTCAGTTCAAATTTTTGAAAATAATGTTACTTCTTTGCTGTAATGAAGTAACGGTTTGTGAATATCGAAAATTCGCACAATACTATTGGAATAGCCTAAAAGCCTGTTGTGTCTGCTGCTATGTCAAACCCAAATAGGTTATTCTAGCTGACGGACAGACCGATTTATTCATTCTTCTTAAGTCACATTCGGACCTTTTCGATTACTCTCGTATATATGTGTATCGTTTACTTTATTTCATCACATATTCTTGGCTTATTTTTGTCTGACCATAAGTATCAAATCACGCTGTACCAAAACGAGTTAGCAAGTTGCCTTCTTCACCTCACTTTCCCGCTTTTCATTCTGAATGTCCGTCTGGAAAAACAAGTGCTTGAAATAAATTCACCCAAAGCAACTAGTATTTGGTTTTTTATTACTGCCATCACACAAACAGGGTTAGCCTAGTTAATATACGGAGTTAAATGGAAGATCTATATTTATGTGATATCTGTTCATTCTTTCAAATTGGAGTCAAATCAATGGGCCACAAATGGCCTACTATCTTAGTTTTTAGGTCATTAGTAAGACTGACACTTGTTTAATGCTCCATTTGATGTAGGAATATTTGTGTCTTTTGTTTACTGTGTCATAGCAACTCATCGGTGACGAACAATAATCCTAACGAATAAAGAAAGAGAAGCGACCTAATGAGGAAAGTTAGGTCGGTCTGTGTTAAATATTAATATACCCTAGGGGTGAGGTTGTCCGCAACGTTTAGAAGTTTAATAAGTGTGTTGTATCCGGCACTTTTGTTCACTTTCCCGTTTATTTAGTGAGTGAGTCTTGTATATTGAGGGAGAAATCTACATAAGGGACTCCATTTCAAACGTCTGGAGGTATCCCCAACTGTCTGCTATGAACATGTTGGTGTAGAGTAGTTCAACATGCCGAACAAAGAAAAATGCAATAAAATATAGGGTTTGAAATGAAATCTTCAATGGAAATTATGCACCAGTCGCTCATTAAATAAACAAATATATGTCCGAAGATCTTGGATATAATACACTTAAACATTAAAAAACCTTGCGGTTAACTTCAGCTAAAAAGGATTTTAACATTTGGTTAGATTTTTCTCTTTATTCGTTGGGATAATTGGTTGTCACAATTGAGTTGTTCAAAAAGAAAGGAGATTACTACGGCTGAAATGCAAAGAAAGACAACACATGTAGTCTGATGGCTGAAACGAAAATAAGCGTTAGCCCTTTGAAAGGTGATTTATTCATCCTTTGCAAACACGATTTGCGCCTAGACAATGGCTAGAAAACAGTGATGCAAAATAACTTTTTTGTTGTCTCGTATACACGGCCTATGAATCACTCTTGATCTTAAAGCGTACCATGTTAATGGCATGCAGATAACTAACGTGTCCCTAATTAAGGACATGTAAATGACTCACATGTCATGGCTAATGATTGTCACTATTTGATTAGTTCGTCTACTTACGTACATATATGACTCATCCAGATGTGGAAATTCAATGAGAAAAAGGCACTTACGTTTCATCTTGCGAATGTAGGACAAACAACGGTAGAAAATACTTTGCCATTAGCTGATTGGTCGCATACGTTTGCGGTTTGAAGGTCAACAGATCAACATGGTTAAACAGAGCACTCGTAGTTATAACGATAACCGGTTTGCCAGCACATCAAGCGTTTGGTGTTGTGGCTTTACTTTAACTTCCTACCAATGTTGACGTCCATCAAACGTTATCATGGTGAGTAGTTCGTTCACGTTTGATAAATTGCCTGTACTGTTAGATCAACTATGGTATATTCATATTTATGTCTGTTAACGTACTTATCTCGAAGTTTTGAGGAAAGAGTAAAATATTTTAAATTATGAATAGAAGATACTGAGTGAAACAAGGAGCAACTTGGTTCAAAATATCGAATTACTCAACATTACTGAAACATAAAGAATGTTAACACTACTGGTCATGTATGAGTTTTGTCACCTAATTTCCTCAATCACTAGTTATTGATATCTCTGACGCTTCCTTATCTAGAAAACATACTTCTACATAACACTTAAACTATTAATCGATGACTACAGTTAACAATCTCAAACTTTGTACTAGACATTGCAAATCTTCCTTACAGTTTATAGATACTTCAATGTAAAGTGTGAACTCTTATTTATTTATTTAAGCACAAACATTGGTACAAGGGGGTACCAAATGCATATGCGCCACATAAATCATTTCATTTGTGTGAGGGCTGGAATACACCCCGACTGCCCAAACCGAAGTATGTGGTTTTCATAGGGGAGCCACACCTGAAGCCTTTGACCTAAAGGCCTAATCCAAAAGTCAGTGAAGCAACGTTACGAGATGCAGTCCCATGGAAGCCGGTGATCAACAGTAGGTTCACGCACCAGTTGTTTACTTAGGATCCTATAGCCCATGTCCAACATTAGTTTGGAATCAGGGTTTTCCAACTCTCTTAGGTGAATCCTCCATATCAACCAACTCGGTCAAGGTGCCAGTTATTCACTTTTCGTTATTCTTTTTCTTGAACAACACCCTCATTGCAAGAAGTCATTGAGTATGACTTCTCTGATAGTGGCTGTATGCGCGTGGATATGTGATAACACTTCGAGAGGGAGAGCCGACTCTCCCCACTCTCAGCTGTACCAGGGAATTCGCAGGCAGTGTCAAGTCTTATCGTTTGTGGGGACGTAAATATCAAATTCTTACCTTCCACTTAAGATTATCAAATATGAAGCCAATAAAGTCTTGATATAATTCTTTCTTACGCTGGACGAGTCTAGAAATTATTTGCCTATGCTCACATGCTATCCCCGATCAAACTGTAAGGTGAGAGATTATAAACAAATCATGATACTGTAGGATGCCAACTGTGCATTTAGTTAAAGTCCCATATTATTTGTTCTCATCTGTGTCAGAACGATAGGTATATATAAACTTGTGATTCGTGTACACTTTAATTGGATTTGCCATTAACAGTTTCCTAGTCATTTCTCATTCTTTCGATTTACATAAAAGGTTGGACGAGGGTGTAACAAGCCTGTGTAATCGTAGCTGAATCGTACGTTCTCAGGACGTAACATCTTGTCAATTAGGTTTTAGTGTAGCTAATTGTCTAATTAACTATACATCGATCAACACTATAAGGACGATTATAACATTAGTCATTGACCAGTGATCAAATACTGCAAATGTTTATCGTTCAAGCTGTCAGTCATGGCCTGAATAGCTCAATGGTAACATCCCTAACTGTGATATTGGGTTTGAACCCCATGGGAAGTCTCAATTTTCTTAGAACTGCAAATAATATTTACTGACTAGTGGCAGTTACTATGAGATCTCGATCAAGAAGAGTTTCTTACAAATTGTCTCCAATCACATGAATAAAGCGTTAATTCTTATCCAAAACAAATCAGACTCATTTTCCTTATATTTATGTTCTGTTGGTTATGTTTTTTTTCAATTCGTAAATTTATGTACTTGAAAATTTCTTAAATAATCCATCTATTGGTAATTCTCAATATGAAATCTTTAATGTATCAAAGAAAACCAATCAGAATTATTATTACTTTTTGCCTATTGGAGTAATTTTTTTGGAAAAAAGCAATACACTTTAATAACTGGTATGTATATTTAAACTTGACATTTCATTGGTACAGAAATAACCTTCATCATCTGTATTTTTTTAATATTTTCCTCATAAATATACGCTACTTTTACCTCAATTTATTAATTTGTATAATTTTTGTAAAATTTGCCGACTGGTTATTTTTTTCCTTCTGAGATTCCCAATGAAATTACAGTTACCCAATGTGGATTGGGGTTCAGTAGGATGAATATTGAAAGTATTTTGTCATTGATCATTTCTTCATGAGTATTGTAATAAACATCAAGTTAAACATTCCAAATTATTCCATCCTATTAGGACTCATGGATTATTTATATGTTAATCATGTCAATAAAACTTGTATTTAATTGTTTGAAATTGAATTCAGAGGATTATTTATTGATTAGTCCTCCTCTCTGTTAGGGAGGATGAAAAAAGTTTCTCAACAGAAACCAACAGGAAATAATGTTAAGTCTAATGTTCTCAGTGAGTTTTTTTTAATGTCAAATTATATACATATATATATATATTCAGGACTCCTGAATGGCTTCGAACGTTTGTGATCTTCTATAGGGAAATCTTAATCATTGTCTTCTTTTAAGGTACCCTCAGTGAGAAGCGATGTTTGACACCTCAAGTCAGTTTGTGGATACAGAGGTTCAATCCAGGAAATTTGGGGAATCATGATTTCGAATCAGTGGTCTACATGAACTTCAGACTACTGAGTGGATGTGTCAACCTATTTTGGAAAGTCTTTGTTTTCCAACTTGTTTCATGGTCGTGATTCTAATGCTCATTACGATATTATTACTATGTTCATTTATTACTCATCGAAGGCAATAAACCAAGCCACTATATATAATATACATTGTAAACAACCAGAATAGTATATTTATTCCACTAAACTATTCTTTATTGTTTTTTAGACCTACATATTTTATAATGTTGAAAGGTAATCTCTAGTATCTTGGTTATCACAATTGAAATTAATCTAATTTGTTTTTAGAAAATGTCATTCACTTCTGTAGGTTTAATTTTACATTTTCTTTGGAGTAATCTTGGAATATGTTTTCAGAACTCCAATGACCTCTTCGTACTGTATGCTTAGGTGGTTAGAATAAAATTGGATTTAAATTTTTTTTTTAAAAACTCATCTTTTTTGTAGAAAGGATATGCAGCTTGGTAGTAAGACTCATAATAGACTTTGGTCCTAACTACATTGTACGGGCAATTTTTCTGTGGTTAAAGAAGATAGGCGTGTTACACAAATTATCCATTTTCTTAAGTGAAATTCACCCATCCCTCAGCATATTGTAGCAAATTAACTGCTTATCATCCTTTCTTAACCTATTTTCTGGTTGTTTTCATTTCCATTAGTTAACCTATTTACTTGTTATTCGATTTTGAATAATTCATCCTACGTTCAATTTAGCAAGATTACCTTTGTTAGAACTGAATGTTTTTTGAATATCGCTATTAAAGTTCTAAATGAATTAAGTATTGAGTAGATTGTTTATAATAAGAAAACAAGTATTTGTAAACATCCCGAAGGGTCGGAAATTAATTTTCTGATGTTGAATAAACGGCGATGTTTTAGATACTGTATTTGCTGTCTATACTTCTAGTATAGCCGATTATGAGACATTACACTATCTATGGGGTTACAACAAATGCTAAAACAAAGAATTAACCCTGTCTATAAAACATCTGAACCTTCGAAATGGTTTAGTCCCAATAGAAGTTCGAATCTCAGGTATATAAACCCTGGACTGTTTATAGAATAGGTTATGTCGATTGTGACATATTGAAATCTTGTGTAAGAATGGACTCATAGGAGCCCCTGAATTCCCTGTTACGGTCGAGGGTGGGGAGAGTTCATTCTTCTACTCGAAATGCTCTCACATGACCGCGCGTGTACAGTCACTATCAGAGAAGTCATACTCAATGCTTTCTCGTAGCGGGGGTGTTGTTTATGAAATTGAAAGGACTGAAAGCTAATGTCCGGCACCTTGATCGAGTTGATTGATGTGGATGATCCACCTAAAAGAGTTGGAAAACCTTGATTCCAAACCAATGTTAGACATTGGCTCCAGTATCTCGAGTGAGCTACTGGTGTATGAAACAGTCACCGGCTTCCATGGGACTGCATCTCGTAACGTTGCTTGACTGACTTTTGGATTAGATTTCTAGGTCAAAGGCTCCGGGTGTGAACTCCTATGAAAACCACGTGCTTCGGTTTGGACACCCAAAAATCAATGATAAATGCTACTGGCCTCATCGTTATTGTGTGGCGCATATGTATTTGATGCCCCCTTGTACCTATGTTTATGTGTCCGAATAAATAAATAAATATACTCGTACGTACGGACGTCTAAACTGCAAAAATGAAATCAATAATCATGGAGGAATTACGAATCTACAAATTAAATGGGCAATAACACTGCGTGGCGTAATTGAGAACAGTCAAAATGGGTTGAAGCTATCTGCAACATTTGTAGTCTCCAGCTCTTTAGGTCGCTTTTTCATCAATTTAGTGTGTTTTTGTTATGTATTAGGGTATAGTTTTCATAAAAGATTTAATTTCAAGACTTGACTTTTATTATATTTGTATCCATGCCGGATGTCAGACTGCACTACATTGGATTTGTCTGTAACAGGCAGTTGTAGATAGATCCAGTCTTTTGTATATCACTAAATCCTACTGTACTAACTAACAATCCAAACAGTTTGAAAAATAGTTAAAAACGGTCATATTAAGTCTGTTCGGGATATCGTGAATTTCAAAACGCTTGTACTATATTAAGAACCAGATTAAAACTACCTGTATTTGGTTCTGAAAACGGCTTACATCGATAAAAATTTATGTCGTACAACTGCACAACTAATGTAACATGATATCAAAGTAAATTAATTTAACTTTTTGAGTTTCTTACGGAAACGGAAGACACTACTTTTAATCTGGTTAGTTCATCAGTATAGTATGCTTATACTCCTTATTTTCTTGAAGTTTGCTGATGATCCTGTCAAGAAAGACAACGAAACTACACAATTAAATCCTCTAGTTCAGAAAACCCCATATCTGAAGCGTTAACTACTCACTGAAATTATTTGTTTGTATCAAGACCGTAGTCAAGAATATTTGATAGATATCTCAAGGTCCCAGCTGCATTGTGTCCTAACTGATACGAAAATTATTCACTCATATTATATGGATTCTGAATGACTAGTGGCTGTATTAAACTTAAGAAGATCACCTTTAGAGTCTCAAAGTTGTCAATATAGCATAGTTTTTACCGAGAATGAAACCATCGATTCAAGAGAATAGAATACTTTCGAAGTTCTCTTAGGCTACAAATCTTCATGGTTGTAAGTTTGCAAGCATTGTCATGCTTGTCTTTATTTATTTATCGAGAGAACCGAATGTATATTTTCATCTTGATAAATATTTTATCTACTAAAATGTTTCTGGTTCAATATCTGCTGCTTTCATATAATTTAAGCTAAATCGTTTTAACATTTGCGTCAAAAACCTTAAAGTTCGGGGTAAAGTTGGATGACGATTAATGACATTATTTATCTTTTCAAGTTTAGCAAAAGAGCTGGTTTTTATTTCTGTGATATTCCCTTTATAATCGTATTCGCAACAAATATGCATTTGATTATTCAATCCCAGATACAATCTTCAAGTGATCTAGTCATTGGTCAGTCAATTACTGAACATTTTATATTATCGAAAAAAGTTTAACCAGATATCTATTATGAAGAAAGATTGGGAATATACCTATATATTGGGTTTATACAATAATTAACCATAATTGCTAATTGAAGCGAAATCGTGAAATGTGATCAAGAAATCTTTTCTCATAGTTCCCATAGATTACTGGTAGACGAGGTTGTACTACTGATGACTGAAGGTGTGATGGCATCAAGGTTTCTTACCCAGACAACCAAAATCTCCAGCAATGCTACCTCACAACGAACAGAAGAGGCTAAAGTGGTCTACCCTAATATTAACACACCTCATATTCTCATGTGGGTTCTGGTCGTCAGCGGCAAGGTCTTGAAAGTATGAAGCTTACACATTTATAAGTACTCACAAGATGGCCATGTGTAATCGACCGCAAGTAATTGTCTCGTAGGTTTTGAGGTCATGCTTTCATGTTGACATTCACCACCACTAACACAGTTTCGTTTTCAATCACCTCAGGGAGAGAAGTATCCTTTCACGATGTGAGATTTCAGAAAGTGACAACCACCAACACATTGTTAACATCACCTGAGACTCTACAAGTGATGTTGATCCATCAAAGAGGGTAATTATTTTTGTAACTAGATGATATATTTATACTATGAAGCGTTATCTATTATCGTATAATGATTATTTTTAATTGTACAATATTGATTCATATTCATAGACGAACAACAACGTGTACAGAAGAAAACTTTCACTAATTGGGTCAATGCATGTTTGCAAAAGGTATGTTTAAACACATCCTTATTATGAATTTTCGAGGCTTTTTATTTCTTTAAATCAAAACTTTTTGAAGTCACTTTTCTCCAGTCTAGTTGATTGAAACTAATTCTCGAGTGGATGCAAAATATGAGGATACATGTACACTGCTGTAACATTAAGGTATACTGTAATTTTCACAGTTGAAATCATAAACCAGTTTTAGTTAGGCTACCATTGAAAACCTGGAAGCATTGAACGACGATTTCGTCCTGGTCTAGGACTCCTCAGATAACCCCTCACGCGGGGATCGAACACAAGAACTTCGGTCTCGAGTAGTTGTGTTAGTTGCATTGCATATATTTTGATTCATTGCAATAACGTTCATGAGGTCGATCAAAGTCAAACATTTTTTGGGTTTTTAGAGTGTTTAGAAATAAATTTATAAAAATAATCACCAATGGTTCTACAACAAATAATATTTATGGTTGAAATCATGAGTCAGTTGAAGCTAAACCACCATGGAAAACCTGAAAGCACTGGACGGCCGTTTGGTCGTATTGCGGGTTCCTCAGAAGTGCGCATTCACGATCCCACCTCGAGAGATTCGAACCCAGGACCTATGTCTCGTGCGTGAGCGCCTAACCTTTAGACCACTGAGCCGGCATTCAACGTTGCTAATGTCTAACTTCAACCAATCCACGAAACTGAGAAACCGTTCACCATTGTCTTCAGTGAGTTACTATCTCACAACAGTGCTCGCGCGCGAGAATGATGGGTCCTGGGTTCGAATCTTGCGGAACAAGATCGTGGATGCGCACTGCTGAGTCCCATGTTAGAACGAAACGCCGTCCAGTGCTTCTAGGTTTTCCATGGTGATTTAGCTTCGATTGACTCATGATTTCAATTTTGAAAAATACTGAAATCTCCACAAAACCCCTCTTCTGAAAATAATATTTAACTGGGGTTTCAAAAATTGTGATAAACTCATTTACAACAACGGTCAACTGTCAGTAGAAACAATCGCAAAAGTAATCAGTTCAATAAGGTTGCACAGATAAAGTGTGTCAACTAATTAGTAAACGTTGGGAGGTAGCCGTGCAACATCGTGGACTAATTGACGTTAGACATTGACGCTTCTGGATGCTTGCTCAATGGTCTAGAGGTTGGACGTTTGCATGGGAGACTCAAAGTCCTGGGTTCAATTCCCAGTTGTAGGGTCGTAGATCCGTACTGTTGAGAAGTCCCATGTTAAGACGAAATGGCTGTTCAATGCTTCCAGGTTTTAAATAGTAGTCTAGCTAAGATCAATTTGTGGTTTAAACTGTGAAAAGTCTAGAATCTTTACAAATCCCCCTATACTAATTAGAGAACAGTTAGTTAACAGTCAACCAGTGAAATACAAGGAGGAAATTATACACTTGAAACTAGTTACTCATAAGTAATACAGTTATCACAAATGGATCATATAAACAGCTCATATTAAAATTGAAACAAAAATTACCAAGTAATTCTATGAGAATTATCAAACGCGGTTCTCATCAGGATTGATGCCATCTACAGAATCAATGGAAGTCTAGAAGAGTTGAATAACAATGACTTTTTGTTTGGCTGAACGTGGAAGTCTGGAAAATTAGATATTGATCTACTAGTTGTCTTTCGTGTTCATTGCAAAAATCTGTAGTATTCAGTTCGATTATGTATTTGGGATTATTAGTGCTTTCCGCTGAAGATTTTCAACATATGGTCAAACAGCTGTAGTAGTACTGTGGTGTATGTTACTTATGTCTGTCGACAAAAATAGTATGTCTCACCAATCAGAAATGGAATGCCTGGAAGCAGACGCTTGAGAAGATTGAACTGAAGAAAACAGAAAAGGAACTTGAAGGTATTAAGAATCAGAAGAATCATGAAGGATGTAAAGGACAAATGAAGTATTTATTATATGGTTTTCACATTTTACCAAAGAACTCTGTAATTTTAAATTAAACAAATAAATTGGTCTCCTTTACTTAATTTCTTGTTTCGCTAACGTACTCCATGTGGTCAAGCGTTCCTAAAGGCTATTACTCACAATAATGGTTCTAACAGTGTAGAGTTTTACCCAATTAGTTCTCATGACAAACTTTGTATAACACGAACAGCAAGCATTATGTAGTGAAATGAATTCATTTCATTTCTAATGTTCTGATTCTTCCACATGCACTCACCGATTCTAATCAGCAAACAAAATGCTTAACAATGTAGTAATATGTGTAACGTGTATAAAGTTATTTAATTCATTATTGAGAAATATTTGTAAATACTTTTCATGTTCATGCAAGTTTAATATGTGAATGAATGGATCAAACGAGAAAGCTAGCCATGTTAGGTGTAGAACGTTTCCCCACAAATGTTTGCTCACTTCCATGAATTGATTAAAGTTAGGAATGTAAACCATCGGATGTCAAACTTGTTGATTTCAAGGTTAAGTGGCTGCCTATGTCTTAAGAGTCCTATATTAGGACAAAACTTCTGTTCAGTGTTTCTTAGTTTTCAGTGATTTTCTAAGCTAAAGTCTAATTTAAAACTCACAAAAAGAGGAATACTACAGAGTGATTGAACTCTAATATTGTATTGTGAATTCGTGATGATAAACCTTTATTTTTTCAAGAAATTTTATGTGTAGAGGTTAACCAATATATACGATATAAACAAAACTAATAGATGTGCACAGAAAATCTGCATTTCGGTTCACACAATAATAAATTTGATTAATAAAGGTACTTGAAATGATATTATATGAATTTTACAATTTAGTTAAATAATTTTGATAGTTGAGATCATGAATCAATTGAAGCTAAACCACCATGGAAAACCTGGAAGCGCAGGACGTCTGTTTCGTCCTATTGTGGTATTCCTCAGTTGTGCTCATCCACGATCCCGCCTCGAGAGATTCGAACCCAGGACCTATCAGTTTTGCGCGCGAGCTCTTAACATCTAGAACCACTGAGCCGGCATTCAACGTTGTTAATGTCTAACATCAACCAATCCACAACATTGAGCAACTATCCACCATTGTCTTCAGTGAGTTACTATCTCACAGCAGACCTGTTTGAACTCCACTGGTCACTGATTCTCACTAGAATTCCAAGAAATACCTCATGGTGTCAATCACTAGTGAGCATGTGTTGATTATTATCAGAAGGGGTTTCGTGGATATTATAGTAATTTTGATAGTTGAGATTATGAATCAATTGAATAATAAATAATTGTGTCTGACTGATTACTGTTCTTTACAAAAACACTATATGGAATAATTACATAACTAAGATTATACAATGTACTTTTAATCAGCGTGAGGAAAAACCAAACCAGTTACTATCTTTTCATTGATATTAATAGATACTGATAAGTTAGCATGAGGCATCTCATTTTTTACTGTTACTGTCTACACTTTTGATCACTTAATGATCAATGGTTTTGTAACGGCCAAGTTTAAGAATCATTTGGAAATAATTATTTTTGTACAATTTGGGTGATCATCAATATGAACTGAGTCAGTGATCTACAAGTTAACCATTCGCATGCTTGACCGAAGGTCCTAAGTTATTTTCCAAAATGAGCGCTGCTGAGGAGTTCCATATTAGGGTGAAACGGTAATCGTTTGCTTCCAGGTCTTCAATGATGATCTAGCTAAGATCAGCTCGTGATTTAAACTCTTGAAATCCTACATTCCTCACAAATTCCCCGATACTAGTAGTAAACCGTTAGCAATTAGAAAGTATTAGGCAGGTGTTTTAACTTATTCTCACGTATGCCTTATCAGTATTTACATCTATGGGATGACATATTCGCATAAACAAAGTTGGTAACAGAATTAAGTTTTTTTTTTTAGAGTAGATGGATTGTGTCTAGGTGTGGAGTATAGGGCTTACGTCTTGTGTTTTAAGGGACTCGTCAGCCGGATGTACCTGGGTCTCAGTCATGATATTCATATTGATACTCGATCCTTGTTAATAATTATATAAAATCGAATATTGCTAACTATAGTTGTCTTTCTGAAATTTTATGAACCAATTGATACTTGGATGAGTTTTGTTCCCTAAGCTACAAAGCTTCTCCATCATCACAGATACCTCTCTCTTTAGCATCAGTGAGATGCGAGCGATACTATGAAGTTTATCACACTTCTTACTGAAAACATATAAACAAGAATAAATTGCATGCATTTAATCATTGATAATGTTGAGTGAAGTCTTGTTTAATAAAGTAATTGAGTAAATCATGTTAAGTTATAATCACTGGATAAGTCAATTTGCCAGAATAAAAGTTATCAATTATATCTAGTACTATTGAATATTGATTTGAGTTGTGTGTGAAATTGTAGCACTAAGTGTTATGCAATAGAAATCAGTATTATTATTTAAAAGATCTTTAATATTTATCTTGCCTAGTGTAAAATGTTTAAATATTTTCTATTTTATGATGATATAATTCTTTTAATTTATTTAGCTACCTGACCCAATTCATATCAATGATCTTTTCAAAGATATTGGTGATGGAACTACTCTTATCCGTCTGCTTGAAGTATTATCAGGGGAAAAATTGGTAAGTTCACTTCATTTTATTATTTGTATGTTGAATAAATATGTCATTAAAGTAAGTCAGAATAGTTTAAGGCTTTTTTTAAACCCTAATTAACAAGTTTTATGTTTCTTTTCACAACTCAATGGGAGAATAAGTTATATATTTATTGACATAGCTTTTAACCAGTAATTTGCAAATTGGAACACAAAATCTACCTAATTCGTTTTCGTTAGTCTATGTAGTATCACTCTGTTTTACAAATGAATTAAATATAACTCGAAGTCGACTTAGTTGATTGATTACTATGTAGAAACTGATGCCATGTTTGCCTAGACCATAGTGGTGGTAGTGTTCTATTGATCAAGTTTCATTGTGGTCACTGGTCTAAGTTACTCAATACTACTGATTTTGATGTTAAGTAGTTTTAGGTAATCCACAGGAAACCCTGTAAATTGGAAAAATCTTGAGGAAACTGATGCTCCTTAGTCAACTCAAACTCAAATCAACAAGTTTCTGAGACGTTATCACTAACGTACATCGGTCTCAACTTAATTTCTTAAGTACTTAGCTATTTACATTACAAGGTTCACTTCCCAATTCGTGAGTTATCATTACGATAAAATAGTTTTAAAATGTTATCTCTAATATATAGAACTGAAGTTAATAATCAATTTATCAAAATCACTTTTCTTGATAATCAACTCTATTGAATAATATTTCTTGAATATTTTGGTTAATAATTTTGTGTAGATTAGTTTGATTGTAGGTGGTTTTCATTGCAGATTGACATCATTTGGATGTACCATTGAGACCCACTTGAAACGTAAAGGTTATGAGTTTGATCCCCAATTGAATCAAATTATTCGATCAATAAAGTATCTCATACTAGGATGAAAGGCTGTTCAATGCTCCGTAGTAATAATTGCTTTGTCATTTGAACAAGCTAGTCTGTGATGAATGCCACCTACTTTTTCAATGTTTGTGTGTTACATATGATTAACTTCTTCATCACAATAATATCGATCATTCTTTTGTTTATTTATTTCTTTGTACTGCTAAATTTGTGATTACATATATTTTCCGAAATACGTGGACCTTCAACTTTCAAGGTGCGAGTAAATAAGGCATGTAATCAGAACTGTGTACAAAGACTAAAATGTTACTCTGTACTGATAAGAATGAAAGCGTACGAATATATCGAGCTATGTTTTCCTCTTTCTTTGTTTTGAATGCCCCAATTTTTTGGCATCTTCAATCCAACTATGCATGTCATGGAATACGTATGACGTAATTTAACGTAATATTTACAGACTTAGATATTTATATATTTCGTACTTATCTCTTGGATAAGTTATTTTCCAGTAGATTCATCAATACATTTATTCTTGTTCTCGATACAGAACATCTAGTTCAATTATAAATAAAAATAATGTATTTTTAATATCCTAATGAGTGGAAAAATTAAGCTTTAAAATTTTCTGACGTTCCGTAACTCAGTGTAAGCCACTTCTTCAGAGAATAAATAAACAAATTAAGTTAACCCACGTTTAAATAGTACAAAGGAACAAAGCAAAATTAATCGATTGTGTATTCAACAGTACAATGTCTGTGAATATGCGATTCATGTTTAAGTATTTGAACACCTTTAATTCATAGAATGACTTATGTTTACATGTAAATTCATGACAGTTGAGGTGCTTAGTTCAACCTACAGTATTTATTTGATTCTTTTCTCTGTAACTAGTGTATCATTATTTAAAAAAAAACACTTGTGGTAATGTGCTCAATATGGAGGCATGCATGATTTCTATATTAAAGCCTTAATCATAACACTTTTAACTTGATCAAACTATTATTTTTCTAAATTCATTTAGTACTGTTTGTTTGAATCTTCCCATCGATATGTTAGGACTGCAACTGGTCAGTCTCTAATTGGAATATGTGCATACTGTGCGTATTGCCTCGATATAGCCTTAATTCACAAGCATGGTAAGCAGAGATGGATAGTATCGAGACAATACGCACAGTATTCACATATGCCAATTAGACACTGACCAGTTGCAGTCCTAACACATCGATGGGAATATTCAAACCAACAATACTAAATGAATTTAAACTTCACCCCATCGCACAAGCAAGTGGCTATCAGGACTCAGTGACCGAGTGGATAACGCGATAGCATTTGAAGCGAAATGTACTGGGTTTGAGTCCCAGAGTGAACATCAACTCTGAGATGCAGGTACATCTAGCTGACGAGTCTCAAATAGGACGAAACGCGCGTTCTGGATTCCACTGCTAGCCACTATCCATCTCTATTAACTTTCTATTTTAAAGTTGGGTACTTCAACGAAAGTTGATATAATACAACCGAAGTCACAGTAATTTATTATCTGCAAAAAATTTCCCTTTCTGTTCATTTAGTTATTATTTCACTATTATTTTCAACAGTTGAACATTTAAAACAATTGAATGATACAAAAATGTATGTCACCAGTTATGCAAATCATTGTTGTTGTTGTTGTTTTTTCATTCACTGTTTACAATTAATAATAATTTTAGTATTATCATTGATGACCGTAACTATTTATTCATCCAAATAAAGTTTATGCATTATTAACCAATTTGTGAGAGTGGGATAACAACTAAGTAAGAGATAGCAAGCGTTATTTGTTTGTTTTTTTTTCTTTTAAAATTTGAAAACTGTTCTAATTTTTTCTTTAGTCTCCACCACATCACTCTTTTTTTAATACCGCAATTGATTACTAAATTTGTTTTAATTAACCAATAACAATAATAATTGTGTTTTAATATTTCATACAAATAATTAATTAAATTATATTTTGATTTATCCGCCTACATTTTTACCCATTCTATCAACAATTATGCTTCGGTTTCATTTCGTAATAGGAATTATACTTTAGATATATGCTTAATAAATTTTTTTAATTTTAATTTTGATTTGTTTTTTTTTCATTAAAAAAAACTTAACTGCAATACCCTGCTGACATTATCTTCAACATCATCCTTATTAACCTTATCTGAACAATGACCAGATTTTCATTACCGTAATGCTTTCTTTTTCTCTATTTTTCTACCTTCATTACAACTGCATTATATGTGTATTGCTTATTATTTTTTTTCTCGGGGGATAAAAAAATTAATCAATACTAAGTGATATTATTTACATTGATTGAATACAGAAATGTACATTTATCTATCTACTGTGAACCAACTACCGTTTATCCTCTCGTTATACATATATACTTCAATATATGTAATGGTGTGTTGTTATTTAATAATTGGCTTTATTATTACTATTTTTTGTGGAAAATAATTCATTACATTTATTTATTGATTGATCAGTAATGAATTTGTGTTGTTGTTGTTGTTGTTACCTTAGGCAACGCCCTGTTCTGCATTTATTCTGTTAAATGACTCATAAAAATTACTTCTTTTTTTCAGATCAGTTTTATGTGTTACTGTTTATTATATGGGTATATGTATATATTACGCTACAATTAATGTTCTATTATGATTGTTACAATTATTATGATGGTATAAACATATTATAAGTTAATTTTAATTATGTACAATGCTTATGAATATTCTAGAATATTTTGTTTATTCTCCACGAAGTAGATTTTTTTTTCTGTAAATTTTACAACTCATCGACCATTTACAAATTGATGTATAGTGAACGAGAACTTAGGTGAGGAAAACCAATTTATCGTTTAGTGCAAAATTACAGTGTATTAGTAAAATATGAAAGTCATCCATTAAATACTTCATTTGTATATCTTACATCAGTTATCTTTTACAAACTTCATCGTTCCTTTATTCCTGTTGTGATTACAATTACTGTCTGTTTATATTCCTGTTTTCTTCAGTTTGATCTCAATTTTCTGTTTCGAGGCGTTCCAGTTTTGATGGGTGTTACATACTACTTATATTTTTGTCAACATAAGTAGCATACACCCCATATGTACTTGGTTTTAAGCTTTATTGTTTATGTAAGGACTAATGATGCTATCAGCTTTTCCTAAACAGCAAGTGAGGATGGGTTGGAGTTTGAAATTACGGCATACTGGTTGAAGGTCGTGTATTTTAACTATTAAGCTACTGTTTCGAAAAACTCAAATAGGAACTTTATTGAATTCATTTAGAGAAATTGGTGATTCCAATTAATTTCTCAATAATACAATTCGTTAATCGTCTAACTTGTGTTTATCGTTACAGTAAACATTTCTATGAAGATCTAGTTTATCCTTAAGACTGTTTACTGATTGAATTGATATTATTACATGATCTGATCTTAGTTTCAAGTTGTCACTTTATGGAAAAAAGACGAAATCCTAACTACAGTTTATTTTAACATAGGTTTGCAACCTTCTTGTGATAACTTTAGAGATAATCAGTTTGATGGGATTAAAAAATTAATCTATACTAAATAACTCCCGTCATTGCTTTAAGTGGGCAGTCAGATTCTAATTGCCTAAATTGCTCTTCATAGGGGAAGTTTGAAACGTCCAGTCACTAATTTAGTATTTACTATTTGAAAATGATCAAACTTATCAGCATCTTTATACAATGATGGCTTTGTTCCATAGAGAAAATAGTTAAATGATCTCTCACGTAGCAGTTGCGTAAGTCACCATCTTCTCGATGCAAAAGCATTTGAAACAGCTATGAAACCAACTGTATTACAGCATACTATCATTTTTGTTATTGTTTATAATTACCCCTAAGTTTATTTGTTCTAGAACCTGTCAGTTGTATCCTGTCGATATGCTGTTGATGATGACTACCTTGTTAAATGTTAAATTAGTTCCTCATCAATGCCCATAATTTCAAATTAACAGTTTTTTAAACAACTGATTATTTTAGTGTTAGATTAGAGGTGATCGGAGTGAAATCCTTCACTCTAGATTTCATGTTAGCCAATACTCATTAGCAAGATATGCATACCTTCAATATTAAGGAAGTTAGTTTTGTATACGAGACTCAAACTCACGTCCACTAGTGTCACAATCAAGGATGTTACTACTAAGCTGGTCAAGCCGTGATTGACTTCTTAATAGATTGAATTATTTACACCAAAGGATTACTGATTAGTAACAAAAGTCCTGTTTGTCTAGATTTTAATACTAATTGAATTCTAACGATCAAGTGTCGATTGTAATTATTTTTCAGATCTCATCAATTTCATTGTTTGTATCTCTTTAAATTTTTATTTCTTTGACTAATTTAAACCACTGATCAATACTATACTGTTCGTGTGATATCCATCATAAATAAAAATGCTATTTTAACATTGTATTGCAATCCCCGAATGCCCTAGTATAGCCTGGAGTGGGGAGAGTCCACTCTCCCTCTCGAAATGTTATCACATAGCCACGCGCATACAGTCACTGCCAGAAAAGTCATACTCAATGCCTTTTTGTGGCGGAGGTGTTGTTCACGAAATTGAAAGGATGAAAAGCGAATGTCTGGCACCTTAACCGGGTTGGTTGATATGGAGGATCCACCTAAGAAAGTTGGAAAACCCTGATTCCAAACCAATATTGCACATTGGCTTCAGGATCCCAAATGAACAAAAAGAGCATGAACCTATTGTTTATCACTGGCTACCGTGAGAATGCATCTCCTAGCGGTGTCCCACTGCTTTGTGGATTAGACCTTTAGATCAAAGGCTCGAGGAGTGGCCCCCTAAGAAGACCACGTTCTTGGGTTTGGGCACCCGGGAAGTATTCCAGCCCTCACATAAATCTAATGACTATGTGTGGTTTCCCCTCATACCAATGTTTATATGTTTAAATAAATAAGCTGTAAGACTCACTAAATCATATGAACTCAGAAACTCAAATTTCGATTGTTTAATTAATGATCAATAAATCAATAAAATCTGCTGACACAGTATGGTGTTGGGATCGCTGAAGAAGCAATTTGTAATACAAAATAGTTATGTACGTGTGACGCATATGAGTATGTCCGTTTGCACTCACTTGTCAACACATCCCACCCATAATACGTATTTATTATGCACTCACAAGCGGGGTTCGTGCCCCTTATATTATCTTCATATTTCATTGGGTTTCATTTATTTTTGTTTAAAAGTTTTGAGAATCGTCCCATGAAATAAATGCGATAAAAAGTTTTTTTAATGTTCTAATTACTTGAATATTGAAAGAATATTTGTGTTAAATTTTATACTTATTCCCTTACCAGTTATTTTGTTTGTATCATATGATTTTCATCAATATTTCGTATGTCAACATACCATGATATTTCCGGTTTAAATAAAATAATGCTATCAGAAAGGGGTTTTCCTGAGATTGTAGTAATTTAGTAGTTGAATTCATGAATTGATTGAAACACCAATTGATACTGGCTTAGTGGTCTGGAGGTTAGGCGTTCGCGTGCGAGATCGACTGTCCTGATTTCGAATCCTGCTAGCGGGATAGTGGATACGAGCTTCTGAGGAATCCCGTACTAAGACGAAACGGTCGTTTAGTGCTTTCAGATGTTCCATGGTGATCTAGTTTTAATTGACTCATGAATTCAACTAATAAAATAATATTGTTAATCATCGTTATTTAGTTTGGCGTGATAATTTTTGTTCCCGCACACAACTACTTACAATTTAGAATTGTGAAATTGCAGTGACATCATAAGTTTAGTTGAGGAAGAGAGAGAGGTTATTTTTTTGCACATTTATTTTTGTTGTTTGTTGATAAAATATATGTTGAAAAGTAATCATTTTACTATGTTGAGATTAGGGTAGTTTGTTTGATATTATTCCCATTTATACTTGTTTTTCATTTTCTTGATTCCTTCCTTTTTCACAAGTGGGTTGATTTTAAGTGTAGCAACTTGAATAAACATATGGACATTCATGTCAGATTCTACGTTGACTATGATTAACTGGCTGACTGTGAAGATTTGAAATTTATGATGTTAAGAAACATGTAACCTACTGACTCATGCAATATTAGCGGATTTATTGTACAATAATGTGGATGAGTAATCATGATGTAATTTTCGTTTGTAGCCGAAAGCTTCTCTAATTGAAACATATGAACGGTAAAAGATATAAGAACAATTAATTTGTCAAACCACAGTTTAAAATTAGGATTATTTGCTGGATAATCAATAAGACAATACGAAATCCAACTTACAATTGATCGATAACCCTTTGGTGACTGATATTCAATTTATTTAGTCCTCATTGTTGACCGAATTTCGATCAAGTTTCTATGTGACCAAGACTATGGGAGAAGTATGGTGTCCTAGTAGTTAAAAGAATGACCTTCAACCAAGTTGGTCACGGGTTCGAACTTCGTTTGGCATACTTTGATTTGGGAGACCGGTTAATATCACAAAACTCTATCCAACTAAGATTTAACTTAATGTCAAATGCACAGACCTGAAACTAATAAATGATTTACATCGTTCATATATTTCTTGTGACTTTTGCCATGTGACAAAATCACCAATCAGAATACCAAATCATATGACCTTGTTTTTGTGCTTAAACCAACATGTCAACCGTCACTAGCCGCTTTGTGTGAACTCTGAATCCTTATTGATCCTCTGTATAAAAGCTTCTCACCTAACCCATCCTATTGAGTCCAGAACACAAATATCAGCTTCCCTTATACGAATCGTATATTTAAGACATACTTAGTTTATATACAAACGAATCAGACGGGATCACATCATAAAATAAGAAAATAAAAATTATACGAAGTCGAGTAAAAAGTGATTTAGAGTGTAAGAGATTGTAACTAAGAGATTGGAAATGACTTAAGAATAGTAAATCATATAATAGTAGTCAATAGGTCAACTAAAAGTTTTTGATAAACGGAAAAAGTATCAATTCTTATAAGGTCTATACATAAACTATACTAACCGAATTTTTCTGTATGTTCAAAATTATTGTATAATTCATTTTTACGTAATTTATCATTTTATTCTTTGTTATGTACTTTGCTGATGTTGTCGTTGTTGTTGTTGTTCATTTAGCAAATTGAAAATCCTCGTATTATTCAAAGAGCTCATAAACTTAGTAATGTTCGTAATGCTTTAGATTATTTAGAAAAAACATGTAAAGTAAGTTTTTATGAAGTTTATAGATTTTGTGAATCATATTACCTTATATTAATTTATCTGATTGTTAGAATATATTGTATTTCACATAAAAATAATTAACTAAGGAGAACTTATTCTGATATTGCTTAGGGAATTATTGATCTCAATTAGAGAATTTCAAACCAAAACGTGGCGTCAGAGCTTGAAGTAATTAACTTCTAGTCTGAGCCATGTTGGTAAATGCAGACTAATTGGTTGGGATCTGTGCGACTATCGTAACCAATGGTTGGAAACTCTAGGTGACATGGCTGAGAATCGATCACAATGGTGCAGGTGTATACACTTAAAATCTTCCATTAAACCTTGGGATTAAAATTGTTTCATATCTTTGTTCCCTCCTGTATTATATCCTTATATACAACTTTTATTTTCTACATTAACACTGCTAGATTAACTACCATGAATTTGGTGTTCATCTTGTGCTACTGAGGTATGGTAACTTGGACCGATGCATATGTGTTCCTGGTCCTACGTTGTAGCTGACTAACTGACTGAAGTGTTTCATATTAATATTGCAGTGAATGAGAAGACAAGTATGGACAATCAAATGTATTTAAACACAAAATTACAGAATCTCTTAGTAAAATCTGCGAACCATACAGTGAATTCTTCATTTACAAAATTCCAATCAATTGTTTCAGATTTGATTGTTCCTTCGTTTCCACACCAATCATTCTCTGTTCTCTTTCTCTTCTCTTCGATCTTCTTAAACTTCTGTCATTAGGCCTTTCATTTTTGATTTTTGATACATGCTACTTATATCTGTGGACAACAACAACACATACCACAGTATGAGATTTCTTTAATATGCACCCACAAGCCTTTCAAAGTTTGTCATATATATATATATATTATGGATGAGAACTCAGATAGGGGAAGCCATTTTATTGTTTAGTGTAAAATTACAGTATCTTCTAGTTTTTTAATGATCTAATTCATCATTAAAGTGATTATTTTACGATGGGTAACTCCGGAACGAGTGAAAAGTAAATTATTTAGTATAGACTTCTAATGCTATGATGGCTGACCCCGAAAATATAGCAATACGAAGTTTGTTTTGATATTCATTTAACTTTGTTTTTACACTTTAGTCTTTTATTCTAGCTAACTTGTGAGTATATCAAAAATAAGATTACAGATGGCCAAAATAAAGATAATATTATGGTGAACGAATATTAATTTGGGGATGACGAATTTATTTGTCAATAAAAAATCACAGAATGTCTTCATAAAATACGAAAACCATTCATATCTTCCATCAACTAGTTCTTGCATTATCGTTCCTCCCTTCCTGATTTTATTACACTCTGTTTGCACTCGTGTTGTCTTCAATTTGATCTCAATTTTCTGCTTCGAGGCATTCCAGTTGTGATCGGTGTTACATACTACTTATATTTGTCAACATAAGTAGCATCCATTACATAGGTGTGTATAAACACTCGAGTGAGAAGCCGTGACCAGTGGAGTTCAGTCCATCTTGAGTATAGATAAGTATTTACCTCAGTCAATGGATGAAGGGTTGCGCAAGATCATGGATCGGTTGTTGTTAGACATTAACACCGTTGGATGTCTACCGGCTCAGTGATCTAGAAGTTAGGCTTCCGCGCACGAGACTGAAGGTCCCGGCTTCGACTCCTCAATGCGTGGTCGTGATTGCGCACTGCTGAGGAGTCCCATACTAGAAATACACAGCCGTCCAGTGCTTCCAGGCTTTCAATAGTGTTTTAGCTTAGGTTGACTCATGAATTTAGCTACTAAACTTAAAGCAATAGTTTTATTCTCGAAATGCTTAGCGTGCAGACCAAATTAAATTTACAATAAAGTTTTTAAATGCACTTATTATTTGATGTTGTCTGTTTTTAAGCAAAAAAGTGTTTATTTGTTTGTTTTTCTTTTAAATATTTTTTTACCATAGATAAAACTTGTAAATATCAATCCTGCAGATGTGGTCGACGGGAAACCAGCAATTGTTTTAGGTCTTATATGGTCGATTATATTATTTTATCAAGTAAGCTAAATGAATTATTCCTGATATTATATAACACCGAAATGATCACACTAATTTACAATCGTGATCAAGTTAGTATACAATGGACGCAATGTTTCAAAGAAATAAGGTTGTGTTATTTGGAAAGATGTGATTCATAGATTTTTTCAACTGAAGGATTACTCACTAAGCTATGGATGATTTTGAACTATTTAATAGGGCCAGAATGAATAATCAGTGGTGATGACATTTTAGGATAAGACATGCTCTGGTACGGCCTAGAGTGATAAGAGTCAGCTTTCCTTCCTGAAACGCTCTCAAATGGCCACGCATATAAAGCCACTGTCAAGGAAGTCCTACTCAGTACCTTATCTCGGTAGGGGTGTTGTTTACGAAATTGAGAGAACGAAAAGCGAATATTCGACACACTAACTTAGTTGGTTGATATGGAGGATCCACCTAATACAGTTGGAAAACCCTAATTCCTAACCAATGTTGGACATGGGCTTCAGGATCCTGAGGGAGCAGTTGGCGTGTGAACCTATTGTAGGTCCACGGCTAACATGGGACTGCATCTCGTAACGTTGCTCCACTGACTTTTGGGTTAGATTTTTAAGTCAAAGGCTCAAAGTATGCCCCCCCATTGAAACTACCTACTTGAGTTTGTGCGCCCGAGCATTATCACAGCCCTAACATAAATCAATGATAACTGCTATTGGCCTCATTGTTATTGTGTGGCGCATACGTATTTGGTGCCCCCTTGTACCAATGTTTATGCTTTCAAATGAATAAATAAATAAGGGCAAAACATTGCACATTATATATATATATATGAAGCGTAACAGTCATCCGTTTTATATTTACGTAATTGTTTTTAATAAACAGTATAGAGCGGAAATGACACAACAACAATATTATGAGCGTTCAGGAATGATTTATTATGACAAAACAGATTATTTAAAAATTACATCAGTACTTCTGGGTTTGAATTTGAATTCAGGGGTGTTCGTGCGTATGTGTATTGATGATTATAACACTGATAGTAAGCAAAATGTAAGTGGCAAATTATACTGAATTTTATCGGTAATAAATTGCCATGGCAACCGTACTCAAACTATATATATCTGCATCATATTCTGTCGTGGAAGGAAATTGATAAAACCTTTTTACAAGTAAATGTTTTTTACATACTATATTAGCATAATCTCTACAGATTATGGATAAAGGATTATGTCTGTATGGTTAATGTAGGTTGTACAAACAAGTTATTTGTTTAATAAATAATTTGTGCACTGTCCAACAAAATATATATGAATTAAGCAAAGCAAAATACAGTCAGTCAGAAATAAAACCCCACAAAAATTCACTTTAATTTGATTAAATCTGACCATGTTTTTCCTATTCATTTGTTTCCCTGCTGAAATGACTAGCATCATTTCCGGTTTTTAGTTTAAATATGCCGTGTACATGTTGTCTATTTTTTTTCCACAACAACTGGACAAAATATTTAGTGAATTAGTTTTGTAGAAAATCAGTGGTGTTCAAGAGTATCTTGACTATGAAAAGGCACCAACTTTTATCATTAAATATTATGGATTACAGTGTTATAAACTTATCCCATCTAATGTCGATAATCGCTTTACTTATAGATTCACTGCATTAATTTTTAGATTATCATATAAATTGGTTCTGTAGAGAAATGAAATGTGTCAAGACTATAGTTTATGGATAAACCAATCAGATTTAGGATAACGGGTCTTGGATTTTGGTCTGAAATTCATTCATCCATTTGGCTAAATAGCGTTTCGGCATTTCAGTTGATTTCAGTTAGTGATAAAAACCCTCAATCTAATTCCTAACTCAAACTATCAACTGAAAATCGTAATCCTTACTGATACAGGTTAATAAGCCTCATTTAGTCCTTTGTAAGTGGATATTTTCAAGGTCACATTAGCGTCACTCAAAGGTCGTCTGTAAATTATAGTCTCACCAATGCTGTTTATCAATTAAAATCAGAAATTATTTTTTTAAAATCGGTTTTGTAACGTTCACTAGATTCAAGGTCATCAGAAAGTTTTAAAAGACGCATTGAAATCTCGTCGTAAAAGTCTCTCAAAATCAATCGATTCTGATGCCACTGGAAATGCTAGTAGTAAATCTGAAGAGACCAGTTTATCTGAACAAGTGGATAGTACAAAAAGTGTAACCGGTTCCAGGACTCGACAAGCTTTATTAACTTGGGTGGAACAGTCTTTTCGTTCTCATAAATCGTAAGTTATTATTAGTTGTAATCATAATAAATTAATGCACTTGTTTTTGAATTTAAGTTTTCTTAAATTTGTCCTTTAACTATGATTTCTACATTTTTGTATTTGTTTTTAATATTCACATGTTTGCAAGTTATAGCACTTTGTAGTGAGATCACACATTGGGAAGGTACAGATTAGTGCACTAGGATTCAGGTCATAATGTTTGTGCTAATGCAAGTAATAATACCTATCACCTATGCAGATCAAATTCGGAGAGGGATGTGAGCGTACAACTAAATAGTTGAAAACCTAGTTGTTTAACCATATAAGCAACTGTATGTTTGTAACATACATGAATATGACGCTGAACCATAGTGATGATATGATGGATAATAAATATACCTGTTTTAATGCCCCAAATGTATTAGTTCGTAAATAACTTATGAAATCTGTATCCCAGAACTATTCATTATTTAGATGAAGCTTAATCATGTTCGTTTTGTGTTGAATGTTCTGAAGATACAAGTATATCATTTTGTTTTATGAAGTAATTTGTCATATATTACTGACTAATTATTTTATCTTATGATATGTGTTCATCATGAGCTTGTTTCAGTTATTGACTAGATTAGTAAGTAGTATACTTATCATTAACTTGGCCATAACCAAGTCAGGCGATCGATCGCACACAAACATTTACCGATTTTTCACTGTTGTATATGTATCCTTGTGTGCTACATATATATTTTCTGTAGTTTGATGTGAATATCAGGTAATGCATTGTTGTTTCCATTCATCAGTTTTCTCATCAGTTCGCTACTTTTCAAATGTGTTTTCTTTGTCTTGTTTTTTTCTTTTATTTCACTAAGAACGTTGGAAATTAGAGTTACAGACTTTGGTTCATCTTGGCGTGATGGTAAAGCATTTTGTGCTTTGGTGCATAACATTAATCCAAGTCTTATTGATATGGGTGAAGTTATGCATCGAAAAAACCGTGAGAATTTAGAATTTGCTTTCAATGTAGCTGAACAACGACTTGGTATACCAAAATTATTAGATCCTGAAGGTAATTTATTTTCATATTATATCAAACAATTATTATTTTTAAAGATTTAAAAAGTTCCTACATTACGACATAACATACATATTATTAGTATGGGGGATTGTAATATTTTCATAGTTGAATGAAGTCACTAATGCACACTTCTAAATAGTCCATATATTGTTGTTCATTATTCCCAAATTTCAATACCTCTTTAACTAATATTATAGCAAACGAAAACTGAGGTGGGTTAGACCAATTCATTATTCAATGCCAAATTATAGAGTATTTTCGTGAAAAATATGGAAAAAAACATATTAAATACTTTATTTCCACATCTTCCTTCACTTGTCCATTACATGCTTCATGATTCTTTCAATTCTGTTGTTTTCAGAATGACTCATTGTTTTCCTTGCTGTTTTCCACCATTCAATCTTCTGCTGCCAGGTATTCCGCTTCTGATTGCTGTTACATACTACTTATTTATGTCAACATAAGTGGCATACGCCATAATTTTAACTTTTACTAAAAAATAAACTTTCTCTTGAATTGCACCTTATCGAGAAGTAAATGAACACTGTGATTTAATATTTACAATAATATATTCTCCTTACATTTATTCATTTCATTCTAGATGTTGATGTGGATAAACCGGATGAACGTTCAATTATAACATATGTAGCACAATTTATTCTAATCGCTAGTTCACATCCACCTAAGGTTGGTTGACCTTCATTTTTTTCTTGAAGTGATTCTCAGTTTATACGAATATTCGTCAATATTAGAAAGAGTAGTCTGACAGAAATTGGGCTCAGTATAGAGAAGAAACTATGAGAATTATATATATATATATATAGTTCCTGGAAGTTGCCAATAATTTAATTTTCGGATACAACAATTTCGACATAGCTATTATGTTAACCTTAATATGAGAATATCATGTGGACTAAAAAAGAAACGTGGAATGAAGAATATTTTATAGGAAAGGGATTGAACAAATATGCACATTAACTAGGATTTGTAGTAACGGTTCATTATATGTGACTGATTAGCTTGATTAAGGAGGGGGAGCACGTATATAATTCATTTAAAATTATTTGTAGCAGTAGTTATATCATATAATATTTACATATTATGTTCAGAGTAAGTTATTTGATAATCAGTGTATTGAAACATCGTTTGAACATACTTTTATTATTGTATATATCGTCATCTACCATTAGTATTTCCATTCTTTGCTTTCATCTAGTCATATCATTTCGACAGAAGCATCATTAACATAGCCATAATAGTTTACTTTAGTTGTCGTATCATTATTTGATTGTGTAAAAGGATGAACAAATAGACTGAACATATCTTCTATATATCTCTGTAGGTTGTATTAACATCAGCTTATTTTTTATTTCTTTTCGCGAATTGCTGGAAGAAAACTAACAATCTCATATGCTGTCTTTGTAAGGGATTCCTATTATCTTTAAAATTGTTGAACTCCAAATAGATCTGAATAGTCATCTAAAGGTATCATGCTCATTGTCAAACCTACAGTTACTGAAAGTTTTACAGTTAATTTTGTCGCATTGTGAACATAGCAACCATTAATACAAAATTAGTTTAAGATAAATCATTATAAATTATTTTACCTTACTGCTTGATTCACTATTTAATTTCCTGCCAAGATCAAATCAAGATCTGGTTCACGTCGATCAAGTACTAACAGTTTGGAAAAACTACAATCTCAACAGAAATTAAAAGTAACAAATATCGACATCAAAACTGAATCTAAAACAGAAAATGAATATCATACACCACTTAGATTAGCTTCATATGAACCTGATCCTGAAATTGATCCTGCATTAATTTTGAATGCATCAACTACTGCTAATTTCCTGGAACGTCGTCGTGCCAGACGAGCAAGTTTAAGTGGTCCACAAACTATGGATGATGAAGCACTACATAATCTAATTTTAGCTACAAGTCCTGTAAGTTCTGAGACTGGTGGTGCTTCTACACCTACAGACGATGCAGCTATCGCATTATCTTCATCAACACCAGGCTATACGCGTACTACTATGTCAGGTTCTCCATCTCCGCCTAGTTATAGTACATCACCACACCGATCTGGTCGTGCACGTTCATATGCTGGATTACGTTTGTGCCGAGTAGCTAAAAATGTATCAAAATGTCGTGCAATTGCAAACATTCGTGTAACAGCTGAACCACCTCGAGCTACACGTCATATCGTTCCTGTTCTACATTTAGGTGGAGAGGTGCATATTTATCTAGCATTATTATTGTTATTGTTTGTTGTTCGTTTGGTCACTGTTGTCAATGAGATAATGCATGATAACTCACCACTGGAAAGTTCGTTGCTCACATGTTTTCGGAAATAAACTCGTTGTTCGTGTTAGTATTTTTTAAAGGCTATGCAAAGTATTAAGTTATACCGGAAGTTTTCACATTTGTTGTCGATTAAAAGTCGATATCATTTTGCATTGTTTGTTTGAATCTTCCCATTGATGCTTAGGACTGCAATTGGTCAGTCTCTTATTGGCATATATGTATCGTGTGTGGATTGCCTCGATATTGTCTTTAATCACAAACATTATAAGCAAAGCTGAATAGTGGCTAGTAGCGTAATCCAGGACGTGCATTTCGTCCTATTTGGCACTCGTCAGGTGGATGTACTTGAATCCCAAAGTTGATGTTCACTCCGGGACTCGACACATAATGCCGTTCGCTTCAACCATTCCTAAGTAGGACGAAACGTACGTCCTGGATTACACTATTAGCCACCATACATCCTTGCTTATAAATATCGATATTGTAACTGTAGTTTAAAGTTTTATTAGAATAAATGTTTTAGCAAGTAATTTAATTAATCTTTTATGCCTTGTACAGTTCACTCCAGCTATATGTAAATCACCTGAAAAGGTTATTTGTTAAGTAGCTTATTAAAACAAACTGCTATTAATAATAACACTGTTCATTAAAAGTAAGCTACAACAAGCCAGTCAATTGTAGTTCCTATTTGTTCCATTTCAACAGAGAAGTCGTGTAAACATCTGTGTAGTATGTTTTTAACTTGAAAACGATATTGTGGATTTTCTGTCCAGTTGACTGTGTAGTTATCAACGCTTACCTTCTTTTGGTCAAAACAGATATTGACTTAAACTAATTCTTATGTAAAATTTAAATAATCCCTATGAATCTAGTTTTCTGATGAGGTAATATAAGACTATATAGTTTTACTCACAATAAATTCTGATACATTTTAATATATTTAACATTTTCATTATAACCTCAATTCATTAGAACCTGTAACTTACCTATATATCTCTGATATATATCACATTCATAACTATATAGGAAGGCAAGAGGTGATTTAATTATTCTTTTATGTTTGCAAATGTATGAAACTTTAGATTTGAATGAAGTGTTTATTTAGTTATTGAATCATCACTGGATTTATGTACACTTGTTTATTTTTCATAGTGTAAATAAATTATTGTCTACTTCTCATTTTATTATAATTATGTTGTCATTTAAACGTTGTGCTCTTCTTGTACCAATATAAAGCGTATATCTATAATGTTTACTTGTCATGTATATGTGTACGTGTATTTCCCCTTTTTTTTTTATCTCTATCCACCTTATTAATTAATTAATTAATTGATTTTCAAGGGTAATGAACAAACAGAAGCGGAAAAAGAACGTATTCTACTAATTACTATTAAAGAGTTAATTGCTCGAGTTCGACATAATCCAATTGAATCACAAGATTTTCTCACTGAATTTGAAGTTAGTTCTATTCATTATGATTTTGATTAAATCATTGAAATTCTATGTAAATATTGTGTATTTCAATTGCTTTGTTCCATGAATTTGAAAAAAGTCATAATTTGTGACAATGTTCTTTATTGTAGTGTTTAAAATTAAGTGATAAAATTTTCAAAAATTCGTAGTGTAGTGACAAGCATTCCACTTCTGACTGGTGTTACATACTACTTATATCTGTCGACATAAGAAGCATACACCACAGTAGTAGTAAATAGTGATCAGTAGAAATGTCATTCAAAGTTAAATGGTACAAGACAGTTGTTGCATTGAAATTTGATATGTCTTCTTCAGTAGTGTAAATCTAAGACCTACATAAAATGAACCCGGTAACTTCTAGTCTTCGAAGTGAAACAGGTACTCATCAATGACATTGAGTGAAGAATGAACTATATTTAAAAAAACTGATTATAATTGAATATATTAACTGTTGAATTTGATTTGACAGTACATTATTATTATAATTTCTTGATGATTCTTGTATCTTGGATTTTATATAGTTTTTATTTGTTGGTATTTTAGAAGAGTTCGAAACTTGAACGAAATAAGTGTTTAATATTACGGACTTTGTAATGGTTCTTCGAATGACTTAAATTTGTGGCGAAAATTAACTTTCAGTTTATGTGTGTCTTCATAGATCATTTAATTCAATGAAAATTTCAGTATGGGGTTGTGGAAGTTGATGAGTTTTGATTGAGATCCCGAACGGATCTTTGTTAGACCACTATTGAAAACTTGGAAGCACTGGACAACCTTTCCGTTCCAGTATGCGACTCTACAGCAGTGCGCATCCACGACTCTGTACACGGAATTCGAACACAGGACCTTTAGTTTCGCGCGTGAATGCTTAACATCTAGTTCACAGAGCCGGTTGGCATTTAACGGTGTTAATATTTAACTTCAACCAATCCACGATATTACGTGACTATACTAGGGCGAGACGGGGGTTGTTATCAATTCATTATGACATAATTTCAACGTGGATTTAATCGACTTTTCACTCAAATTCAGAAATAATCATTCTTCCAAGTTAAAAGCTTCCTTAAAGACTTTTGATCATGACGTCAGTGATTATTTCCATACATTGATCATTAATCTTAATTGTTGACTGTGAATTGTACGTAGAGAGTCATTTATTCATCATATTTTGTTGGATGTATTTGGTAAATTCGCTGAAATTTGCACAGTTATTAATCTCGTAGGATGATTGTTCCTAGATATGTCTAACTTTTCATGTATTTCAATATGTATCTTCGAAATCTACAAGAAACTTCAAAAGAATAGGAATGACAGTTTCTGTAAAAAAATTCATTGCATGATTTTCCTAATCGATTACTATTGATTAACATCATTAGAACTCACATGATATAAGTCCAAATCTTATCAACAGATAAACTGATCAAATGAAGTTATGCATCCAAAGCTTAGAACTCACGTACAATTCCAGCTGAAAGAAACTAACATGAATAACTTCATAAGTTATTAAAAACTCACTACTCCAACTCTTTTTATTTAAAAATTTAACATATTAATACAATAAGAATTCAAAATCATTCCCAAAAAATATTCAATGAGGGTTGATAAGCAACCAGACTAAACAGTTTACAACAAACTAATACTATAAGTAGATTGACATTTCTTCACAGACTATGGTTATAACAGTTTCAACTTTGTCTTACTTTGTTTAAGGTTGAGATTTCACTTAAGCTACTTACAGTTTGACTGACGAGATAATATCACATAACCCTAGAATTAAAGTGTGACGTGAAATCGGGTATAGTGAATTTGTTGTTCGTTATGACTTAGTAATATGGTATTCAATTATACCTGTAATATTCAGTAAGCTGCAATTTATTTTTAACAGTGATAGTTAATTAAAATTGCTTGTGAGAAATATGTTTGAAGTTTTGTATGATCCATTCAGACTATTATTATTATTATTATCATTGTTATCATTATCATTGTTATTATTACTATCACCATGATTATGGTTATATAGAGTTTTCTTCAAGCTCAACTTGAACATGAAAATATGGCTGCTTATATTCGTGAACTTGATGATAGAAAACGTCAAGGTTTATTACTTGGCCTAAGACCAGAGGAATTAGAACGTGCTGAAGCTGAATGGAGTAGAGTAAAACCTGAACTTGATGAATGGCGTTGGCGTTTAGATAATGTTTTACCAGGTGAATGGCGTCAAGTTGGTCAATGGTTATCAAAATTAGAAAAATGTCTAATAACTGATGCACTGATAGCTTCACAACTTGGTCTGGAATTAGCTCCAGAAGCGAAAAATTTGACTCATGAAGAGCGTGCAACACGACTTCAAAATTGCTTAAATGAACATGAAGTATGTCATTGTATATGGATATATCTTTTGTATGCTAACTAGTTGCCATACACCTTTTTTTATCAGGACTTAATCTTTTTTTTCAAAGAATAAACTTTTCTTAAATTACTGTTATTCTGTGACATTCGTCAATATTATATTAAAGATATTTCAGTAATTGTTTGTACTTTAAAAACGCTCTCGTTTTCTGGTCAGTTATACTAAAAGACTATTTTCGACTGGTGATTCTCTCCTGAGATAGATAGGTCTGATTGTTTCATTGTATTTACACTAAGTAATTTTATGATACATCTTTAATTATCGTATAAACGAGAATAATTATGAATTATCACTACCGACGTTGATTGCTTTTAAAATAAAGTTGCGACAATAATTAATTACTTTCAATAATAATTACTTTCAAAGTCACTGAAAGTGACTTAAGTTATTGACAATATTTTCAGTATTTACTGGGTGTGTTTTGCTTGGTACTTTCGTACATTATTACGCTTACTCAGTGGATGAGTAGTGCTGCATATTGAGGTATAATTTTTTTTAAGGTTTTATTCAAAGCCCATACTTTTACCAGATTTGTGTTTTTTTACATATCGGGCTGCGCTAAACTGAATATGGTTATGACAAATAGCTGAAGAAAACCCCAGCCACTTGAAATGTAAGTCCCTGCATAAATACACTGACAAACTACACTCATCCCGTAAGTAGATAGAAAAGTAATAGGAAGTACGAAATACTACATTCAGTGAACACTGAATAATGTTTTCAATAACCCAAGCCTCTGAAATTACTGCTAAGGGTTTTTCCTAATAAGATACCATTTCTATCTAATAAAGATTTGGTTTGTGTTAATCAACTGGAATATACACAAACACCTGAGGTTTGTGCTGATGTTGTTCAGAAAAAAACATCAAAAGCTCCACGAACAAACCATCCACCTCAGAGAATAAAAGTCTACCTAAATCATCCATCTGGGCTATCAATCTTCACCACCTCAAAACTATAATCATACATTTAAAGTTTATACAGAAATACTATTGAACATTCATAGTTTTAATATGCATAATATTACTGTCACTCATAAGAGTCCTCTTCACGGACGTGGTCATATAGTGTTGATAACAATAAATGAATCTCTTTCACAACAAAATGTTATAATTGTTCATCATTTGGCTTCTCATTATTTCAGGATATTTTTAATAATATTGAAGATTTAAATCATTTAATTAATAAACTAAGTGAAGAAAATGAAAAATTAAATGAAATTGCTCAAAATGCTACAACTTCAGATGTATTAACTACATTACCAACTCGTTTACCACAAATTATTGTTGATTCATTAAAATCACGTTTTATCACAGCTTATTTAAATGGTCAATTAACTAAACGACGTTTAGAACGTTTAGTGTTACGTTGGAATTTAACACATAAAATAACTATAATACGTGAACATTTAATTAATTGGCAAACAATTAAATGTAAAGAAAAATCTGAAGTAGATTTACACATCAATGAAATTAAAGTAAGTTATCATTTTATTTATAAATAAATATTATCATAGTTGAAAGCGTGAGTCAATTGAAGCTAGACCACCAGGGAAAACTTGGAAGCACTGGACGGCCGTTCCGTCCTATTTTGCGCACCCACGATCTCGCCTCGCAAGATTCGAACTCAGGACATACGAGTCTCGCGCCAGAGCACTTAACCGATAGATCACTGAGCCGCCATCCCATGGATGCGAGGCGAGGTCGTGGATGCGCACTGCTGAGGAGTTCCACAATAGAACGAAACGGCCGTCTAGTGCTTCCAGGTTTTCTCTGGTGGTCTAGCTTCAATTGACTCACGCTTTCAACTATGAAAATACTAAATCTCCACAAAAAACCCCTTCTGAAAATAAATGTTAATCTAATCTAGTTTAAATCATGAACTAATTGCTACTGGATTAACCCATTGGGGAACCTAAGAGACAATGAATGATTATTGGATAATCTAACTGTGATCAATTTTTAATGCTAAAGGATCTTCAAGTTAGACAGTTTTCGTTCATGCAATGTAAGTATTATTCTGATTGTAGATCAGTTTTAAATGTTTCTATAAGATGGATCTTCAAGTTGTAAGAAGCAACTTAGTCTTATCAAAATATTTTTTCTTAATAAATTGGTTAGTTTCAAAGAAAAATATAAAGTTCTGTTGAGTAACTTGTTAAGTGTATATCGTTCAGATATGCATAATTAAGAAACTTTAATGAGAACTTCATGTCCTTTGTATATCGACCTCTTGTATCACGTATCTTATAAACGTAACATAAACTTAGATTTTTTATCGAGTTCGTTTCGAACTGTTATCTATCCTAATACAGTAACTCAGTTTGTTTGCCTTTCCTTGAGCCCCGATTTATGTGCATGATGAAGAGATACTAATTTTAGGGAACCCAAACTGAAGTCAATTAAGCTTGGTCTAATCCTACAATAGAATCCAATACTTTGACCACATAGATATCTCTCTGATACCCAATTGAACAAATAACAATAGCCAACTAATTCAAACTATTCAAATTCAAGCAGACGGGATTCATTAATTTAATTCGATAAAAATAATTTTGTTATTTTAAGTTTTGCTTTATGTTCAGTTAGTCAAATCCTTAGTGTTTGATGATGATATTCGACTATCTCCATAAACCTTTTAGTAGCAATTATCTTTATTATCCACCAGGTGTTGAGTCCAGTAACACTGGTTGTATTTTCTTGTTTTTATCCTTTTATTAAAAAGGATTATTTATCGTCCATGAATATACCTGAAGATATGGATAATGGCTTGAATAAGCTTAAAGAATTAGCATTAGAACGTGATGATATTGCGTGTCGAATTGTTGAACAACGTGAAAAATTGGAAGCCAATGCAAAATTACCAGGTCCTATGGTAAATCAACAGGCTTCCGTTAGTACCGGTGGTGGAGCATTCATTTTAACTGACTATGCTGAAACTGAGAGAAAAGAAACTAATTTCTTTTTAACTTCACTTAATACACGTTGGAAAGATACATGGTCGGATCTATTGAATATACAAACACATTTAGGTGAACTTTCTGTCAAATGGGATCAATATGAAACGGTTTGTTTGTTTTTTATATTAAGTGTTGTTTAAATCGGTTATTTATTTTTAACAGCATTATATTTTTATGATTTGATTTCATTTCATGTTCACTCGAAGATATACTTAAATTAAATGGGATCAGTAATTGTTAAGTCTCCCAACGATGAGTTCATTTGACGCTAAACAACAGTAATGACAATCATTTTACTGATTGTACTCACTAAGTATACCAACGCTGATTGATCTATGCAAATTCTTTTTACCTCTAATCTTTCCAATCGGAACACATAAAAAGTTACCCCATTAACCTCTATGATTTCATGGTTTTAGAACTCTAGAGAAAATCACGCTATAATATTGATCAATTACAAACCAACAACGCATCATAAGTATGAAATCACAATATATATACATAATTAAGCCATTTGTGACATAAAAATGAGTAGTAATCGGTGAATAATGAGTAGTAAACTATATACATCAACAATTAATAAACCAATTTAAAAGTTTACGATTAGTCCGAATATGAATATCTTGCAAAATAAATGTTTAATAAATACAGAAGAAATAAGCAAAGATAGCTAGTGGCTAGCAGTGGAATCAAGGACGCGCGTTTCGTCCTATTTAGGACTCGTCAGCTGGATGTACCTGCATCTCCATGTTGATGTTCACTCTGGGACTCGAACCCAATACCTTTCACTCCAAACACCATCATGTTATCCACTCAGCTACTGAGGACGAAACGCGCGTCCCGGATTCCACTGCTAGTCACTATCCATCCTTGCTTAAAATGCTTGTGAATTAAGGCTATATCGAGGCAATACGCACAGTATGCACATATGGCCAATAAGAGACTGAGCAGTTGCAGTCCTAAACATCAATGGGAAGATACGAACAAACAATACTAAGTGAATGTATGGAAGAAATATATGTTTAAGAATTCACTGTAGAATCGTCTTTCTCAGTTTATTTGGTTGTATCTAATAGTGTCTTATTATAGTGTAAGATAAATTAAATAGATTGGAAGATAATATTATATATTCTTTAACTTCTCACTGTTATTATTATTTCATAAAACTTTCGAGTTTGTAAATGTCTATGAATGTGTCTTTGATTTGTTACAATGAAAATAAGTGAGTTTATACATATAATTTCAGTTGTTAACTTAGTCAGAACAAGAACCAACTATTTAAACAGTAGAATATCATAATTTCAAATTTCACTTCGAGATGTTTCTTGTCAACTATGATGTACAACATGTAGTATTTTAAAGTCGAAATTTCGAGTGATGTTTGACGTACTTATATTGATGAAGTTGGTTGGAATTTAGTATATAGACACAGACCAATATCCACGATGTAGTACTTAACGATTCACACTAGTACAAAAACCATGACCTCACTAAGAGTTGTTCAATGTGTGTGACTACATCCTATATCATTTGGTAAGCCACGAGCGAGTTGACATAGAGATGAGTTCCTGAAGTTCTGGTGGGAATCCATAACCCTTAAAGTTCAGATATGTATAGAGTGCAACAGTTGCCCACAGTGCGATTGATTGGTCTCCTCACTATATTGCAAGTTTGTTGAAGTTGGAATTATCCAATGGTTCTGATGTTGAAATGTTCTTCGCGAGGCCTGAAAGTCTTAACTTTCATCCATTAGGAAGCAGGCTATCAGTGTACGTTGCTCGAGTGTCTCACACTACAATGAGACAGCTATTTTTCATAATTATATATATTTACGACTACTCTTGTTCTTATTAGAGATTTGGGATGGTAGTAATTCATTCAACAGATCGAGTGTTTTGAAATACAGTATCTCACAGGTGATTAATTTTTCATTAGTAATGTGAGATTTAACTAACACCATTTTCTGTCTATTGTCCATGATTTGCTTTTCATTTGATTCCTCTACCTCTCTCTTTTTGTCCTCTCAAACGCTGACCGGAGTTGAACTATTTCAGTGTTTAACGTATTTTGTTCAAATAACTCTGGTCAGTCATTATTTAATAGGCAAAGTAGCTTAGTCAGTAACAATCCATTTAATATATAAAACAATTTACTTTAATCCTAAGATTTCTCTTTATTTTTAAAAACTCATTCTTATGTCATTTTCTTTTCACATTTTATTCTTAATAAAAAGGAAAAATTACATCTAAGCGATTGGTTAATAGGAGTGCGAAAACTACTTGCCGATGAGAGTACAAGTGCTGAAGAACGTGAAAAATTATATAACGATTTGAAAGAATGGCGTACACGTGTTTCAGCTTTAAATGATCTTGGACATGAATTAATGCATACCTGTGATATGACAACATCATCCTTTTTAGACAATGAATTGAAAAATATCAATAAAAATTGGACTGAAGTTACTACAGAAGTAAGTGATGTTATAATGCTGTATGGTACTGTATGTTTGCAGGTAGGTAAATCAGTACTTACGTATGCAGGTAGTATGGTTCGTTTTTGTTCGTTTCCAAACATGAATGTGTTGATGATTTAAAGTACATGTTTATTAATTCATTAAAGAATTACCGAGAGTTCGAAAACATTCAGTAGATCTAAGTTTAGAAAATGGGTAAAACCATACTATATGAATGGCCTTAAGTGATCAATCAAAATTAAGATAGCCAATATTAAACATTAGCGCGAATTTAAAACGCTATTGCATTCACCTTGTTGCTGGAGTTTGGGTTAGGTGTATTAAGGTTACGAAGATTGAGATTAAGATTTAGAACTTATCTGGGTCATACGGCACTACGATTTCCAGCCGAATTTATAGATTATTAACATTACGAGGTTTATTAATCCTGTTAAAACTTTTAGTCCTATCTAGTTTCATCATTTTTAGGTATCTTAGACCTTCACAAATCTGCTTTCTGGATAGTCAACTTCAACGTCATTCTTAAAATCTCTAAAGACTGTCAGTATAGTATAGAGAGTATTGAGAGTGTTTAATAATCAGTCAGTTACCATTGATATATTAGACTTAGCGTGAATAATTAATCAGTCCAATTTGTTTTATTGGCATTACAAGTGAGTAAATTGACAAGCTAAGAAACAAAGTAAAGGAACTAATTCCAACTTTAATGGGAATCAATAACATACAGAATACAATTGAAATGGAATAAATCCAACCAAAACGCTAAAAGTTAGGGTTTTACTACCGACCCAACCGTATTTTAGCGACAGTAGTGCTCTTTATAAGCATGATCTTTAGTTCTAGTAATGACAGCTTTCTAAAGATTTAGGTTCGAATCAAACATTACTTAGAATAACACAACCTAGCTCTTCTCACAGATTACGGGTGTTAGTGGTAACTTTTAAAATATGTGTCGAACCAATATTACAAAGGTAAAAGCGAGTAGAAAAACTACGTAAATTCAAATAGTTTCCCTTTGGTTCTTATTGCTTGTGATGGTTACACGTAACAATGGTTTTGTTTCTTTGTTCCTCCACGTAGAAATAACTTTACACTGTTAAATAACACTAATCTCAAACACAAACACGCAGATAAAGAATTTTTTGCTAATCAAAAAAGATGTATTTTTCACGGCCAATTTTTTTGACTTATCATTATAAAGGGTCACTTTCATGTAGCATATGTATATGAACATGGTTTTACTTAAAATTAAATAAAAGCGTTAACAACTTTTGTGCTTGAACGTTATTTAATTGTATTCTGCCATTTGGTTAAGATCACTACTGATCAATATCATTTACTCAGTATGTACGCGCATTTTACTACACAAAATCTCGATGGAAATGTGAAGCACAATATAAATGTTGTAACTTAATGGTCGACTATGTCATATCCATGTCGCCACTGTTGTATCCGGTATCGTCAACCGGTTATATTTAAAGAGTCGTCACTGTTACATCCAGATGAACTCTGTTGAGTCCTCAGTATTACTGATTTTATTTGACAATTGGGAACCACCTCAATTCCTCGATCCTAATGTTTATACTGGTAAACGAGAAATACTGTAATTCCCACAATACAAAATGAGAAAAATATAGTATAAAAGAAAAAACCGGCTGAAGAGTGATGTCTATGAAAGAATACCGTAACACGTGGTCAGTAGAAGATTAGGAATGAATATATTTGTTTCATTGTGATCTGTTCTAAGCTCGATGTTACCGGTCTTCAACCACTGATTATGGGATGTTTGTATGAAATGTTTTACAACCTATTGTGTACAGTTCACATGAAGTACTCCACCTTGGACAAAAAACGAAAAAAGTTATACTCCATTGCCTCTATTAATTATTGTACAATATCATGACATTTTTAAGTGGATGGAATGATTTGCAAATCAGTTAAAATATAGACAGTTTAAACAGGGTACTTAATCGATTATTGTCGTCTAACTATGTACAGGATTTCCTGTCTACCATAGATTTATAGATTACTTTCTGTTATGTTTTAATGCCATAGGTATGGATTTATATCTTTCAATAAAAATTTTAATACTAAGAATTAAACGAGGATAGATTAAAGGTAGTAGTCCTCTATTTTGATAATGAATACAGATGTAGAGCAAAGTACATATCTGTGGCCTCACCTTTTCGCCTATATTTGTTAGCACCCGGTTGCACAAATCGAAGTAGGTGAAGGCGGGGCTGGGACCTTTAACCTAGTAATGGTTGAAAATCAAATGCTTTAACGATTGAATTTTCGCTCTTAATACAGATATAGCATAGTGCATGTATTTCTGAATTGCTGAATGCCAAAGCCGTGATTTTATTATAACCGCTGGTGGTGTAAATACCAGTAGACAAGAAACCAGGGTGGTTTTGTCATATTTTTAAAAAATGAAATTGCGTTTACGAATACGTTTTTATCACTTATGGATGTATTATAAATTACTAGTTGCAAATCACATGTTATTAAATAGTTATGGTTTTCTTAACTTTCAATCACACTGGGCTTTAGGCTTCAACACTAAGTTGAGTGACTATGTATTATCACTACATGTCGTAGCTGAAGTGTGATTGGGATCCAAGTACATAAATCTGTACTTTTGATAGGGTTTATTGGTTTCTTTTTTTCCACAGTGAAAAGTTTAGCAATATTTAAGTTTGATCTATGATATATCTAACTGTGGACACGTTATTATTCACACACTAATTGATCACCCAAGAACAATAATGAATATCATATTCCTCTGTGACTGGCATTGTAAACGTGAATGGATATCTCAGTGTACTTTGCTTAGTGAATCTTAATGTCACACACTCTCATTCAGTTTATTTACCAGTAATCATTAGCCAAATAAAACCACGGCGGATGGATATTACGACAAAGTACAAAGGACGTGGGGAAAAACATCACACTGTAGATAGCTTCTGAGTTCGTGGATGCTGACTCTTGAGTAGCCCCATACTAATACATGACAATCAGCTGTCATGCGCTCCCTTGTTTTCAATATTTGTCTAAGGTCAGTCCGTGATCTACCTATCAATAAGTTGACTAATAATGACTTACTTACCTTCAGTAGAAAACCAGCCATTGAAATCAATACTTCGCGCTGATTAACTCTTATTAAGACTCGAATAATTTTATACAGAACCTTGTTCTTACTGCGAGGCCATATCTGAAAGTTTGTTAACTAGTAATTTGTTTTATGTTTTGATTTGATTTGAAGAAAAGTCTGAAATTTCATAGCATAGTCAATGTATTTACAGATTTGGTTAGTTATTCCATTTATATGAGGCCTAGTTTTTTCATGTTAACTATGTAAGTTTAGTACAGATTTGTATCATTGAAAATCGGTCGAAAGAAATACTCACGTTTCGATCTACTTGGAAACCATTAGCTTGATTCATGTCTAGCTTCCAATGGTGATGTTCACAATGGGGGCACAAAACCAGTATTGATCGTGTTATCCTGAACCAGATGAAGCGGTCGTCCTGGACTTTGTTGCTAGTTACAATTCAAATATAATGAGAACTTGTGAGTAAAAGGAAAAATGAAGGCAATCCACGTACCATGCACATTCGCGAATTGAAACTCATCTATTTCCAGTCCTTAATATTAACAGCTAAAGAATACAAAACCTTTGAGATAAATACCTACGATCATTTCGCTTTTAAAATCAATCAATACCTGTCTTGTTTTTTTATACCTAAATTAATTGCATCAGGTTCTTTTCCGTAGCAAAAGTTTGTTATTCAACGTTCATTGTATATATGTATATACCATCATATCGAGGTGTAAATAACTTCAATATGTTTAACTCTTTTTTCCTTCCTTGATAGGTTATCAAATTTGTTGATTTAGATCATGCTGAAGAATTGAAAAATCGTAATTCTGAAGCCATGCTTCGACTGAATGCATTCATCAAATCAACTGAACTTTTATTGGTCTCTGATTTTGTTCTACCAGAGACCACTGATTTAGATCAAGCTCATGCGGCTACAGCTGATTATCGTCAACAATTGGAAGAAGCACGTAAACAGTTACTTGAAAAAGCTCGAACTGATTATTTGGTTAGTGTATACTTGTTATATCTTGAAAATAGTTCAGTCTGTGGTAAATTATAATCACAAAGGATTCAGAGTCTACTGATAAGAACAGTAACTAATGCGAACTTGATATAACGGCAACGTACACGTACAACGCTTCGAATGTATAATTCTCAATGACGAAAAAAAAACCAGTAAGAAGACAGGAGCTCTGACAAAGCTCGATGTTCAATAAAGTCAAAATAGAATGAGTCTGTTTACATAGTAACTTGCAGTAACCTTGGGACATAACAAGATTAGTCAACTAAATTTGACAGAAACTTATCAGATAACATCAAAATCATTGTGGAAAAATGGATCTGAAAAATTCCATCAAAGTTATTTTGACAGGAGATTTTATTTACAGAAGCTAAATAACTTGCTATCATCTTATCAGAATTAAAACGAGATCATGGTACTAAGGTTGTAATAGAGTCAATTATGATGTTAAAGATCTCGTTTAATTTATAAAATCTAACAAGACTAATAGTTTAATAGTAATATGGTTGTACACTTTTACATCCGATCGTTATCAAGTAGCACTTTTAATCATCGGACAATAAAATGAAAATAGTTTTTTTGTTTACCCGCATTAAAAAATATAGTGATTGGTTTTTGTGTTATCGAAATATGTGAGCAATATGGTCGAGGTGAGCACTTTTATTCACCTAAATATGTAAGAAGACATAACATACTGCGAAACAAATTCTCTCTTACTGTAACCGCGTTCGAATTAGAATGTAAACTAGTGATAGCCCACTATTATTAAAATGATAATCACCATACAAATCATTGGCTTCTGTATTTAGCTTCAAATTATAATTCCTGACTATACCATTTTAAAATTCTCAGTATTATTTGACAACTGGTTTCAAGGAGTGCCAAGTGGTGAGAAGTGAAAAACTGTTCACTAATGTAGCAGCATCTATGAATGATAAATTTAACCCACATTTTTTAAATGTTGTTCGATCGACAATAATTTGCAATTACCATATCCTGTACCAAACAAATCTCAAGACTTAACAAATTGTACCTGATGATGAAGTCATTGAAAACAATTTTCCGTCCAATTATCCCTTTTTTTGAATAATACTTGATTCAGATTTTCACATGATCAATGCTTTAATTTTATGGATACTTGAAATTTCTAAACATTAGAAGAAGAATTCTTAGTAATATTTCCTTTTGAATACATATATCAGTGATTTTTTCATACGCAACACAAATAAAATATCATATTTCCTACGTAAATGATTTCGATTTTCTTGTGCGCATTAATAGGAAGCTTTAAAAACTGCTGAGGAACTAATGACAGCTGCTAAAGCTGGTCAAGCAGATATGGAACAAGCTGAAGCTGTTATGGCAGCGGTTCGTGCTGCTGGTGAAAAATTAGATCGATTAGCTAATCAATCTGTTCAAGCAAGATTAGATGAAGTTGAAGCAGCAACTAAGAAAGCTGTGGAATTAGCTCTTCAACTAGCTCCAATTAATGATTGGGTACAAGATAGTGAAGTTTCAGTGGAAATATTAAATTCAGGATCAATTGAAACTAATCTCGATTTGACTAATTTAACAACAGAAGAAGCTATGTCAAAGTTGAAGGTAATTTTTTTTGTTTAAATTATTATTGATTAGTTTTCAGCTTTGAGTTATATTGTCTTATCAAACCTTACTTAATGTCATGTGTATTGTTGATATATTTTACCTCTTTTGTTTAAAACTAACGACAATAATCGGTTAATTTCTGCTTAATTCACCAAGACCACCGTCGAAAACCTGGAAGCCCTGAACGGTTGTTTCATTATGAGACTCCTCATCAGTGTACATCCGACATCCCGCACACAGTACTCGAATTTTTTTGTATTGTAATATAAAGTGAACAGTAATAAGAACACTATTTAATCATTAAAGAATACCAGCTTGAAACTTGTAGATTTTTTCTAAAGATTTATGATTGTTCTTAATATTCCACGTGGGGCATCGTCATGTTAAAAAAATATTCCTTCGATGGTTTGATTACAATTGTAGAGTAATAAAATGTTTCCCTTATATTTCTTTCGACTTAAATAATGATTAATTTTTTTACTATTGTGTAGGGTCATTTCACAGCTTTAGAAGAGCATGAAAAAGCTTTAATTGAAGCTGAGAAACGATTGAATGACTTAAAAGAATCTGGTCTACAGCATATTGATATTAGTCAGTTGGAATTAGCTACTGCGGAAGCTCGTCGTAAAGTTGAAGTGAGTTTGATGCTTTGTTCTCGTCAGACCTTTTGTTAGAATTATTGCTTTTTTTTAACTCATCATAATGATGAGATGAACTGAATTTTCACCCATCGTATGTAGTTAATTTATTTAGTAATATTTTGTTTATAAGTTTTATTTTGGAACACCTGACGTTGAATTCATCAATCTCGAATAGAGAACAACTTCACCATCTTATACTATGAGCGGTTTCAAGCTATTCCAATGGTCAACCTTTTATCTATTCTGTTCTGTTCTTGTAAATACAATTCAAAAATCATGTGTTAATTGTGAGATATTGACACAAAAATTAAAATATTCATTACAGAATATGGTATATTAAAGTCCGTTGATAGTTAGAATCACAAAAACAAACTGCTTAAATTCGCTAAATGTATGTGCGTTAATCGATTCAACTGCCCTTGTAAAGCTAATTACATAGGGTTTACAATTCCGCTACTCCGTCATCCTAATTCAGAATTATAACTGGCCTGGGTAACAAAAGACTATTAAGATTGATATAGAGCTGTTTTATTGTGTCCTTGATCGCAAAGGATATCAAATAGACTTGAATGAAGCTTTTTGAGTTATCTACTATATCTTATCATATATACGTCTTGATTTACGTGTCAGCCTGATGCATAACGCCAAAGTTATTAGAGTATACAACCGTAAACTGGATCTATGTACCATAAAGCATTTTGTGCAATCCCTCTTCCTATTCGACCTGAAACATAAGGCATACTTGGCCGACGGGAGGGGGAGGATAGAAATTTTTAATTTTTTATGTTCCTACAAAATTTCAATAATCTCTCTTTACATTCTTACTATTATTATTCGACTTTTTATCAAAGTACTTTGCCGGGATAAACAAAATAAGAACAACAAGATATTGTTGAATATAATGGATTCATTTTAACTAAGGTTTCCCATCATCAACTTCAACACAATATAAAATTACAAGGAGTAATATAGTTGTAAGCAAAGATATAGTTTAGTCAGTAAAATTGAGATTGATGTTTGAAACGGAACGGAATAGGAAACAAATGTGTTATTAAACATAGTTGAAATTGACGCTCATTTATATGTTTTAAAAAGCGTTCATATGGAGTATAGGTTGTGAGATTATAGTTACTGTTAATCACAATGAAAACAAGACACTACGTAACGGCAATGGAAAAATGGACGATTGGATAATTAGATCCAAAATCAAACTAATATATAACTATCAATAAGAGATACAAATTATGTGATTGAAGTCATAATCAACATTACCACGAACATGGTTTTGTAAATGTTCTATTATGGGACTCTTCATCAGTGGGCATCCACGGCCCCGCACGAGGAAACCGGATCCAAGACCTCCAGTATTGCTCAAACACAGCCTTCAGATCGCTGAACCGTCATCCCTCAATCCATGATAATTCACGACCCTCTTACATTGTCTTTGGTGGAGAACCGCTTCACACGGCTTCATGACTTTTTACTAAAACTGCGAGAATACGCTCTAGAAACTAGTCACCAGTGAGCACATAATTAATAATCATAAGGACGTATCCGTATATCAAAAGTCACGAATAATAAAATGTTATAATATAATCAGATGTTAAATATTTAGTAAAAGAAGAAGGAGAATAGCGGCGAATTAGTTTTGTGCTTCTACTTTTGATTTCTAGCTTCGGTTTTTTTGGCCAAAGTGTAGTTTACCAATGGCATAGGTTTACGTGCTCAACTTTGAGTTACACTCATCCAACTTGTCGAATATTACCATCAGCTACCTAACTATACACCGATTGCCCTACCTCCGTCGCGAATCCATTGAATTAGGAAAGCATTTAAAGAGCTTTCAATAAATGTGCTCTCATTTACCTTTCTACTCTTCCATAAAATTTATGATATTTTAGAATAGTAAAATTAATTCCTTTACAGTTACTTTCATATTTCTGATATTATTATTATTGTTAGTAGTAGTAGAAGTACTAGAGGGTAGTAGTCACATTCGTCCTTCTGTGTTTCCCCCTTAAGTTTAATTTGCAGACGGTTGATTAAGTTAGATGATATTTGCGGTCATCAATCGACTACTGCTTATTGACAGTTTCAGTATAAAACTAAATAAGTAAATCATAATTGTAATTTAATTCTCTCTCCTTAATTTTTTTTATTTATTTGTAATTGGAAGATAGAAAACTATTTTATAAATAGAAAGTTGAATATTGTTACTGGTACTGTTTTTTCTTAAGTAAATGACCACAAATTTAAAGATGAATAGAAACGGATATGTAGGCGTTACATTGAATATGATGGGTCGTTCCTAACAGTGGAATGCAGGATGCACGTTTCGTCTTATTTTGCGACTCTTCAATTGGATGTGCCTGAATATTAGTGTTCTTGTTTATGTTTGTCAGTAGTACTTCAGTGGATGAAACAGTAGTGCTTGAAACGAATAGTGTAGAGAACGAGAACACAGGTGAGGATAATTGAATGTAACTGAGCACAAAATTACAGCATCTCTTAGTAAAATGTGAGAATCATACATTAAATACTTAACTTGCAAAATATCAATCAATTGTCTTAAATTTGACTGTTCCTTTTACAAATATCAATCAATCGTCTCAGATTTCACTGTTACTTCACTTCCACATCAATTGCTTTCTGTTCCCTTTCTTTCCTATCCGATCTTCTTGATCTTCTGCTGACACATTCTTTTCCTGACTAGCGTTATGTCGATATAAGTAGCACACACCACAACAGTACTGCATTTGAGTTCAAAATATGAGCAACACTGGCATTCAAGTACATCCAACCGACAAGTTCTAAATAGATTCAAACGCGTGTCCCGGTTTCCACGTTTAGCCACAATCCATTTGTCAAAAACAACTCATGATCATTAATATCTTGTCTCTCATAATGCACATACACTATGATTGGTCAAAATCCAATCATTTTTGTGGATAACGGAGTAATACGGGACCTTAATGAAAAGAAGTATTAATATTATCGAACTGAGAGATCATTAACTACTAGGTACAAGCTACTGACTTAGTCACTATATAACATACATGCATCTCCATCTAACCTCAATCCGTGAAAAAATCATCTGTAAATGAATTATTACATTGTTTGTATTTGAAAAAACGTTAAATCATCAGTTCTTGTTTTTGCATTCAAGACTTTTTTTAACGTCATGATTGGTTAATAGAAGAAAACTGGAATTCTCGTATGAAGCAGATCTCTCATCATAACATAGTTCTTAAATGACAAAACGGCTTTACTGAATAATTGAAGATATTTAGTAGTTTACATTATGGACTGATCTTAATTAAACCAATTTCGCAACCAGGAATCACTGGGTAGCTGTGTGTATTTTCGACCCTACTATCGGTGTTCAGTCTCAGAAATTCCAGGTCTTTATAATCCTCTCATACTAATCGTAATCACATACTTTCCAGTCACTAGTTTTGAGAAGCTGAGGAGCTGTGAACAGTGGATTCTCTAACAGTGTTGTTTGCAAGTCGGTTGCCTACCAATGATATCGGAAGATATCCGTAAATTGATTGGAGCCATAAATTCAGTGAAGCGGGCTCCAAAATTAGGGTCCAATTACCAAAATCTGGACGCATTAAACGCACTATGATATTTTAAATACATCTTGTAACATCCCTCTTTTTTATTATTAATGTTTACTTTTCCACTTTTTTTATCTTATTTAGGCTATGCGTACTGTAGCTAAATGTTATGAAACTGAGTTAGATAGACGAAAATCAGCTGAACAATCATTTTCATATGCTATAATAAATATATCTGATTGGTTAGACGAAGCAGAACGTCTTTTTCAGATTGATACATCATTTGATTTTGAAGAACAATTGCCTAATACAGAAGTTATTCAAGATAAATTAATTGCAAGTGAAGAATTTTTAAGAAAAACACAAACAGCTGGTCAAGCTTGTTTAATTGAATTGAATAGAAGTTATGATAGATTAGTAGAATTATTCTCAGGTAACGAAGAAGATTTAGTTGAAAATTCTGCTAATCCAATGATTCAACCAGATGAAGTTAGTATGAATATATTGTTGGAAGCAGCAAATCAAGTGACTAAATTTCGTGATCGATTTGATGTAAGGATATTTCAATTTATTTTGTTCAAAGACGTGTGATACTCACTTTTGTTAAAAATGGTTAATTGGTTAGAGTTTTTGAGGTTATATACTACATCAGGGTCACCGATTGTATATATTACTACTATGAAAATTTATGGATTAGAAGTCTCGATTATTAACTGACATATATTTGAATGTCATCTCCAGACATCACAGTAAGAGAATGTTTCACAAAGGTGTAAGATTCTCTCATTTCAAACCATTTTTGTGTACAATGATTAGATCTGTAGTGTAACTTTAAACTCTAATCACGTACAAATTCTATGAAAAACGTTTTACTACTTAATTACTCTATTGAGTAACTCTTTATTGTACTTTAGTTATCATTCTGATAAGTTTAAACGTTTGATCAATTCGCTCAGTGTTGACTCACATTGACTCTGTTTAATGTGAGTTGTATTGAAAAAAGAAAATGTTAATTATTGCAACATTCAGATCCTAAATTATTGTTTGCGTAGAATAGATATAATGGGGTCAGAAAAGAAATCTAGGGCTCGCGTTTCGTGCCATTTGGGACTCAGCTGGAGGTACTTGCAATCTTGGATTCACATTCGCGTTAAGACTCGAACGCAGTACAATTCGCTGCTGACGCTTAGTGTATCATCTAATGATGTACTATGTGTATATGTCTACTCAATTTTGCAAAAGGTGTGAATTTTAATTTAATTTGTAATTGCTTGATAATCCTATGATTGATAAGTTTTCTGATTTCCTCGTGTGTACATCAACTCTGGGATCCAGATATATACAGCTGAAGAGTACCAAATAGGACGGAACATGCCTCCTGGATTTCAGTCTCAGTTGCATTCATTTTATTATATACAAACGTGTGTGATAACCCCACTATTGTATTTCAAGGTAGGTAATGAGTCGTCCAATGTAGGCAAACAAAGAATTAGGTGGAATGATTTCAACCTTAACGTCTATCTATGAAGCTAATAGGACAAGACTTGAAGTTATTGGATTATTATTATTATTACATTGTCTGTGAACTAACGATTCTCATTTGATGATGTAATGATTTTACAACTACAGTGGTAGAATCTAATGACGGAATTTCGAATCTAGCTTTTAAAACATCGTGCTTAAGATGTTGGTTAGTTGCTTAAGCTATATGGGATCTATCTGTTTATCTTTTTATCGACTTTCGATAGTGGTTTGTAGAGGAATGCAGGACACTCGTTTCGTCTTATTCTAGGTTCGTCATATAGATGTATCCATATCATATTCTTGATGTTCTCCCTGAGATTCGAACCCAGGGCTTTTTGCTTTAAGTCATGACATGTTATTCATTGAGCTCCTGAGCCCGGATAGTCGTTAGCAAGTTAACCTCAAGCTATCATTTTAAACTAATAACGAACACATACTATTTATTGGTTATTGCTTACTCGTCTGCTTATTCACGTTCTTTCATCATCCTTATTGTTGTAATTTGTTAGTGTTGAATTGTCTTGGAAAGGTAAGGAGGCGGAGATATTAATATCAGTATATTTTCTGTTTTTTTCTTGTTAATTCTTATCGCAGGAGTTGATGTCTAAAGCTACTCGACGTCAATATGAACTTAAATATGCTTTATTAGAAGCTCGTCTACGTGAACAATTAGATAATACTAATAAAATTTTAAATGATGAAGAATTTCGAATGACATCTGGTGAACATTTGGCTAGTATATTGTCTGATCATGAGGTAATTCAGTCTTTGATCTTTGGAGTTTTTTTCTACAAACTAACCTATAAATAAAAAAAAATGTAATGGGGCTAGTTGAGATTTCAATATATATTCTTAAATAATTTGCCAATTTATTCAGTATTTTTTCAAAGACAAAAATGAATAACCTATTCACAGTGGTTAAAATAGTTATAAGACAATTTATGGCTAGACTATAATTTATGGACTAACCAGTTAGATATACGATAACAGAACTTGGATTTTGGCGCGAAACTTATTCATCCATTTATCTAAATAGTGTTTTGGTATTTTAGTTTACGTCAGTCTGTGATGAAAACTAAATTTAATTCCTAATTCTAACCATCCATTGTAAATCATAATTTTACTTTCTCACACTGGTTTATAACCGCCGTTTAGTCCTAGTTAGTTGGTGTACACTCTCAAAGTCACTTCAGCGTCGCTCAAAGGTCGTCCATAAATTGTAGTCTCACCCAATTTACATTGGATATTGACAATTTTCTCATAGGTTAACTGTAATTACTATAAAACCTACTGACAAATTTAATTACTTTCATTTTGGATCAAGTAATCTTTTCAATTCTAAATGTCCAAATTATCATTTACATAATATAACACTTACCACGTTTGATATAAATAGAATAAGCGGAAATTAGAACCACTGTAGTTTAAATGACAATGTTGTTATTACCATTAATATTATTATTAACAATGACAGTAAAAGACAAATATCATTGAAGGACAGAAATCATAATCATTACAATTCATCTGTACCCCAGTAATCAGCTTCATCCAATGTTTTCTTTCTTCTCACGTAAATTTAAGATTACCACACAAACCTTCATCATGAAATCTACAATTCATGGTACAACTCACACTAACAATAATCATTGATTTCATGAACTGATACCATTTTTTGATATAGAGCTAACCTTCAACTTCTTTCAATCTGCTTCCATACTAACTAGCATTGCTTTGGACGATGAAGGCATGAGTAGTCTTTGTGTATCACATGGTAGTTAATAGCCTCACTGAATGATTTGCCATCATCACATAACGCGCTGCAGCTAATCTCAGTGTTATTCACTGTTTAGTTACATGAGTAATAGTTTGAAAAAGACCTTATACATGTATGTACACAATCAGACACATAAGATACTATTTTTTACTGTCAATTTTACAGGTTCCTTATTGTTTGTCAATTCGAAACAATTAACTTTCTTTATCATTGTCTTGTGTTAGTATTTATTTTCAATTATTCACTATTAAACATTGTTTATTTTTGTTAATTTGAAATAACAATGAACAGAGAAACCATTGTTGATTATTAAGTCATTTATTTTTCTAAAGATTCATACGAAACTAGCTGAATTCATGAGTCGATTTAAGCTAGACCACTATGGAAAAAATGGAAACATTGGACGGCCGTCTCGTCTTAGTATGGGGCTCAGCATCCAACGGTGTTAATGTCTAACTTCAACCAATGCACGATATTGCGCGACTGTTCACCATTGTCTTCAGTGAGTAACTGCCGGCTCAGTGGTCTAGAGGTTAAGCGTTCGCGTGCGGGATCGTAGATTTTCACTGCTGAGGATTCCCATACTAGGACAAAAAGGCCGTTTAGTGGTTCCATGTTTCCCATGGTGGCATTACTTCAGTCGATTCACGCGTTCAACTTATAAATTACTACAATCTCTACAAACCCCCCGTTCTGATAATAATAAAAAAATATTTTATTTGTTATTTTATTTACAGTCTTCATTTAAAAATTCAGAATTTTATCATATTTGTGAAGATATACTGCATGAAATGCGTGAATTAGATGAACAAATGTCTTGTTTATTTCAAAATGATACAAATTATTATAATAAACGTACAACACAATTACAACAAGAATATAATTTATTAAGTGAACGTGTTGGCAAAATGGCTGTCAGATTACGTAATCTACCGGAACAATGGGCTGATTTTGATGATAAGTAAGTAATGATAAAGTTTCATTCTTTAGGCTGGAATGTTATTTTAAATTTATTAGGTCAATACTGTGGTGTGTGCTATTGATGTCCACAGATATAAGTAGTATGTATCACCAATCAAAAGTGAAATGTCTGACGGCAGAAGGTTAAGAAGAACGAAGAGAAGAGAAAGAGAACAGAGAAAAGAAAGAACAATCAAATCTGAGACAATTGGTTGAAATTTTGCAAATGAAGTATTTACTGTATAGTTCTCAGATTTTTTTAAAGAAATTCTATAATTTTGTGTTCAAATGCACTTGATTGTCCCCTTTTGTCTTCTCGTTCACTACAATACTATTGGTGGATGTTGAAATAGTAATAATATTCGTTTCTTATTCAACATTGCTAAAAAAGAAACAAAAACAAATGACCCACACGCCCGAAAGTAGGATAGGAAGTGGTATGAGCTTAAATTTCAAAATGGTTTGACTCTTGTTGATCAATGAAATAGATTTTGATTCAGATTTGCTAATTAGTCTAATTATTTCCTATTGATGTTGTTTAACAGGTTAGTGTCAGTCGTTTAACTGTTTCCCGACTTACATTTCAAGTTGGCTAAAATGGTATTTTTGAAGAGTTATGTTCCTGAATAAAATTATCACCATAGGTTTCTTTTCATCAGGCAAACCAAACACTTATTAAAAACTAGAGAGTAATAGATAAATATTTCGTATACACTTACATTCTGCCAGCGATGGAATACAAACTTCACTGCGAGTACTTTATATTCAGATCAGTTAGCTGACATCAAATGATCAGTTTTGAGTATTGTGCAATTATTAAACATCATCATAAATGACAATTGTCTCATCACCAACGTAGTCGGACTCCACTAGTCAAAATTCCTCACTAGAGTTAGAGAAAGTCGTCTCCTGAAAATCAGTCACTCAACAAAAACTGATTATCTATTAGGATGGAAGATAATTTACATCATGGATTAACTTTGAACAAACAACCATTGAAAACAGGTCGAACAATGAACCAGTTTTTTTTGACTTGCTTAAAGGTGCTAACATTGAATGTTACTATTCTTCAGAATTTTTGACGGACATTAGGATAGTGTTATTATGTAACGTGATGTTGTAATCGATAACCACAGTGTCTCCATTCTCTGTTGATATTTTTTAAAGGTCCCGGGAATCGATGAGGATCATTTGTTTGAAATTAAGGTTTCCTAATTCTTCCAAGTTTCCTATTCCCTATCTACCACCCTACTTCATTTGTCAGACATTCATTTTCATCCTCTTACTTTAGTAGGGAAAAAGATATTGCCACTTTGCAAAAAACTAACCAGTAGTAGAAATTCCTTGGAAGACAGCATTTGTCTTATATCTACTGACGTATCCTACATATCTGTCTAGTCAGATTGGTTGTAAATCAATGAATGTCATTTATGATCATGGATAAATGTGATTATCAAATGTACCTTCTAAAATTCATAATTTATTCAAAAAAAATTTTTTTTAAACTTGTATTCTTTGTTCTTCAACCGTTTTTTCGTTTTCTTTACTCAATTAGATTAAATCATTTATTAGATTGGACAAATGAAGTTGAAAAACTATTTAATCATTTACAAAGTGATCCATCTAATACAAAGAATAATGATGAAAAAACTGCCATTGAATTAGCTTCACGTTATCGTGCCATGCTATCGAGATTTGAAGAAATGACTGGTATGGTGAATGAACAAAATGCATTAGCTGATAAATTAAATTTAATGCTGGTTGATTTATCATTAGACGGTGGTGTATCAGCTGGAGAGTTAGCAACAAAACGAGCTGCCTTAACTGCTGCATTAGGAGCATTGAAAGATTTAGGCAGTGAAATGGATTCTGTACTAACTCGAGGTGAGTATACATGGATTTGTTTATGTATGTACATATGCATATATAAGTATGTATGCGTTTGTATGTAGTTATTGAAAATATTTAACTAACATTTAATGAATACCGTACATTTCGACTGCTTTTTAACTGATGAAATAATAGTTTTTACTATAAAGTAGTCAGATAATATTCTCCTAATCTAACTCCTAACTCTAAATCTCACCTTTAATTTTCGTAAGTTTCTAAACAACAGGATGACTAAACTTCATTGGATTAAAGCTGATGTTAGTTGGTGATGAAAACCCTGAAAAGGTTATAAGCTTAACTCATAACACTGACCCATCCGACATTGCATATGTATATTTAAAGTTTTTGTTTCACTACGATGAATAATTCAGGATGCTAGCGGTAATTAGTCATAACAAACTAATCTTCACTGTGATTATTCTGCTTCTCATTATTATTTGTTTTATAATTAAACACCGTTTCCTGATTGGTTGTTAAGTACTCAGTGTAATATACTTTTACGTAAAGATTTTTTATTCTTTGTGTCAATTTCGGCTGGAGATACATCCTAAATCCTTTACCAACTAGCTATACAGAGTAAACAAACTTATTTTATTTTATGAAGCTTTATTACCTGAAATGCAAGATAGTGACGTATACCACTCGTACTTATCTAGATTACCGGACTTACAGGGAGGGAGGGGTTCATGGATAGTTTTAACCTTAGGTAGAGGAATATTTCGCTTACAGCAGTAGACTAATATTTGTGTTTCTCACCTACCACATGGCGTTAGAACAGCATTCGACTTGTTTGACCATAAAATAGATGGTCTGTCTGAGAATGCTTGGTTTTACGATACTGGCTAGGCCATAAGTTTAAGTTAATAAATTTAATGAGTTGTGAAAAAGGACTGTTAAGTTTTTATTTATTTGGCCTTGAATTTCTAGTGATCTGCCAATATGTCAACAAAATAATTCTGAGGTTTTCGAAAAAGCCCTAGGAAATTCTAATTTTTCAATAATCATTCGGATTTTATGTAATAACTGAGGTTATTGGTTAGATGAAAGTTAAAGTCAAACGGCTGAAAATTCATTGAATTACTGCAGATTCATTCAGACACTTTATGATTACGGATCATGAGTTTCAAGATTACTTCATATGCTTTATACGTTTGTCTTTTACAAGCATATTATCAGTTTTTAGCTTTATAATATCGTAGACAATATCATTACGTCTACTTCTTTACTATCCAACGTGTTGATTCTGTTGCACTTTATTGATATGGTATGGTAATGTTGGCCAATGCTTATATGTACTCAGGTTTTATGTTACCTATAACTGATTGACTGACTGCATATACGAATTAGGAGTAAACATTTTACAATCATCCCTACAATTAATTGTTTGAATCTTATTCATAAATATGTACGTTTATTCACTGACTGTTAGGATGGCAATCAGGTTGATATCTTAAAATGACATTTTGCCAATCAATTAAGGTTTGGTTGGACTAATTATACATCACATATTCCTATTTAATGTTTTACATCAACTTGGCGCTCAAATACTGTGAAACTATTCGCTCTGATTTAGACGAGAATTCTTACATATTCAGATTGTTTGCTATTGGACCAAGTGATTTGTAAAGATCTAATTACTTTAAAAAGATAGATCTTATCTCTGAATAATGCCAGATCACCAAGAGACCTGAATTTTCCAGGTTTCCATGTCAAATGGACCCATGGGCACTTAATTCTGAAGAGCCTTAAACTATAGTGAAACAATTGTCCAGTTTTTAATGGGTTCTCTAACTAACGTCACCAAATGATGGAAATCTTGTTCTTGTAGTCCTACTTTCATATTGTAAATTACTTTACTTTTTACTCCAAATATAACTAAATTATGAGCATATTATATTACAGTCAGAACAATACATATGTAATCACATTCAAAATCAATAAATTGAGACACCTATTCGTCTCAATTATAGAGAGAATGTCATGAATTAATCATTACTTCTATAGTGAATCGTTCGATTAATCGAACATTACACCCATAAAATAATCATTGTATTTGATCCATTGATAACTATTTTGAAAGTTAATTGTTTGTCTGTTTTTTGTAACCCAATCAATCAGGTAATGTTGTATAAGTGTTTATATCACCGGGCAATAATCACTCAAACAAACAATACTAATTGAATTTAATAATTATATTTTCTCTATATTGAATATTCAATCAAATCTCTTCAATAGCTAATGATTTTTTTAATGTTCACTTTTAAATCTATCGAAGCGTTTAAATCACACAATTGAGTTCGCAAAACAGATTTGTCTAAAAAAGCGGTTCTTTATTGAATAATATACATAAATTAATTACAAACCTCAACTTATGAAGTATTTGTGGCATTTACCACGTTTATAAGTCTTAAATGAAAACGGTTTCCTGCAATAATAACACAAAGAGTAATCACAACATACGATATTGCGAACGATATCTAATAGCTGTATCTAATCTTGATAAGAGTTTCTCAATAGGCAAAAACGAAACCAAGAACAAACAATGTTGAAACTGTCGCATTTAAACAAGGATTAAACGACTATGGAAGATTGAGAATAATTGCTGCAAGGATTGAAAGTGATTATAATGATAAATACAAGAAATGTTATAAGTATATGTAAATATTTCGGAATAATACACGATAAACTTGCGCTACAACACACGCATAGAATCTGCTAGGAATACAACTGAATATTATTCAGTACTATAAAGTAATACTCAAATGAGTCGAATCGAAGTGATTAAAGGGCAGAGAAAGTAAAATAGACTTAACACTTACTAAAAATAAAAACCTGTTCTACTCTTTTTTATACCGATAAACTAACTTATCAATCGATGTTCTACCTATTAATCTCTTTTTTTAATTAGCTCCATTAATAGCTGAAACATTGGAATTTCGTGCTAATGCAGTAACAGAACGTAAAAAAGCAATTGTTGTTCGTGAAGCATTTGAACAAGCTGTACAAGAAGATGCAGAAATGTTACCAAATGATTTAGAATCAATTAAACGTATATTAGCTGAACGTGAAGCTATGGTAGCTCGATTAGCTGAAGAAAGAGATGCTAGTTTATTAGCTATGATTCAACATGGATTAAGTGTTAAAACTGATGAAATGTTAGATTGGATTGAACCATCTAAAAATGAATTAAAAGCTACTTGGGCTGAAGTAGATAAAGTTGCTGAAACTGGTTTAAAATCTTTACGTCAAACTGCTGAAGCTTTTGAAGCATTTGAAGAACATAAACAACGTATTACAAATTTGTTAACTGGTACAAAACATTTAATTAATGGTCATGCAAGTGCATCTACTACAGCCGCTTTTACTATGGCATTACTTGGTAAAGATGGTACAATTGATATTGATAATGTCACTAATACATTACATATTGATAATGAAACAAAATTATGGGCTGATTCTTCATTAGCATCTGGTATTGCTGGTGTTATTGTAGCAAGTGTTGAAGAAGCAACTAAAGCTGGTCAAGAAGCTGTACGTGTTCAAACAGATGCAATCCTAGCACAATTAGATGCATTAAACAATGCAGAATCCGATTTAAAAGCCTTAATCAATGCTGCACAAACTATGAAAATGCGATCCACACCAGAACGTGCTTCAGAATTAGATGCAACAATAAAACAATTAGAAAATCAACTTATTACAGCTAAACAAGAATTAAATGCTAAATTAGCTAATTTACGTGCAGCTAATGGTAAATGGGAAGTATTTTATACAAGTACACGTGAAGTTGACAAATTACTTAATAATGCAGAATTAAATTTATCCAATATAACCAGTGTACAACCATTAGCTAAAGGTAATTTAAATATTAATGAATTAGGTTCTGCTGAATCATCAGCTAAAGCTGCTGCCGCTGAATTAGCATTATGGTATGCATCAGTAAATAATTATTTAAAAGATTTACAATTATCTGAACAACGTCTATTATCATTAAATGTTATATTTAAAGAATTAACACATTTCTCACCATTAGATACTACTGAAATGAATACTGATAGTGATAATAATTTATCTGAATCATTAATCATTAGTTCAGAAATATCTAAAGCACAAAATAAAATTCTTAGTTTATATCGAAGACAAAAAGCATTACAAATGGCATTTAATCAACATTCACAATCATTAAATAAATTAAAAGATTATTTAACACAATATCTTAATCTTGTACCAAATATTGATAAATATTTAATAGAAATTGAAAATACTACTAAAATATTATCATCAACCAATTCATTTATTAATTCATTAGATGATTTAATTAATTTACGTAATACACATAATACACGTCAAATGATACATAATACAAAATATACAGAAGATCGTAATCAATTATTATGGTTAGCTAGTAATTTAACTAGTTGGTCACATTTAAAAGTATGTTTATTTATTTATTTTTAGTATTTATTCATTGTTTAGTATTTTATTATTAGTATAGAAATGCGGAGATTGTTGAGTTTAGATTGCTATTATGAATCGTTAAATGTTAGACCACCATTGAAAACTTGGAGTAACTGGGTGGCCGTTTCGTTTTAGTATGGGACTCCTCAGAAGTATACATCTAATATCCCGCATGTGGAAATCGATTATAGGATCTTCGGTTTCGAAACGATTATCTAGTGATTCCAAGTTTTCAATGGTGATTTAATACTGATCCATTTAGGATATCAATCTAAACGCAATATTTTATTGTTTGTTTTAAATTGTCGATGTGATTCAAATTTTTTTTAAATTTAAATGTAATTTGCAGGGTTGTTTTACTGTTTTTGTTATGAATGAATGAATGAATACAACTAATCATTATAACTGTACATTATCATATATATATATTTGGAAGTATATTTGTTTGTTAACACTAAGCACTAAATTTTAAGTCTTTGTTATGACTTGTGGCCGAGTCGATGCCCAGTTAGTGTATGACGTGATAAGACCGCCAATCAGAGAGCAGCGAATTATCGATTGTTACAGTGACACACAAAAACCGTATGAGCAGTCTAGTGCGTTAATCGGTCCTGCTTCTGCCTAGCCCAGTCAGTTAAGTCCAAAACATCAATAACAGCCTCTGTGGTATGAATCACTGTATTTCAAACATACTGAGTTTATATTCCAAACAGACTGACCACAACGTACCAATAAAATAGAAAAATAACATTTGTACAAGAATTAGCCAAATGTGGCTGTGAATAGGGGGATTAGTCATTAATAGACTGGGTATAACTCAGGAATGGTAAATTGTACAATAATAGTCCAAGGGTCAAAATAAAGCTCACAATAAAAGGAAACATGAATATGAGTAGTTTAATTATTTAGCAAATAAACGATAAAAAAATATATGCATAATATTGGTCCATAAATGGATCCCAAAGTTACCATTCACTATTGTTATCGGGATATAACACAATTTTAGTCCAATTTAAAAATTTTGTTCAATAATACAGTTCTGATTAGTTTCATATTTACTATTGCCGGAACAAGATCATTGTTATATGGAGAGACAGTGACTGATTAGATGATTTTACGGTGAATTGTTGAGAAGTAATAAAATGATCAGTCACTGATGACTCAGATACCATACCAGACAGGTCGCCTTATCCCACGGATTTTCGTGTCCGGCCGTAAGGTCTCAACAATTACGAAGCAAACACGAAAACTACTCACAAAAAGGTTGGGTGTGACCGATCTCAAGCAGTTGTCCCTTAGGCACTGCGGTAACGCCCTCATGTCACTAAGATCACCTCTAACCTAATTTCATTTTCAGGTACTTTTAGAAGAACCCTTCCACGGTGTAGGCAAACGGAAAGCGATAACCTCCCTCATACCTCTAACAACATTCAAGACCACTATTTTCAATTCCTATTATTCCTCGTAACTTGACTTTCAACTCTAAGCTTCCTCTTTTGGTTTCCTCAAGTTCACAATGGCCAACGATTCCAGTGCGCAAAACACTGTCCCAAGTATACTGAAACCTCGCTCCCAGCTACACATTGGAGCCTTCAACTTACATACCCTATGTCAAATCGGCCAGCAGGCCTCCTTGGCTAAGATCCTAGAATCTCGTACCATTGATGTATACTGTGTCTTCTAAACACACACAGGATCGTAGTGTGGTCATTCACCTGGTCTCATCTCGCCAAAACGGAGAGCCGACAAGATATACCCTCCATGTACCTGGCGACCCAATGGCTAGTCCTCGTGGACTTGCAGGTATAGGCATAGCACTTAGTACGAGGGTAGAACAAGCACTATTAGAGTGGGTCCCCGTTAACAGTCGCCTGTGTACTGTCCGGCTAAATGGCTTCCTAAGAACTCGGAAGGATAGGGACACACGTCGTTGTTTTATCGTCGTTTCTGCCTACGCTCCCACTGACTACAGCCATGATGAAGTGAAAGATAACTTCTACAGAGAGATTTCTGAACTTCTTCAGAAAAGTAAGCGCTCAGACATAGTGTAGTGAACAAAACACGACTGGGGGACAATCGAATGTATTTAAGCAAAGATTACAGACTATCTCAGTAAATTCTGAAAACCATACAATGTACAGTCAATTTGCAAATTAACAACCAATAGTCTCGATCTTCACTGTTTCTTCTCTAATTCCATTGTTCGTGCATTTTCCTACCGATTGCGCTTTGTTTCAGTTCTTTCGTCATCGGTCTTCTGCTAAAATACATTCTATGTCTGACCAACACCATATACTACTTATATGGATATAAGTAGATCACACCACAATAGCACTCGTAGCAGGTGACTTTAATGCCCTGGTAGTTAATAGTGATCGTCTGTTGCAACTGTGTTCAGACAATCGTTTATTTTTAGCAAACGCTAATTTTAAGCATAAGGAGAGACATCGTCTAACATGGCGACCACCTGCACCAAACCAACGATGGACTCAAATAGACCATATTGCCATCAGTCATCGTTGGAGAGGCTCGACAGAAGGCTATCTCTCGTTCTGGAGTACATGCTTAAACTCTGATCACGAGCATGCATTTGCTTGTGCCTCACTGGACTCAGAAAAACCACGCTAAGAAGACCCATTAGACTTGAACTGAGGGACGAGAAAGCCAAAAGTATATTCCAGGAACAACTGAGATCACACTTAGGCAGTTCTGGAAACGAGGCTAACCCAGATGTTGCTTGTGAAGATATACGAGCATCTGTGGAAACAGCAGTGACATATATTAGTTATATGAACCAAAGAGTCACGGAAAACCAATAGATTTCTACTAAGACTGTTGCACTGACAGTTTCTCTTAAACTCATCCCATTAGTCTCTGAACACGATGAAGAGCGAAAAAAAATCAGATCTAAGTTTACCAAAAGTCTACAGAACGATCGTGAGCAGTGGTGGGCAACATAAGCAAAAGAGATTGAAAAATCTGAAGTTGTAGGTAACAAAAGACAGCTTTCCAGACTAATAAGAGAAACCAGTATTAAGAAGTCAAGTGTAAGTGAGATGATCCCGGAAAAAGATGACACCCTTATCTGCTCTCAGTGTAGACGTTAAGAACGATGGATAGAACACTATTGAACAGTTCAGCTGGCCCTCAGTTACTATACAGTTACCCACCATTCTTGGAAAGTGTGATAGGAACATTGAAATGGGCCACCTCGACTCGAATTGAATTTCAAAAAGCTATAGCTAGTCTGAAGTGAGAAAGAGCAACTGGTCCAGATGGATTGGCTTCAGAGGTCTTTCAAGATCTTGGTCCAAATATGGGAAGTGAATGTAATCCCATCTGACTGGTCGTAATCACTGACTGTTCCAATATATAAGAAAGGATCAAAATCCTCCTGTGATAACCATAGAGGGATTAGTTAGACTAATATGGCATCTAAAATACTAGCCTTAATAATTATCGGGCACCTAACTAAGACTCGTGAACTGCAAACACGAGAAAATCAGGCTGGCGTCAGACCTGATTGTGGCTGTATCGATCACATATTCACTATTCGTCAAGTTTTAGAACACAGGTATGCTTATCGGCGACCAACAATGTCAGTTTTTCTTGACTTAAATGCAGCGTCGGACTCTGTAGAACGAGAGGTTCTGTGTTAGTGTCTGTCATCGAAAGATGTACCTCAGAAGTACATAAACCTTGTGAAGGCTCTTTACTCGATTACTATCAGTCGAGTGAGAGCTTATAGAGAACTGTCATCTGATTTTACAACCTCAAGTGGTGTCCGTCAAGGCTGTCCACTATCTCCATTTTTATTTAACTTCATCATAGACCTACTACTGGAAATAACTCTCTCGTTTACTGAATTTTCAGGAATTGATCTTCTACCAGGGGGTCCACTAAGCGACTTAGAATACACAGATGACATAGTCCTGTTTGGTGAAGACTCTGATAAAATGCAGGTTTTGGTAGCACTGAGCAACAACGGCATGATGTTTGGAATGCGTTTCTCCCCTTCTAGATCCAAGTTGTTGCTTCAGGACTGACCTGTGTCAACACCCGAACTAAGGATAGGGAGTAAAGTAGTCGATCGCATTGACAACTTCACTTATCTTGGAAGTCTGATCAGCTCTATTGGGTTGGTGTCTGACGAAATTTGTGCACGGATTCAAAAAGCTTGTTTGGCTTTTGCCAACTTACGTCACCCATGGCGAAGACGAGATAGCCGTCTATCAATTAAGGGACGAGTATACTGCGCAGCAGTTTGCTCTGTTCTACTTTGCGGCTGTGAAACATGGCCATTAAGAGTAGAAGATACTCACAAGTGACTTATATTTGACCACAGATGTCTTCGAAATATTGCTCGCATCTGCTGGGATCACTGGTTAACTAATAGTGAGGTTAGACAAAGGGTATTAAGGGATGACGGTAGATCAGTTATTGAAGTCATGAATCTTCATCGACTGAGATGGTTGGGCCTCGTGTTATGTATGCCTGAACACCGATTACCACGACGCGCTATGCTGACTAGTGTTGGAGATGGTTGGAAGAGAGTTAGTGGTGGCCAAACCAAAACGTGGCATCAGTGCTTGAAGTCACTAATTTCTAGTCTGAGCCATGTTGGTAGATGCAGACTACTTGGTTGGGGTCCGTGTGACTATCGTAACCATTGGTTGGAGACTGTGAGTGACATGGCTCAGAATTAATCACAATGGTGTAGGTGTATACACTCTTTACCTTCCTTAAACCCTGAGATTAAAATTACTTCATATCTATCCTTCTACGAACTAATTATTTCTGTAATATATTCTTATACACAACCTTTCTTTTATATATTACCACTGCTAAATTAACTACTTCTATAAATTCGGTGTTCATCTTGTTGTGCTAATGAGGTATGGCAATTTGGACCGATGCGTATTTGTGCCTGGTTGTACGTTGCGGCTGACTGACTGACTAAAACATTTAACACAAGGCGAACTGTTGCTCAATGTGCACCTTTATGGAATAATGATCAATTTTCAAGGTTGTAACGCTACAGCAGGAGGAATATATAGGGCAAATGGAATATGACTAGCATGGGAACCCAAAATACGCGTTTTGTCCCGTTTACGACTCCTCACATAGATATTGCATTTCAGAGCTGATGTCCGCTTCGGAATTTGAACACAGTACCTTTCACTTTAAATTCTGGTTAAAATATCAAGAACAGGATGTTTTTCACTTAAAGTAATGGGAACAGTTTTAATCATATTTTTTACACACTGTATCATTGTTTGTCTTTGAAATATAATATTCTGTCCATTGAAAGTGTGTCATTAAATCTTTGTATGCTACTAACCTCAACCTTTCTACTTGCCGTTTTTCCTATTTTTTATAATTCTCATATTTCTAGGAAGCTAATGAAGCGTTACAATCACGTTGGGAAAGTGTTAACTATTGGCTAATTGAAGAATCTCAATATTTAGATGATTTACACAATATGTGGACAGAATGGAATGAAGAAGCTGATCAGTTTACATTACAAATAACTAATATAGAAAAAGATGTAGAACAAGAATTAAATAATATCATCAATGATATAACTAACCAAAACTCTAAAGAGTCATCTGATCCAATTAATAATAATAATACCAGTGACTTAGATTCCAAAGTGAATAAAGCTAGTGCATATCAAGATCGTTTGTTTGATGCTGAGTCTTATTTGAAAGCGTTCAGTTTTAAAACAGAAAAATTGTTAAAACGAATTTTTGCACAAACTCAAATACACTGCCGAACTTTGTTACCAGTAGATACGGGGAAAATAACAAAATCTACTGATCAATTGTCATCATCATTAACAGAATCCACACTCAATAACACTAATATCAGTTCACAATTCACTAATATCGCTATCAGTCCACATAGTATAGCAATTAAATATCGAGAATTAGAAGAACATTTAAAATGTGTACGAATACAGTGTGAAAAATTAAATAATGAATTAGAAAATCAACTAGATGCACGTGATCGTTTATTTCGTGATACAGATAGACTATTACAATGGATTATGTCAGCGGAGAAACGTATGACAAAGCTAACACGAATTTGGGTAGCAGCAAGGCCACCAATTACAACGAATAAAACTTACGGTGTATTACATAAACCATCTTCAATTATGAAACAACGAAGTGGTATGTAGTTGTAATAGGAATGTATCTTGCTTCATTGATTCATACTTTCTTTTATTAAATGACTTTACTTCTTCTGCTTAATAATATTATCAAGGGTTTTCTAGTCTAAAGTATCATTCATCGTAAGTTGGATATGAAGTTATAGTTAAGGTTGTGTCGTCTTAATTGTTTTGTAGCATTATTCATATTCACAAGCTGACTTTAGATTGGAAGCGAATTCAAGACTTTCGGATCATTCAACAATGAACGTTCAACCTTTCATATCATTGCGTTACCATACAATGATTCACATCTCTAACCTTAGTCAGTCGGTAATATTTGCCAAACCGTCGTCTATTTTTAACGGTAATAAATGTCTCATAGGTACTGTCGTTGGCATTGGCGTTTACCATAAGTCTTAGATTCAGTGTCTAGCGGGATTGTAGATGTGAATTGCTGAGGCGTCTAATATTAAGACAAAATAGCTATCCAATATTCTTTAGTTTTCAGTATTTGTTTGGCCAAATTCAGTCTATGATGTGAACTATAAATATATGAGTAATCCCCATAGATATCCATTTTGAAATACGATTCGATCGTTGTGTGAAATGACATCGGTGTGCTCACAGGTAGCTTTTACCATGCTTTTTCTTTAGCTTTATTGCATCAAACAGATAGATAGAACAGAAATAACGTGGAATATAACACGATAATTATGTAGGTACCAGATTAAGTAGTCATATATCATTTATTTGTAACAAAAGAGAAATAGGAATACTGTGGTATGGTCTATTTATATCCTCATAAGTAGTATATGGTGATAGTCAGACATAGAATGTATTTGGGCAGAAGATCAAGAAGGAAAGAACTGAAAGGAAGCGCAATTATTAGGGAGATGCATAAACAATGAAATTAGAGAAGATGGATTGATATTTACAGAAGGAACAGTGCGGATTGAGACAAATGATTGTTATTTTGCAAATAACTGTTTACTGTATGGTTATCAGAATTCAGTGTGATAGTCTGTAATTTATGCTTAAATACATTCGACTGTCCCCACCCGTGTTCTTGTTCACTACAGTACTACTAATATTAATAAAGTAGGATTGCGAATATTAGTTGGCTAACAGAATTATTTCATTGTTTTCAGATGTATTTCTTATTTTGAACGATCAATTTAATTAAATTTGCGTGATAAAATCTAATATTAAGCTTTTGAAACCAAATCGATGAGAAGTCAAGGTTCTGAATGTCACGCTCGTTGACAGTAATCTTTTTCCTGACCAGTAGTACTGAGATTCTAACACTGATTTGTCACTAAAATGTAAGTCAGTGGTATCATCTCTAATTACGACACTGTTACGTACTTGATCTGTCTACCCACTAATATATACAGAAGATAACTCGTCGTAATCTATATTAAGACCTTAATACGACAGAGTACTGGTTTAATCTTGAGGCTAGAATCGCGTGAGTTCTAAGTGAGACTAGCTGCCTTGAGTAGGGAGACGAAAACTATTCTATCACCTGATAGACGATAGACGCACGAGAGAGAAGAGTTAACTGAATCACTACTCGATTTATTCCTGATTCCGATTAGTGTAAAAGTGTTATATCTTGTGGACGAGTGGATGGCTAGTTAATGTGTGACGCGATAGAACCGCCAATCAGGGAGCAGTGAATTATCGATTGGAACAGTGACACACGAAACCGTACGAGCAGACTACAGTGCTAACCGGTCCTGCGATCTGCCTAGCCCAACCAGTCAAGCCCAAAACACTAATAACAGCCTCAGTGGTATGAATCATTATTTACAAACACACTGGGTTTTTATACAAACCAAAGTAATCAATAAACTGATGATAACTCAATAGTCGTATGATAATAAGTCAAGGTCAAAATAAGCTAATGATAAGAGAAATACAAATATGAATAGTTCAGTTACGTAATAATTGTACAATAGGAAATAGGCATTACATTGATCCATAAATAGACCTAAAAGTTATCATTCGTAATTCACCGGGGGATATAACAAAAAGATACATGAATAAATTGATGACCAACATGACCACAGCACACAAACAATTAGAAGATACAATTATGTCCAAAACTAGACATTTGGATAGAAAAAAAGAGTAACAAATGTTACATTTAAATCACAATAACTTTGGAACAAAAAGTGGTATTGCAGTGAATCATACATGAAACGAAAGCTTAACCTTTGAATTAAGTGAAATAACGTCCCCATAAATAGCTTCCGTGGTTTGTCACGGCTTCTTTGTTTCTCTGTTCACATCATATAAACTAGGTAACACAGGTTAGAATATATATAAAACAATCGTCCATTAATAGGTCCCGGAAGTTACCCGTACTCATGTTTTCGCTAGAACATAACATCGGTCGACATAATTACATCAACATTATAAACTAGATAATCATGAGGTAATTTATCAATCGGTGAAGTATTTTCTATTGTTTACAATTTTCTTTTGTTAATTTGAATACATGTGAAGTATTATAGGCAGAGTGAGAAGTTGAATATTGTAAAGTGTATAAAGCATTAATATTTCTATTAACAACATTCCATTTTGTCTCGATTAATTTCGTCTTATTTTTTTTTAGATCAAATTGATTCTGATAAACAACAACTAATTGGTGTTGACTTATCAGAAGCATATGAACAATTAAAAACTTTACAAATTGAAGCTAGTGGTCCACGAATGATTGCTTTAAAAGAATTAGCTAATCAAATTGAAGGCGAAGATGTTGATTTAAATGATTTATACAATAAAATGGGCAGTCGTCCAGGGAGTAATCGACCTGGAAGTAATCATAGTAGACCTACTAGTGATCGGTCACGTAGTCGACGTTCTGTTTCATTTGATTTATTAGGTAAAGAAAATAGTTTTGATTCAACTACAAATGATGAAATTAATCGTCAATTACATGAACGTTTAATTCGACTTTTAAGTAAATTAAATCGTCTTATCAGTCATCTTGATCAACGTACAATACTTTGTCGTTTAACTATTGAATATGAATATTGTCGTCAAAATTGGATACAAGAGATTAATGCATTGAATTCACGTTTAAAAACATTTGAAAATAATTCAGTTGTTGTAGAATTAGACGTAGATAAGAAGAAAAAACAGCCATCCAATAAATCTATTGAAGATGATAGGAAACCATCTGTACAAGAAAATGAAGACTCTATAGGACAACAACAAAAACAACATACTGAGGAAGAAATCAATAAGGATGAAGTCAGTATGGGAGAAAATGTCACGGAATCTACAAATTTAACTCATCATGATGATGATTCTATTCAGACTACCACTATTACTGCTACTACTGATACTAGTAGTAAAGAACGAATTACACCAATTGACATGCTTCAATCTGCCACAGATGACGCTGAACGTATATTATTTCGTAAACAAACCATACAATCTGGTATTGTCTATCAATCAGAATATAAAAATTTAAAAGATGAAATTGATAAATTAAAACAGCTAATAAATAATTGGCAAGTAACATTAGATTTTACACGACCAAATATCAATGAAAATGAATTTTATGAAACATTGAATGATTCGAATTTAGTTGGACCAAAAGACCTCGATGTGGCTGTTGTTTCAGTTGGTCTTATGTTTGTTACCAATATTGATTCGAATTGGTCATTTAGTACTGGATTCAGTACTGCTGCTTCATCAATGACAACCACAACGAGTACTTCAATCAACAGCACCACTACCACCTCCACAACAACTACTTTAGGTGGTACCACTATTACTTCAGATCAGTCGACAATATTACAATTAGAACCATTTAGTTTTTTTATAGATATTGCTAGATTGTCTTCTGAATGTGATAAATTACATGGAAAATTAAAATCTAATTTATTACATGTGATTGGTGTATGTGAAAATTGGCAACAATTAGTTGAAGCACGTGATAGATTATTAGAACAAGTTAAAGATTTACAATATCGTTCATCAGGAGCTTGTTATACAGTTAGTCAATTAGGTGATCCATCGAAAACTGATAAACCTATTGGTATACGTTTGACACGTTTAGGTAAACAGTTATTAAATTGGCAAGTTGAATTAAATTCGGCTGGCACTACCACAGACGATGTGAACGCATTACAAACTGATGTTAATAATAATAATGATAATGATAATACTGATAAAACTAATTTACCAAGTGAAGCTGCCACTATAATTCAACGATTAAATGATCTTCGACGGGCTGGTGAACGTATTGTTGGATTAAATCCAGCCCGTGGTCCAAATGTTGATAGTTTATACAATACAACTGTACAATCTATACGTTTATGTGCAATTTATTTAGGTGAAATCGGTCGACATAGTATACTATTATTTGAAGCATTATCAAAACGTTCAGAATGTTTACATCAATTGACAGAATTTCTTGATGAAGTTGAAAAACAAAGTGGTCTTGTTCCAGCTAGTGAACATCAGACAGTTTTTGGTGATACAAATTCAACTGAACAAAATCAAATGACTATAGTTGATCAACAAATTAATAGTTCTGATAAAAATGTTAAACGACCAATACCTGAAGAAATTGCATCACAATTCACAATGTTTGAATGTATGGATCTATGTAGATTATTAAGTGTGGATAATGCCAAAGAAGTAGAACAACAACTGAAACCATGTCAAATTTCATTAGATTCATTAATGAATAAACAAAATACATATTTTATACAATCAAATCAGTCATCTTCATTAGCGTTGCAAACATTTAATGAATTTCAAACAGAAATATGTAGATATAATAATAGTAATAATAAAATGGCTGATACAGATGAAGAACATAAATTATCCGAGAGACAAATAAAATCAGATCCATTTCGTGATGTAATAATCAATCGTTGGCAACGATTACATTTTCGTTTAGAAACTGTTATACAGCAATTATATATTCGACGTAGTGCATTCATATATGTAGAAGATGGTTTCAAACAATTAGAACATTGGCTTGAAACAAATGAATTAACAATAGAAACATGTAGTTCACAACTGGCAGCGAATGCAGCGACTTCCGCTATCCTCTCGCCATTTAATTTGCATTCAGTATTGCCAGCTGATGACCAATTAGAGTATACTGAAAATCCTCAATTAATTCTTGATACATTTAATACAGAAGTTGTTTACTACTCAAATTTATTAAATAGTATAAATGATCGTATCGAAGCTGATTTAGGAGATCGTGTATTATTGAAAAAAACATTGGATAATTTAGAATGGCGTTTACATAAATTACAAAAATCTTCGGATCATTTATTACAACAATGGAATGAAGAATATGAAAGATGTGAACAGTTAAAAGTTGATCTACATCAATTTAATACACTTCTAGAATCAATTAATAAAGAGTTAACATGTTGTTTTGATCCGAATGTTTGTAATGTAGAAGATCTAAATAGTTTGACGATGATACAATATAGTCCCACTGATATACAAAGTATTAATATACAAGCAAATAATTATTTATTACAATTATGCAAAGCACAGTGTATTCGTCATCGTCTTGCACGATTACGCGATCGTTCATTATGGTTACATGATAGAGCTCATTTATTAGCCATTGGACCAAGTCGTTATCACCATCGTTCTATTCAGCCATTGAAAATAATGCAACAAGAAGCAAATTTATCCATCAATAATGAGAATAAATCTACTGAGCTATTTACTGCATCTATTCTATTAGAAAGTGAATCAGTCTCTTTAAATCATCGTTTATTAGGTTTAATTGCAAAATCTACAAAGTCTGTGCATATTTTACATTCAAAAATTAATCATATCTTTTTTGATGCTATACAAAATTTTCATAATTGGTTTGATGATTTACATTCAAGAATGAATGAAATTCATTCAGCTACACTTTCAACACATATGATAATAAAACCAAATGATTCAAAGCAACTATCGACTGATACAAATCAGTCAGTGGGAATTTTATCCGTAGATGTATTGTCATCTAATTTGAATACAATTCGTGCAACTGTAGATGTAAGTGGTTATATTTTAATTGTCATGTTCACTACTTGGTTATCTGTTAGTAGTCAATTCTATTCGAAAATAATTATGAAGTGTTATGAATCATCGGGTTAGTGATGTCTTTAGAGTGTACGGTTAATCCTTCATTGTGAAGTAGCGAATGTCATGTTGTATATTCTTTAGCACTGGTCAAATTCTATCGATCAGTTCATAGTCTGACTTCTAGTCTAAATAAATTGACATTTCGGTTCACTTCGCTGTTTGATCGATAATCTCAGTCCTACAGTGTTATTCGTGACACAAATAACACACCATCAATGTTTGTGAGTATGAAAGCAGGTGGAGCGTGTTTGAATTCAACGAAGAGCGCCATTCTCTTTAAGATTGGAAATAACTGCCGGAAAATGGAAAGCTTAAATCCTACCAGTCACTTAACGAATAATGATTACATGAAACTTGATTCTTCCCTATCATCTCTATTTGTACCGAGACTCATCCATCGTGCCATTTAGGCATGCCGTTTTCCAATGAAAACTACAATCGAATCTAAAGAATTAATTTTCCGTCGCTTCATCCACTCACTCTCTCGTCCTAACATTACACATGAAATAACTCACCTATATATATGGGTATATTTGCTAAACATTACGTTCGTGAATGTTTCTAATTTAAATATATATGGCGAACTTGACAAGAAATTATTTTATCTTTCGATATTTAATATATCTAAACGGTAACCAACCGTCCAATATCTTTTTAACACCTATTCTTTGTATTTCTCCAAATGCTAAACACGAAAAAAGATCAATAGTTTTTGATAGAATAGATGTATTGTAGGTAGCAGTAGGAATCCTGAATTCGCATTTCAGCCTAAACTAGATTCGTCAACTTGATATAACTGAATTCTAGCGTTGACGTTTATATTGAGAATTGAACCAAGTATCTCTCACTTGAAATACTACTTATTGAGTTCAGAAAGCTACTAACTTGTTTAAAGGCTATGACGTTAATACTATAAATTTGAGGTGCTTAAATTCTTCCGTTTTTGATAGTCGTGATTGAAGTCTGATCAATCCTTATTGGTATATGTGTATCCTGTGCAGATTACCCCGATTTAGCCAAGTCGCACGTTATTTATAGAAGAGTTATGACTAACAGAGGAAACCATTTTGTTTAAACATGTTAGAGACAACTGATGAGTTAATTATGGCTATTTTAAGAGTTGGAATCACAAACTGATCTTAGCTAGACCACCATTAAAAACCTGAAAACACTGGAAGACCATTTCATCCTTGTATGGGACATCCTTCACGTGCATTGAGTAAAGGGTTGCGGAAGATCATTTGTTGATTGATTTTAAAAATTAACACCATCGGATGTCAGCTCAGTGGTTGAGAGGTCAAACGTTCACGAGCGAGACCGAAGGTCCTGAGTTAGATTCTCGTTTACGGGGTTGTAGGAGCTCACTGCTGAGATCCCATACTAGGAGAGAACAATCATTCAGTGCTCCAAGATTTTCAATTGTGTTGATATCTACCTCTGATTCCCGAATCAATGTGTTCTTGAGTCTTCCTCTTTCCTTTTCGCCACCAGGATTCCAAGTTAGGACTTGTCTCATGATTCCCTGACATGGAATCATGAAGGAAAAATAAAAAGAGAAAGACTCGAGAACACAATGAAAATGTTTGTTAAGTCCTAAAAGGATAATAAAAGTTTCTTCTGAACACATAGCCTAGACTTTCGATCTGGAACCCTACATAACTTCTACGATATGTCGGAAACGAAATGTAAAACCGTTGAGGAACTTTGAAGGTGGTGTACGTTAGATCACATAGAATGATTCACATTTACCTACTACATTATCACTGTGGACCATGGATCCACATACTATCTTTGGTGTAACGTTTTCAAGCCACACGGGCAGGTGTCGTTTCATTTGGCAGTTAACTTAGTCATACGTTGGTTACAGCTTTTTCCACAGAAATAATTGAGTTGATAGGTACACATCGAGTAGATATAATTAGCTAACTAGTTCCTCGTTTCATTAGACATTACTAGTCGACTAGGAAATAGCGAAGTAAGATTGACTTCTTAAATCGTCATTTTTATCACCCTCATTAATCTGTCATATATTATATCACTAGCTACATACCCATATAGTACTTCTTGTTAGAAAGATTTTTTTCGAACAGTCAATATCTTTAACTTCCTAATCCCTGTATACATACCCTTATATCTCTCCTCCTTCCTGTACTATATCCTTATATACAACCTATAATTTATATACTACTACCACCACTAAATTAATTATTTCTATGAACCCGGTGTTCATCTTGTTGTGCTAACGAGGTATGGCAACTTGGACCGATGCATAAATGTGCCTGGTCCTACGTTGTAGCTGACTGACTGATACATACCCTTCATTGGAAAACTTTATTGATAATGTGTTTTTTTATGAATCAGTCATTTACAGTATGTATATCTCCACTCATACGGTGTAAGATAACTAATTCAAATCATTATTATTTTATTTATGTGTAGGATTTAACTAGGAAAGTTCAATGTGAATCTAAACTTGACATTTTAAAAGAATTAGCTAAAATAATGCTACGTTCACACTATATAGACATTGAGCCTAGTTTATCTGATCATATAAAAGATGATGAGGTTGACGATGCTGACGCTCAAGTGAAGAATGAAAAACAGCCATCAGTTGATAGCATACAAACATCATTGATAACAGCTGAATCTCTTTTACAGTCTGTCGAAGATAAAGTTGAACAATTTACTAAAGTAGTAGACACAACTGAAAATAATCCACCTTCATCATCGTCATTACCAATATCATTATTACTAACAAAACTCAATTCCTCTGATGTTTCTTCCATCTTTATGGAATCTGATAACTCAATAAGTCAATTGATTCGATTATGGGACAGTCAATTAACCAATATGTATAGTGAATTGAAACAGATCGAGTTGAAACTTGATACGGCACAAAAAGTTGCTATACAATCGAAAGAATATGAAATTAAATTATCCGAAAATATGATTATTTATGAAAAACAATTTAAACAAATTATTATATGGCAACAATCAATTAGAATTGAATCGTGTAAAAGTCGTCTTAATGAATTACAAGTAAGAAACATTTTATATCATATGTGTTTATGGTATTATATTTAATGTACTCAGTAAATTTAGACTTTAAAATTCTTTGTAAGTGAAAAAAGCGCTTAGAAACGTCTGATGAGTAGGTTATATTTTTGTTGCTAAAATAGCGATAGAAGTCAAAACAAGCGTTTCATCCTATTTTGAAGTCGTCAGTTGCATATAAGAAGCCAAATACGAATTGTGTTGACGGGATTTATATCAAGCACTAGTTTTTCCAGACACATCCTGATGTGTGGGCGAGAATGTCAATGATTGGTTGTCTCGATGAGTCAGACATTAGAGGGGATGACAGGTGTTATGTGTTATATATATATTTCCCTATCCTTATTAGGTATGGACTTCTTGACTGTTCCTTGATGTTGAATACTTATTGACTGTTCCATGTGTCGGATTTTGGTGTGAAATATATTGACGTTATAGTCAGGCTAATATTGTGTTCTTGATCTGAGTTCTGTTGAAGTCCTGTAGAATAGACACTGGGTGGGAATCTAGTGTAGATATTCGTCTAAGATAAATTAACGTCCCACATACGTGTAAGAAGTAAAAGGACTGTTATAACCAGAAACCCCTAAAGTTATAACCAGCATCCTCTCTCTCTCTCTACGTTTATAACAATTGGCGACGGCATACATACGTTTATAACACATCCAAAATGAAAAGCATGAAAGTGAAGTGAAAAAGGAAACTTGCTAACTCGCTTTGGTAACGCGTGATTCAATATTTATTTTAGGACAAAAAGGAGCTAAAAATATGTAATTAAAGAAAGTGAACCATCCAGCTCAGAGTACGAAACTCTATCAAAATCATCCACCTGAGCTAAAAATCTTCACCATCTCAAACGATACATACATATACGCGAATAATCGTAAAGGTCAAAATGTGACTTAAGAAGAATGGATAAATCGGTCTGTCCGCCAGCTAGAATAAATCATTCAGTTTTGACATAGTACCAGACAATACAATATACTTATTGACCAATGCTTACTTCATAACGCATCAGTGTGAACATTGTTGATTGATATCATGAATGGATCAGTGTTGGACCAACATAGAAAATGTGAGAGCACTGAACGGCAGCTTCGTCCTAGTATGAGACTCTTAAGCAGTATGCATCCATGATCCCACACACGGGATTCGAACCCATAACCTGTGGTCTCGCACTCAAACGCTTATTTATTCCAACTAATGATAACACCGTTTTTCATCATTTATTTATATTTTCCTGTAATTTTTTATAATCTTAGGATTTACTTGTTCAATTGAATGGGTATGGTATTGAATTAAAGCAAGCTCATGAAACATTTAATCAGTTAGTTAAACTAAGTACTCTGTCATTGTTTCATGAGCTCAATAATAAAACAACTGATTCTATTCATCAAAATGATGATCCTGATAAATTAAATGAAAAATCAATTTATAAATCTATTGTACTAACGGAAATTGAGTCTCGATTAAATACTTTACAATCATGTTTGGAAAAAGCTAGTCAACATACTATGGAGTTGACTACTGCCTTAGAAACTCAACAACGTACATGCAATGATGCAAATAATTGGGTTGAAAATGTTACAAATCAACTTCATCACATTATTAAAGAAAGACAAGAAACACCTTCAAATCGTGACACTGCTCGAAAATATCTTGATTTAATACATGTAAGCTGATTTTTTATCTTCAAATTGTGTTTACTTATTGTTTTTACAATTACATCTTTATATTTTTACTAACATTGGAAACATAAGTTAATTAACTTTAAAAGACAGAAGAATACTGAAGAGAATTGATTGAATTTCATGTGTGCTCCTGTAGTCCTCTTATATACTGGGTATCATTGCTGAAGTCAATTATCACAGTTTAACCATTATATATATATATAACTGGTAAAATACTGACCGACTTTTAATAAAAAGTAATAATACTGTATCACTTAGTGACAACTTTTCATAAGCATGAATTGAGATATATGGATTTCTGAAGATATGAAATAACTATATCAGCAAAGATTCCGTCCAGTTGACCTTTTAGTTTTCATATAAAAATGTCTTAGCAAGTATATGTGTGATCAGATTGTTCAAAATGTATTGCGCAAATATATCACATAATTCTGATAATCTTCGTTTTCTTATTGCACTATAGAAATTTATCAAATGGAGCTAATTGTTTTAATAGATTCAATCATTGAGTTAGCATCCAGTGGTTTACATTCATAATTTTGCTTAGTTCGTTGTCATCATTATCATCATCCGTTACTGTGGAGGATAGGTTTCATGTCATACATGAATGGAACAACTGTTCAGAATCTCTTTATTTTCAATGGTTATTTAACTAAAGTCAGTTCGTGATTTAAAATTATGAACAAAGGAAAGGGCTATTGGACATCTGTTCTTTATTTTATTCAGTGGAATAATGACAAGTAGTATCAATATATAATTCATCAGATCTATTTTTGTGAGATAAAACGTTGTACGTATGCCATATAGATTGTTCATTATTTTATTGGTGGTCTAAAAGTAGTTGAATATCAACTATAAAAAAGAGCACTATGGAGTGATATTAGTCACTCGTTTGAATTGGTTTTCTGACATTCCAAATGTAAACTATGTCAAGAGTGAGACAGTCAGTAGTCATTTATGATATTATTTGGTCCATTCGTTTTATAACAAACGAAATGAAACTATTCAGGTTACGAACTGATGGATTTTCATTCAATAGTCAAAAACATTTCAGTCGTTTGATGACATGAAGATTTAAAGCTTTCATAAATGCCCACTACGAGGTGAATAGCTTTTGTATTGATAACTTCAACTTTGACCTTAGTTCGTGATGGAAACTGTTTTTAAGTTGAAATAATAATATTCGTAAATTACTTACCTAAACTATTCATGGAACTTATTATAAAAAGTTTTTCATTTTTGAATCAGCCACGTGAAAGAACAAACGTCTTCAGACTATTAATAAAATCTCATGCCAGGAATTAAAGAATATATATTGTTGGTCATTAGATGATTTAAATGACTTCAGATATCCCACGGATTTGACTCATTTCCTGCTTTGACCTTGATGCTGTGATAGACTACGATTAAATTTCGCTATGGTTGACTCGATCTTGCGCTAATTCAAATTGAAATAATGCTAGTTGTAGAAGCAGACTAGAAGACATTATTTGACAGAGTTGAAAAGACCACTAATTCAGATAAATATATCAACCATTTACTCACTGTTCTATAGTTCAAGAAGATCAAAAATGAATGTTTTTAAGTGTAAGGTGGTTGAGAAGTAGTTGTAGGATTTAATTTATCCTACAGCCATTCCACCAGAACTGTAAACTCTATATTGACGTCTCAGAGTCTGTGTGAAAGCTATAGTCGGAACAAGGACAGCTTGGCTTTAAACTTTTTCTGTTTCTTAACGTAAAAACAATTCGATTAGTACAATAATTAAACGAATTATAGTCATTAGGTGAAACGCACAAACATACCGACCAGTGTTACGTGTCTTATCGAAATGAATATTTAAAAAATGAGTTGTAGTCATACTAACATAACTGGATAACGTTATCCTTCAATTGACAGGTCACATGCAACAGGACTAGTCTACAGACACTTTATACCAGATTGACGTGGTGGGTGTTTAAACGACGATTTGAGTGGTTAGTTATGTGCATAATTAACAGTAGTTGGTAACAAATCCTGGTGGACTTAGGTTTCGTGCCATTTGACACGTCAACAAGATATATCCGTAGTTTTGAGCAAACTGATGCTCTCTGTAGTACTTGAATTTCGGATATCCAGTTTTACAGTTTAAAGCCATACCAGTGAGCTATTCAGCCGCTACTCACCTCCTGTATGATTGAAATATTCACGCTGATTGATCATGATTATTGATACTTGTCTAGTCCTTTAGTATTGGTCGATTTTAGTCGATCACTTTTTTCTCCTTCGCTATGATTTACAAAATACTTATGTAATAACATATATCAAATTAATGCATGAGTATAAGGTTATACATGCCTAATACACGACATTTGGAAAGTTTTAAAACACTGGATCTGTTCATTTCTTAAAATATATTTATTATTAATTATTACAAAATACTTTCAATAAAATAAGTTGTATTACAATTTTTCTACTAAACAGCTTATCTGTCTTTTATATGCTTCATTAAACGTTTTTTTTTTATTTCTTATCCTTTCGCTTACTATCACACTCTCTCATACACACTCATTCTCTCTGACAAAAGAATCTCAATGAAATATCTAACGATGGACGTGCAAAAATACAAATAGCTCAAAATGCCATTGAAGTTGCATGTAGTTTGATTTTAACATCAGAATCGTTCTACAATAAAATTAAAAATAATTATAATCTACCAACTAAAATGGAACAATCAATCAATAATGATCAGACAAAATTGGATGAATCAAAATCAGTAGAATCACTTGCAGAGAAATTCTTATCATTTCATTCTATATTTATATCAGAATCCAATGATCAATTAATAAATTACTCATTTATGTTAAATGATCGTTTCAATGTTTATTTAAATGAACTCGGAACCGTTTTAAATGAGATACAACTTGACTTAAATCAGTGGACATCTTATATTGATTCAAAAGTACGTTTAGAAAAATGGTTGAACATGGTGGAATCTGATTGGAAAGTGAATCAATTAACTGATTCCGATGAAGTCGGTGATAATTTAACAAACAAAATGTACTTTGTTACCTTATACAAAGTATGTTATTACATATTACATGTTACATGTGATTATGTTTCGCCACATTTTCTTTATCTTCTTTTTAATTGGTAATAAGTTGAAAGCAGTGACCAGTTGTTATGCTTGACACTAAATCGATTCCGCGGTAACGAACGAAAGCCAAAGACACAATGACACGATAAGCTATTCTAATCGGTTGTCCCAGGCCCCGCTAACTAGATGAAGAAGTCCAAGGCAAGTAGGGGAATATATATGTATTCCGTAAGCAGCCGAGTACAAGCAATCCAATAAGGGGAAAAGTCAAGCGCATTTATGCAGCAACAAATTGTCCTTGAGCATTATTAGTAAATAGCACACACAAAGAAACAACGGACCAATAGCGTTTAAGATAGTTTACAAGTGGAAAAATGACGTGAAGGTAAAAAGAGCGCTTTTGGCGCGAAAACAGCTAAATTCAGATTTTCAAAATAAAATTACAAGATTAAGCCATTTACCAAGTAAGTTCTGGGGATTTGACATCCCCAACACCAGTGGAGTCCAATCTGTGTCAGTTGTGAAACAATTATCCACTTTAAGGCAATGGATGAAAATGTTCGCAAGATCATGAACTGATTAAAGTTAGACAACACTGTTGGATGCCTGCTCAGTGATCTAGGGGTTTAGTGCTCACACGTAAAATTGAAGGTCCTGGGTGCTCACTGCCGACGAGACCCATACTGGGACGAAACGGTCATTCAATGATTCCAGTATTTTGATAGTCGTCTAACTTGAATTGATTCGTGAACTCAAATATTAAAAATTACAAAAAAATATATTTCTACTTACTAGTAGTGTTGAATTCTCTGTTCTAAAGATGTTTTCATTATCTTTGTAGACAATGTCGGCATAGCAACCGTCTTTAACAGTTCTGCTGATTTGTTAGTGTAATTAACTGTTACTGAGATTTTTATAAATTAAATATTTGTCCGTGATTGCTCTCAATAATCGGATTATATATATATATATATATATATATATATATATATATCCAACAATTCATCAAATAGTCGATAACAGATTAGAGTATAACAGGTAGATAACTCAAGGTACAATGTAAATCTCATCAAAAGAAGTTCCATGTCATTATACATAAATGTGTCTAAAGTTTCGTTTCAACGATCTAGGGATTTACTAGCCCCCAAATGCCCTGGTACGGCCGAGAAAGGGGAGAGTCCGCTTTCTCTCTTGAAATGCTCTCACACGGCTACGCGTATACAGCTTCTGCCAGGGAAGTCCTACTCATTGCCTTCTCGTGGCGAGGATGTTGTCTACGAAATTGAGAGGACGAAAAGCGAATATCTGGCGCTTCAACCGGGCCAGTATACACGGAAAGTTCACCTGGGTGCTTTGGAAAACCCTGATTCTAAACCAATGGTGTACATGGACTCCAGTATCCTGAGGGAAAAATGGCGTATGAATCAATTGGTGGTCACCGGCTACCATGGGACTGCATCTCCTTACGATGCTTCACTGCCTTGTGGACCAGACCTTTAGGCCAAAGGCTGCGGTTATGGGCCCCTAAGAAAACTACCTGCTTCAGTTTGGGCACCCGAACAGTATCACAGCCCTCACACAAATCAAATGAAATTTGTGTAGCACATATATATCTGGTGCCTCTTTGTATCAATATTTATGTGTTTAAATAAATAAATAAGGGATTTACTTTCTTCATTCAACAGGTCATATTTTTTAGACTCCTATACATTACATGTTGAAGTTTCCTCTATTATTATTATTAACGCTAATATGCTAAATATAATTTTGTTTCATAATCATATTTATTTTAGCAACGATTACAGGATATGGAGTCCCATGAAAGTCTTCTAAACACTGTAATTTGTTGTGGAAATCAGTTTAATCGAAGAAATTCAGACAATATGATTAGTACTACAACTAATGATAATCAAGTAGTTCTTCCTACTGAAGAAATTCAAAATTTTCGAAAACGTTTTGAATCACTTTGCAATTTCGTAAATACACGTTTAAAATTACATCAAAATCGCTTAGAAAAATATAGAAAATTTATGGAACATAATCAAAAGTTTGAAGAATGGCTTTCTAATACAGAGACAAAACTTAATTATTTGATAGAAGATATTGTTGGAAGAATTGAACATTTAATTCCAGAAAATGAATCCTATTCTATTACATCACATAGTGAATATGACCCAGACTTATCAATAAAGACTCAATTTATTAATAAAGATAATAATCTATCAATATACATTGAAAAGATTGATAAATTATGGTTATCTATGATGAATAGTGCTGAAAGTCAATTAGATACATTAAGTTCATTATTTCTATCAATTGAAAAAGAAGTAGAAAATCCAGGAGATTTTAAAATAAAGATCACCAACTTTAAAAATCATATATTTCTTAATTTAAAACAAAAAATTACTAATTTTATCCAAAATTTAAAAGAATATCAACATCATACCGAGGAATTTTTAACTCAACTATCAAAAACACAAACTTATATAAATAATGAAGAAAAAAAGATTAGTCAATATTCAACACGACAATTATGTCATTCTATGTCAGATTCAATGATGTTACTAACTGGTGATCATATGATTAATTTACCTGATAATCTAGATGGTAAATTATTTTATATTCAAACATTAAAACAAATTTTAAATAATTTAAATAATTCAGATTGTTCTAATTTCATTCAATCATTACATAATTCCCGTGAACAATTGATTTCAATTATGAATAAAATTAAACAAACAAGTTTATCTGATCAAAATATTTTGATCACAAATAATGATCATTTAGATAAACATTTCAATTACGTAACTGCTTATTTGAAAAAATTAAAAAAATGTTGTGAAGACTTAATACAATATTGGCAATTAGCTGTAGATAATCATTTAAAATTTCAAGAAACATGCCAATCATGTTCAATGGAATTTCAAATAATTAAATCAGATTTTATTAAAGGTTGTCCATTTAATAATGAAATGGAATTAACTAATATAATAAGTAATGATAATAATCATAAAATATCATCGACATCAAAACGGAATAGAATCGATCAAATTTATAATAATTTTTTAGGATGGTTATCAAATTTAATGAATAAACTTGATCGATTCATTGTAATATCTTATCAATCTTGTATAGAATTAGCTCAGATTACATCATTAACAACTAGTGTAAAAGGATATAATATAATGAATGAACAATTAATTGAATTAAAAAAATCAGCTGATCAATTATCAACTGACTTTATGGAATTATATCATCAAATTGAATTAACAATGATTGAACATATAAAAATGGATCAAGAGAAATATGAATTAAAAAATTGGTTAAATGAATATGAACAAAAATTAATTGAATTGAATAAACCATTAGAAGTGGTTTTATCATTTGATAATATCATTTCATCATTATCAACAACATCGTCGGAATCTTTGAGATCATCTTCAATTTCATTAAATGCAATTTTATCATCATGGTCTATGTTAATGAATGAAAGACAATTGAATTTACAAAATTTACGAGTAAATAATTATTATCAGAATAAGGATTTGTGAGGATTGCAGTAGTTTTAATAGTTGAACTCATGAGTCAATCTAAGTTAGACTATCATTAAAACCTGGAACCACTGAACTGTCGTTTCGTCTTAATATGATACTTATCAGCACTACCCATTCATGATCTCTCACACAAGACTCGGGCCCAAGACCTCCAGTCTAGCGCGGGAACGCTTAACCTGTAGACCACTGTGAGCCGGCATTCAATGGTGGATGCGCAGTGCTGAGGAGTCTCATCCTAGGACAGAACGACCGTCAAGTGTTTCTAGGTTTTCAGTGACAGTGTCGTTTAGAGGGACTCACGAATCCAACTATTAAATAATTATCTTTTTTCTATCAATATTCTTCATTTCCCTTAGTATTTTTATTTTATTTTTTTATAAATCATAAACTGATATTAAACAAGAGACTTTATTATTAGCCAAGAATTATATTGTTAGATAACAGTAGATAAGTTGAGAAAAGTGGAACATTTTAGGCTAGACGGTGAATTAATAAATTTATCAATACTGTGTAATTATTTAATAATTGATATATGTTATCTCCATACTGTTCTAGTTATAAGCTTTTACTGGACTTGTAAGTTTGAACGATTTTTTTATCTTTACCGAATTCTCGTCGATTAATTGTTTCAGTATTGGGATTTACGGAGATTGTAATATTTTCACAGTTGAAATCATGAGTCTATCTAAACTTACTATCAAGAATACTACAACCTCCACAAATCCCTATGCTGATTAACAAACATGTGATTATTAGTGACTAGCTTCAAGATGTAACTCATAGATTTCAAGTGAGAAGCCGTGATCAGTAGGGTCCAATCCATGTCCGGTGTGAGATAATTATCCACATCAGACAATGGATGAAGGGTTGTGCAGGATCATTAATCGGTTGAAGTTAGACATTAACATCGTTGGATGCCAACTCAGTGTTCTAGAGTTTAAGCGTTAGCGCTCAAGATTTCAACTGCGAAAATTAATTATTTGCCTAATGCTCAGTTTTTGTATCTCATATGACTTAATTGTGCACAAATTATTAATTATTTGTGGTGTATTATGGTTATGTAACTAATGTAAATAAACCAATCAGTTTTTCAGGCATGAAAATGGAAAATGATAGAAGGCTTATCGGTTCGCTGACAACGTATAACTGTCTATTGAGGGTAAAGGAAGAGACTTTTTAGTCCAATCGGTTTTAGAATTTCTTGGTCGTCGTTTTCAGTCATTTGCGTTATTTGTTAAAAAGGAGACCGTTAGCTGAATCTGCGTAAGCAAACTAGTAATTAGCGAACTATGTAATCTTGTGACCTAATTGAATGAATATAAAAGTGATCGGAGGTCATAACACACTGTTGATCAAACAGATATTGCTCCGACCTGGTTTAGACTCTTTAACAGTGTTCACTTGCTACCCTTCATCGAAGTGAACTCCACGATCTTCAAGTTTTATAATGGACTTTGAAACTATTGAGCGTTTGAGTCTATATTTAACGTTCTACACTTCACACTCTAATCTAGTTGTGTAATAGTACAATTCTTATTTCATTATTATGGATGTCTTATTACTGCTTCACCTCTATATCACAGTGTTTAATTAATCAATAGTATCGTTCTCATTTCAAACAAGAATGAGATATTTACCAGTAAACATTGATTACATTACGAGATACTTTGGATATAAATTAACGAATAAATCAAATCCTGAAGTAAATCCATTCTAAAAGTTTCTCATTATGCTTAGAATTTTTATTGAAAGTTGTCTGTCAGTGTATAAATCTGAAGTTACTTAAATGTCATAAGGTCATTGAAAGGTGACTGGAAAAAGAATGGATGAGTTACTTTGTGTATTGTTTTTCTTTGTGAGGCTCGGACATGGGATTTATCACGTGATGTAAACAGCGAGTTAAGGATAGTCATTTCTTCATCAGTGAGTATTGTTTTTATAATATATATCTGCACAGTAGAGTATAAAGCTTGATGAAAATCTAATTCATCTGTGAAGTTCATAAATTTCAAATGGATTAGTGTAAAAACATTAAAACCACAAAACTTTGATTGATTAAATTAGTGTTTCTACCAAATATTATTAGCTTCAGTGATACAATTTTTTGTATGGGATAAATCTCAGCTTCAATTCATTAAAACAGTCATGATTATGACTAAAGTTGATAAGATGAAAAAAAGTTCAGAATCAATAACTCATCGATCAATTATCAAGTTACACTGAAACCATCGACGAACGATTACTGTTCACCTAATTAATTGATTAGAAAAAGTTTCTTACTATCATGAAATTATTTTTAATATTTCAACCTTTTCTCTTTTATTTTTCCTCTTAGCGAGTATTCCAGAATCTATCTTCACGTAGTCAACATTTAAGATCATTTGAAGAACGTCAATCTTTAGTTCTTTCAAATTATAAAACTTACATAGTTGATCGTGTAAATCAATCAATCGTTTCTGATGACATAAAACAAATGATTTCTAATGTATCAAATAGTGAATTGGACACAGATTATACCAATTTGATAAATTTTAACAAAGAGTTGATAAGTAAATCTGAAAAAGTCACTAATCAGGACACTAAATTTAATGATCTAGCTCAGTCATTATTATCTGAGATCAATACACTCTCAGATAATCTTCGTATTCTGGAAGAAGATTTTTTCAATATGAAATCTCATATTGTGATGGATAATAATAACAATAATAATAAATCAATGGTCAATTCACAAGAGTTGTTATGGACACGTGATCTAGTACAGTATAAAATCAATGAATTAAATGAACAAACACGAGATGTTTCCTTAAAGAATATCCATGAAAAATTGAACATACTTGAAGAGATGTTCAATTGTTCAGTTAGTTTAAATAATCCAGAGAAAAATTTGGCAAATGAATTAATTAATTCAATCAAAAATCAATTGAATAAATTAACTGAAAGAATTGATCAACAGTCAGCTTTGTTATCTTTGATACTTGATCAAATGGAAGATATGTCCAAAAGAATTGTTCAACATAAAGAATGGTTTTCTCACTTGGTAAACAAAGTAGAATCAATTGAAACTGAGTTACCTGTTGACTTAGAGTCTAAAAAGACATTATTAGTACAATATCAGGTAAGAAATATATTTTTAAGGAAGTAATGATAAAACTAAACGTCATTGAAATCGGTATTTTTATTTATTCCAGTTCTTAAGTTGTTATTAGTAATAATCTTTGAAATAAAAAATTTATAAAACTCGAAAGATGCTAATTTTCATCCAGAAGACCAAACATCATCTCTTCTTCTATCATGAAAATAAGATATAGGGCGATCCATCCTGCTGGAAAACGCAAAGGAATTTTCAGTAGATGCCAATCTTTTCGTAGACTATTTCGAATAACATTGTGGATTTTGATTTTTTTTTTACTATGATTTTATTCTTACAAATCACTATAATTTAGCAGAGATGGATAGAGACTGACCAGTTGCAGTCCTAACAAATCGATGGGAAGATTCAAACAAACAACACTAAGTTGAATTTCACTGTAATTTAGTTTGTTTATGTTAAAGTCTACAATCGATTAGTCCCTGTTAATGTGTATTCACCTCATCCCCAATTGATCGTCTCGATATTACCATTCAGTTTTGGACTAAGTAAGTCAATGAATAACGCTTTGGAGTTTGAGGTATTGGGTTCATGTCTCACTGCTGATATCAACACTAATCTAGATGTATCTGTCTGATGAGTCCAAATTAGAATTAAACATTCATCCTTAATTCCACTGCTAGTCAATGTCCACCTTCAATAAAAACTGTAGTCTAGATTTGTTATTACTTCATTTATCATCTTAAAATCTTAAATTTACAGTAAAGAATTGTAACGGATTTACATGATCCACAATTCCTGTATTCATTGTTTTTTCAGCTCATTGTGAGAATCACTGGATGAACACAGATAATAGCACTAAATAATTACGTTCTGTTGGTTTGACACTTTGTAATATAGCATACTGTTCTTGCCTATATGTGAATTTGAAACCTGAAACCTTCATATTCAGGTATTTTTTTAATCAAAAAAATAAAAATAAAAGTTGGTCACTGCCTAAAAGTTGCAAACAGAATCTACGAAGTTGAATAGTGGATTTAATTAGATTTTCAGTGTAGCATATTCTTATCCTTCTCGTGATTACTCACTAATGAACAGAAACAGAATAGCCCACATTAGGTTTACAACAACTGTTTGTCTTATTTCAAGTATTACTTTATATTTATCAAATCTAACTATTAAGGTCAGAATGACAGATGAGACTGAATATGTAGGTTTACTGGGGTCCATGAAGCATTTGTAGGATCTAGTGAAACCAATTTGAGAATCGAATAGATTTCCTGGAAGTATGGGTTTTTATGTCGTGTATAAAACAGTAGGTGTGATGGCGATGCTTTGTTGATTGACGAACAGAACATGGAGTAGTCAAATTTATTATTCGTATTATACCAGCAAGAATAAATCCGTACTGAAGCGTCTAACGATAATGCATCCAAAAATCCGAAGTACTTCTCATATGCCTACAATGTTCTTGTATGTTATTTTTACACTCACTCATCTATTTTCATTCCTTTCTCTAGGATATTTTAACTGAGACTACGGAACATATTTCAGAAATAAATGTAATCTTAAAAGATTGTTGCTGTAACACTGCGACATCCTTTGTTTCTCAGAAATCAGAGAAAATAACTGAAGAATCAACAGATCTCAATTTGAATCTATCATCACATCCAGTTAAAATATATCCTGTTGATGTTCAATTAGTCAAAAATTTAAAATCACTTCATTATGATATGAATCAAGCATCGGAAAGAGTAAATTTAAATATAACTCGATGGAAGCGTGCTATAACTCGACATGAGAATTTGATTGAATCTTTAAAAAATCTTGAGATAATTCTAACCAAATGTATTACTAATACTTTCTATTGTGCTAAGCATATGTTGAATTTAGAGATTGACATGAATGATGAGACTACACTACTTAAATTTCCTGTAAGTAGTATACTTTCCAAATGTGTATATATTATACAAACATATATCAATACTGATTTAGATCAAGTCAATAGATTATTAGATGAGATCAACTTAACTTATGATAGTGTCTTACAAGATACATGTCCAGAAAATATGAATATCATTAAATTACAAATTAGAAAAGATCAAAATCAATTTACAAATTTAGAACATAAAATACATACATTACAAGCCTATTTAACTAATCTCACTGATCGTATTGACTTATTCACATCCATTGATAATCATTTAAATGAACGAATTTCCAATCTTTCTAATCGTCTTCAATCTGAATGTATCAATTTATGTTCAACTCAAATTCAAGAAATTAAAAGATACGCTAATATTTGGCATGGAATTTATGAAAAATTTAAACAAATTCATCAAGATTATATAAATGAAATGATGCCTTTAATTAAAGAATTTCAATATTTAAAAGTTGAACATTTACAATTTTTGGAATTATATAAAAAAAATTTTTCATTTGAATTTACAAATGAAAATCATTATTTATTGGAACAATTACCTGTCATTGAATCAATCACAATTCAATCTATTTATGAAGAACGAAATGATAAACTTCTAGAGATTATTGAATTTATTAGTGTAAGTTTTCTAATATACATCAATAGTTCGGTTTATGATCATCATTTTACATACTGTTGAAATCTTCTAAAAAAACGTTTTTCCTACTTATGAGGCTAAATTAGTTTAATCGTTAGTTAATTGTAAGTGATCTGCGAGAATTTGTTAGTTTCTAAGTACATAGCACATGACTATAAAGTGTAAATTTGAGATCCTTGAACAACTGTCTTTCCAAATGATATTCGAGCCCACATAATTACACAGTGTTATAGTCCCTGAATACACTGGTACGACGGAGGGTGGGGAAAGTCAGCTCTCCCTCTCGAAATGCTCTCACATGGCCACGCATATAAAGCCACTACTAGAAAAGTCCTACTCAATGCCTCCTCGCGACAGGGATGTTGTTTTTGAAATTGAAAGGACGAACGGCGAATATCTGACGCTTTAACAGGGTTGGTGGTGGTTATGGCAGATTCACCTAGGGGAATTGGGAAATCCTGACTCCGAAGCAATGTTGCACATGGCTACGGAATCCTGAGGAAATAAATGGCATACGAATCTATTGTTGATCACCGGCCACCATGAGACTGGATCTCCTGACGTTGCTCCCCAGACTTGTGGATTAGACTTTTAGGTCAAAGGCTTGGGGAGTGCCCCCCTTAGAAATCCACGTAGTTCGGTTTGGACAACTGAGCAATATCACATCCCATACACAAATTATTCAATTTGTGTGGTTCATATATATTTGGGGCCTCCTTGTACCAATGTTTATATTTTCAAATAAATATATAAATACAGTGGTGTTGCAAGTGAGCTATTCCGTCCCATGATTGACCTCATGTAATTGTGTTGTGTATTTATTTGCATGTATTCATGAGGTGGTGATCTGTGTGATTATCGTCCAACACTTGATTCTTATCAATGAAAACGTTTGAGGTTAAACAGATAGTTAAAAAAACTCAAAGAGTTTTCTGACAGAGAAATTGGTTATTTATTCTTGGTATGACACGCGGTTTCCGAGTTTTATACCGATACACAAAACCTCCTTTATGCAAGCTATAACTGGCTACTGAGTGAAGAAATTAGAGGTGAAAAAGGAAACTCTTTGGGTCAAACCGATGCACTAATATAAGCACTCGTTTACATGTCTACGTTTTAGAAAATAGATCCATTTATTGGCCAATAACATGCAACTATCATCAGACTTTTAATTGCCTTAACGTGCCCTTGTTATCTGATAACTTTTGACTGGCCCACTTTATAAACTCTTAGCTCTCATTTTCCAAAAAAATAGAGTTGGCATTATAAATTTCTTTTTCAAAAAAGAGAAAAGTATATCATGTTAAACTTTGCTTTACATTTCCATAAAGATTTTCAGATAACATACACTCATATTCTGTTATAGTAACTACCCGATGCAAGATGACTGGGTGATACAGACAGATTCTTTCAGTAAATTGTGTATTGTTAACCACTCAAAAATGAATTGTGTCTTGAAAGATGAATTCCATAAAAAGTACCGTTCTTCCCTAAGATTATAGATTCATCCTACTGACGAGTGTCAATTAGCATGGAAATTAGATTGTTCAGATTGTCTTATCGACTATCTTCGACCACCCGATATGCACACTATGTCTAACCACTTAGATTAGTGAACACATTGATGCTTGTTTGACAGATATCGATCAATGCTCAAAACTGGATGGACAAGCATGAGTCACCACCAAGTGATCATTCAGTTAACTAAAATGAAATATTTACACGACTTCATAATTCATTTGTAACAATCTTCACTTTCTGAATGTACTGATAATTGAACGCAGTGATAATTTCTTCCATTTAGGCGGTCATCAAATCAATCGATTCAATCAGTTCCACGTGGTCTAAATCCGAACGAAAATTCATTCATTGTCGCTCTTGGATTAATGGACTAACAAAAAAATTCATGCAAATTTCTCAAACCAACTTGAAAACTGATATTACTACTACACCTAACATTTCAGATGTTATAGAAAAAGGAGGGGAAGTAGTAGTAACTGAAGCCAGTAACCAGTCATCAGCAGTATCGCCTTCTGATCATATTTTAAATCAATTAGATCAATATACAGCACAAAATCGTTTATCACTTCTAAAGGTGAGTTCAGTTCATACTTCATCTTTGTTTTTTCATGAGTATTTTAAATCTTTATTCATCACTGTAATATTGTAAAACTCAACTATTGGTGGTAGTTTTTCACCTAACTGGAAGTCACTGTTGAGTCGGCTTTCGGAGAACTCTAACAAAGCCTCCAGAGTCCCAAAAAGAGCCTCAGCCTATCAGAGTACGATGGAACATTCTAGAGTTCCAACGTGGCGTGCTACTATTGGTCGGTAGCAATATATGTCGTTAATGGATTGGCTGAAATAGGATGTTGATTTAAAATACGCTAACATATATAAATACCGATGATTTTTTGTACAAGATTGAACCCTGTAGCAAAGTGCTTCCCACACACTTTGTGCCTTTTCTCTGGTCTTCAAGTCGCTGTATAGTTCTGTCTCGGGGGTGACGGAACTAGCTTAGGGAAGCGAATATAGCGTTCAATCAGTGAGACACAACAGTCACGTTGCGCACTGTGATTATTAGAGCGTAGAGCGGCTTATTTTAGAGAATCTTGAACAGAAGATAAAGAAAAATTAGTAAAATTACACTATACTAACGGCCTTGTGTGGATCAAGTGGAATTGAGATAATCTCCTCAATAAATTTTTGCGGGAAATCACAAAAGTCTAGTACAAGATAGCTTGTATATTATTATAATTTAACTGGAAATTCATAATATTTTGTTCGTAAAACATTCGAAATTGACGAAAATATCTATTATGCAACTATAAACAGTGAATATTACATGGTGCCTTATGCTAAATCTCAAGGAAATATCTGCTCGTGATACGGATGATATGTTAAAGTATTTTTTGTGATTCAATTCATAGTCGAGAGTATTTATGTATTCAGATAATATTTTCCTAGTCTACCTCGTAACCCTAAATCTCATCTTTGATTTTCTTAAGTTTCTAAACAACAGAGTGACTGAACTTTTTTGGATTAAGGTTGATGTTAGTTAGTGACGAAAACCTTGTAGAAGTTATAGGCTTAAAACTTCCATCACTAACATGACTTCACTATAATGAATAATTAAAGATGTAAGCGGTAATTAGTCATATCAAACTATTCTTCCACCGTAGTTATTGTAATTGGTCTATAATTAAACATTTTCTTGATTGACCAATAAGTTGATTAAATGCTTCGGTAAAACTCACTTTTACTGGAAGAGTGGTCTCACAACTTAGTAAGCGCTGAAGATGCATTTACGTTTAATAACGAAGCTGATCAAAAATAACCTACGAAATACAGGGGTGCAATTCTGACAATCTATTACTTTGAACTGAAGGTCGATAGAGTACAGTTTCGAATGTATCAGAGTATTTGAATGGTTTGAAAACAACACGATTCTCGAAATAATAACGAAAAGAAGTGGACCTTCACAGTGTGATGAGTTAGAGTGAATAGGTGAGATTCATTTCCTTCTAGTTATCATACAATTAGTAATATTTTAATATCAAAATTAAAATGCCGTCTAATGCTGTTATTTTCTGCTGAAATAAAGTCTGTTTAAAATTTATTTTTGCTGATATTTATTGGTACTGTGTAGGGATAAGTCTAATTACTGTAAATTCAGAGAAAGTTAAAAAGGTTATATTACACAATATGGAAAGTATTGGAATATTAATACAAACAGTAGTAATCAAAGATTTTCAGGTTCAGAATAAACAGTTATATTATTCAGTACTTTCACGCTATGCATTACTTACCCTATCTTATCTAAAGTGAGTAAATCAGTCAACTGATTTTCGAACTAAATATTTCTAGAAATATGGGGTTCGTGGTTATTATTCAGCTTACATATATGGATGCGTCGTTGATACCTAATACTGAGTACTTATTCTAAACTAGGGAGAAAAAGCTGCAGAATGCTCCATGACTTTTTATAATTATCTTCACTCTATCACACAGATAACGCTTTACAAGCTGAACATTTATGTTGATTACATAATCTTTTGTTATCTGATCACATTAATATTTTAATATTTCACAGGAATTTCAAACAGAACTGAATCAAAATAATCTATATTTTGATGAATATCGTAATGAATTGTGCAATGTTCAATCATTAGAGTCAACGATCAACTGTTTATATGATATATTCAAGCAATTTGATGTTGACACTAATGATGATTTAAAATTGAATCATTCTAATTTAATAAATAAATTAAACAAAGAACTTGAACAGTTTCAAATGAGTTGGGAACAATTACAAACTGAAGTGAATACTACATATCAAACGATGTATCAACGTTTAGAACAAATGGAACTCTTTAATTGTAGACAATTATCTCTACGTAAACTACTCACAGAAATTGAACAAAAAGCTTGTCTAGGACCTTGTTCAACTACTAGTGTAATGGATTTTAATGAATTAGAAAAAGATACAATGAATTGTTTAAATGAACAATATGGTGATGAAGTTGATAACAATGATCATCAAGGTGAAAATAGTTATGTTGTCATTTTTGACAAACTTATGATTGCTCAGCAAAGTATTGTGGATTGGTGGGAGGTAGGTTGCATTATGATTTATAAGGATATCTATTAATTAACCATAAAATGTCTCCTTTGTTTATTTTTTATACTTATTACAATAATCATTAAGTCTGTGTGACTCATTTTGTAAATGACTAAACTTGTTACGGTCTGCGATCGGTTGATTTAAGATAAAATCGCTTCCAATACGCCTTCCTATCCAGCAATATCAGAAAGGGTAATAAGTCGCTAAGATGCTGCAACTGACAAACCGAATAAATAGGTACACAATTCACTGATATATATATATATATATATACTCTTCTAAACAAAAGTAGGAAATGTGGGCTTCAATCCTGACTTATAGCATAATCGCCTTTATCCAATAATGTGTCTCTTTTCATTTTTTAATTAAATTCATAGATTCTCATTGTCCAATCCTCATCGAACTGTTTTGTTTGAATATATTCTCTTGATATGAAGTGGTATAATATTATGATAGATGACCTGATTCGGCTCATTATTTGTGGAGGATTTAACTTTCAGCCGAGCAGGTACAATGTTCAAATTCTACTTCTTTTACCTCAACTGATCAATATTACCAGCCGTCATTGTTGTATATATAAACCTGTCCCTGATAGATATGCTATTTTGGACACTTTTTTTGTCAGCCGGCACAATTTCCTTTTCTCTCCGTGTTGAAACTGATTTTTCATATTTTCTTGCCTCTTCGTTTTTTTAATCACTTCTTTTTTCAATCTTTGAAACAAAATACAGACTTTTGTTCAACAAATTGAAGAAGAAATTCCTAAAATCAAAGATGAGTTGAAAACTATTAACAGTATTGTCTTTCCCACTCCCACTGGATTATTGAATCAAGTATTACATGTGGAAGAAATCTTAGCTAAAGGTCATGTAAGTTATGAAAATCTACACCTATTTCTTTTCTTGGTTTGTTTTCGTATTTCTGACAGACTTTTATTCAAATTTCAATGGTTTTTGATATAGCCGATCTTAAATAATTGGAGATATAAGATCCTAAATAAGTACATAACTAAAGATATTTTAATCGCCTAGAAGACTATAAGATTTTACGTTCATTCACTAGTATGATCGTTTCTTCACACTTGTGGGCAGTCACAAACTAAGAGTAAGTCGTTCTACAATACTACTTAATGTTAACTGGCTTATTTGTTCGTAGTGGGAATGTTCTTCAAATTTCTGCAATCTCTTCCATCATCTTACACTAATTATTCTGTTCAATGATTTTAGGTAAACGAGACAGTTTAAGTCTCTATCCATTACTAATAAGACTGAAAAGCATAACTGTATTGCTTGTCTGAGATTTGAATTTATATAATTCAGTAATTTTTTATTTCTTTGTAACAAAAATATTTCACTGAAATCATGAATCTAAGTAAACACCTATTGTTGATCAGTATCTATCGTAGTTTATCAAGTTCAATATCGATTTTATATTCGTAACAAACTCGTTCAGCCCTTGTAAATAGAGATTGAGTACAGGATCTTCTTTTGCTTCAAGTGGGACTCAACTTTGAAAATTCATGTATTGACTATTACAGTTTGACTTGCTATATATTGATCCTTGCCGTAAACTATATGATCTCCCTTTTGACAACACATCTAAGCAATGAAATTCCGGATCTAATTATATTTTCCTTAACATCTTTCACCAGGCGATTATTACATAACTCTTTTTCAATATCTGAATTTCGTAAACAATTCATGATAAGACCACTTGTGGATTTTTCTAATTATTCAACACCATTCTATTTTACTATAGACTATTGTATTACATTACTTGTCTGTTTTCTTCAATAATACTAACTTAATCTCAAAATTAACCTACTATTTTAACTTTGTTTCTTTTTCTGAAAAAAAAACAATAAAAAGGAAATCCTAAACATAAACAAAGAAGGTATAACTGGTTTAAATGATGTAATTGAAGCTTGGAAGAATTGGCAACATTGGTGGTTTGTTGATAGTGAAGCAAATAATATACTTAATGATCATGGTGGACTATCTAATATTGTTAATAATATCAATCCATTTAATATGGATGGTTATTTAGATAATAATGAATTCATTAATTTACAAATCAAATTAGATCAACTTAATAAATTAGGTGAATCTAAAGGTAAATTAAAATTAATTGATTTAATGAATAAATCAAATAATCTTCAATTAATAAATGAACAACAAAGAAAGAATTTTATGACATTTATGATTTTATCATCCAGTCAACAACAACAAGGACAACAACAACAACTACAACCGTCTTCATCATCATCCTCTATAACAGTAACATCAATTCAACAACGTCAAATACCATTAAATTTAAGTATTTTATTAATTCAAAAATTAATTCGTTTATCTAATTATCAATATTCATTGATTTTTAATGATCAACTTCCTATAATTATTGATTATTTAAATCAAAAAATTGATTTAATTAATAAATTTTTAATAGAATATCAACAATTTTCAGATATACTTAATGAAAATGAAATAAAATTACAAAAATTAGAAAAATTTTTATTATTATGTAATGAAAATTCAATGAATAATTTTAAAGAAAATTCTTATGAAATATTAAAATTATTAAATATTGATTTTAATGAAATAACATTAAATGATATACAATTAAAATATTCTTCAAATAAATCAATAATTTTATCAAATCAATGGAATGAATCAATATTTATTGATTTTTTAAATCAATTTTCAAAATCTATTAAATTATTAATGAAATTAATTCAAGTAAGTAATATGAATAATAATAATAATAATAATAATAATAATAATAATAATCAATGATTTGTGTATGATATAGAGATAGGGTTAATTAATTTATTAATTAAGTATTGCAACTATTGTGAGGGGGGGGGTAAGTCTACTTCCTATTGTGTCCAAACTATTTGATTCTTTCAAATTTTGTTAATTGTTCAAAACTCGAGAAAGATTGATTTGAGAGGAGCAGGTCTGGTTTACATTCTGGTCGAGGATATATTGATCATATAATCGTCCTCCAACAAGTGTCAGAACACCATCATACTTATCAAAAGACAACAATCGTAGTGTTTTTTGACATCAAGGCTGCCTTCGATTCGTTGGACAGGACTGTTCTCTATGATTGTCTATTGAAAAAGGATGTGCTTGAGAAGTCTATTAACATCTTGAAAACCCTATATACAAACACTTCATACAGAGTGAAGGCATACAAATATCTCAAGCAGTGATGTTAGACAGGGTTGCTCAGTCTCACCATTCCTTTTGAACTTTGTCATCGATGACGTTCTGGAAACAGCTCAGATTGATTAGGGACCGGTTATGGAAATCGGAGACGTGGTCAGTGTTTGACGTAGTAGTGTCGTGGTATGAAAGAATGCTGTACGTTATTTCTTAAACTAAAAGAATTCTTTCTAGTTGTAATTTACCTAACTGAACTGTTTCTCCCATTATTATTATCATTGTTTTTGTTCACTGTTGTTCTTCTTTTCACGATACGCACTTTACACTCTTTATATCTTCACATTCTCATTGTTATTGTGTAACGCATATGTATTTGGTGCCTCCTACCAATGTTTATGTGTTCAAATAAGTATAAGTAAATAAATAAATGTGAATAAGCGATACATCAGCAACGTACTAAAAATAAGTATTTTGATATAATCCTGTTATTGGATAGACTTACTAATAAATGCATGAAATATATCTGAAACATTCCGTGACCTCCGGTTTTTTCTTTTCAAATTTTCTCTTAGCACCTTTTGGAATTATTATTTTACTTTAATGTTGTTAGGAGCCCAGGGTTATTCCTTAGTAGAGCGTCAAAAAATTAGAGAAATTTTGTCAACTGATCAGGTTTCGGAAACTTCCAATTTTACACATAATCCATCAAATGAGTTTGTTTTTTTCTAGACAATTTTACCTTTGAAGTAAAGATCTTCTGATCTTTAAAACTTCTATTTTTCTATTTTGAAATTAAAAAGTAGAGAAACCTTCTAGGCTGAAGCTAGGAAACAGTTGACAACTTGGTTACTCAGTGCCAAATCTAATTATCTAATGGAAAATGTCTATGAAAATGTTTGGACTAATGGAAAAAATCTTTCTGTAAAATCTACTGTCAACCATTGAGTTTGCCATGTAAGAGGTGGGATTTTTCTTGTGTTTAGGAATAGTGTTATATTGTAATTTGGACCACAATAATCTACATTAATCAGCTCTAATGAATTGAAAAATTTACTACGTAATATCCAGTATAACAATTTCAGAATGACACTAAGAGATAAATAAAATCTCCATACTGATTACCAACTGGGATTTTAGCAACGATTTACTGTGTAGTAACTAATATCTTGTTTTTAGTTTTTAATACTAAACGAATTCTATGGATTAAGTTTCAATTAAGCTATTAGTTCAAATGCAGAATATCGTATGGATTACATCTGTATATTACTCATTTGAAGACAATCAACAGGTAACTCTGGATCTATAGATCCCTGGATACAAAGCTATGTGATATAAGTTCGAATTACAGATCACCAGTTCGATCATAGTCACCGATACGCCGCCTTGTTTGACTAGTACTTACTGACAAAAATGTTAAGTTCTAAGGATTTTCGCCGATTAATAGCCAGACTATTTTATTCAAACAAATGAATCATGTTAGACGTACAATTCTCTTCAAGATCTCTAGTTTTTCACTGTTAGATTGAAAAGATAACTGCAATAATTGAACTAACATTACTTTGGACTGTATCTGTTGTCTTTGTTTTTTTTAAAGATATGTAAATGATTTTTGAAAACATGTATTTGATAACTTGATGTAATTATTCACATTTCACACAACTATTTATCATTTTATTATTTTTTCTATTTCTAACTATAGTCAAATAGCGAAAAACTCTACTCTCTGGAAAAATTAGCCTGTACGTTTGAAGTTTCAATGACACAGAGAAAACAAATAAAAACATCGACAGAGACAACAACAGTGGTAACACATGACAATGATCGTAGTGGACGAAATCAAATGAGATTAATTGAATTAGAGAATGTCACAACTCGTTATTCAGAATTAGTTAAACGTGTTCAAGTGGTTGTTAAACAAACAGATTCTTGTAGAGATTTATTTAATAAATTAATGTCTAATGTTAGTTCGACTAGTGAATGGATCAAGCAATTGGAGCAGAATATTTCAAATTATACCAATCTCTCTGGAGATAGATATGCATTACAAACTAGACTTGAATTAGTGAAAGTAGGTAACCAAATTTCTTTTCTTTTTTACTGTAGGGGAAATATATACATATGTATATGTTAATTATTTATTACGGAATTGCAATCTTTCCATCTGGTTTAATAATATTCTCCCTTTAAATTCATTTGTTTTTTTCTTTCATCTTCAAGAAAAGGCTTGTAAGTTAGTTACTTGTTGTCTTGTTATGTATACTGTTCATCTTTCTCTGTTGTCATGATTGTTGTTGAATTTTTTTTTGTTGAATCTAGTTGAGTTGTCGAAAACTGTGTTTCTTACAATTGGTTAAGTAATTTTTGGAACGTGATTTGGTCTTCTTAGTATGTCAATACATAAAGGACATGTATGATGTGTTCTCCATCCTCGTCTATATGCTTATGAATATGTTTTAAACGATCATTTTATCAAATTATACTGACTAACTGGATAAAAGTTACTAGAATCTAAAAAATACTTCATAAATTTCAATGCGAAAGTTTGAGGAACACAGCATAGTATCCAGCTAGTGAATAAAAATACACTTTTAAGAATTAGTTTTCACCATATATCATCAACTGAATTGTTTTGTCCCCGTGAATTAAAGGATAAACAATAATTATATCGTATCTAACGGTTCGAACATTTTATTCTTGTACACATTTTAATGGGACATATTTCACTATGTTTAAACTCAACTGTAATCTATAGAACATCCAAACATTCTTGAGGACTGATCATTCACTCGGGATTATAGCAAGTATATACATCGGATTAAGTTCTAAGTCTAATTTACATATGATTCTTTTATCTCTTATTATACGTATCTGATTTGATTCTCTAAAAATTATCAAAAAAAATGTAAGTAGTCTCAGATAATGAATGCCGCAGTGAAAATCTGCGAATCATTAAAAACTAAATGATTGGAATCATATCACTTGTAATCGATGTTTGATTATCATTTTTTTTCTCCCGAATATTTAATCCAATAAGTTATTCTTTTTCCTTCATGTTGTTGGTATCATCATCCTATCTACAATATCATTCGTCAGCATAAACTCCAGAAAGTGATCTCTTTTTTTCTTCAGAGAATCCAACTACATGAAAATTATTCTAGATCATGTTTTATTCTGTTGTTGATCAAACGACGTTCTAACTGATGCACCAGCATGTGTTTGTATTTCACCTATAACCAATGTTGTTATCCATAAAAATCTTTTAAATTTCCTACCAATATTGTTGTATTATAGTTAACGTTTTTTTGAGTAATCATTGATTCTCATCCCTCCCTATACTCTTCGGAAAATTTATCAAGATTTGTTTTTTCTTTGTTAAATGTTTTATTAAAACAGGATTTAAACTTATTAAACAAAGAAGCTAACGACCGTTTCACTGATATGAATAAATATGCTATGAATTGCTTTCAACAATATATACCTAATAATCATGAGAGTTTGGAATTAATTGGAATTACTGATAGTGACAAATCTCAACAAATTTACGAGAGCTTTTTAACTATACCTATGTACTGTGTTAAACTGTATAAAATGTGGTTTGATTGTCGTGAAAGAATTGAATTTATCACTAAATCCTTGTCAGATTCCATAGAGACATGGCAGATATTTGAAGTAACATGTGATAATTTACAATTGACTTGTCGTCGTATTGAAAATTGGTTAAAAGAACAGTCTACTTGGCTTGTGGATGAACCGGAACAAATTACCAAGAAATTGGAATTACTACAACTTATTAATGATAGGTTGGAGGTGAAATTCAGCATAGATGCTCCCAAATATTGTGAATCATCTAGTAAGAGTCTGTCAACTTGTCGACATGAACAACAACGAATTTTAGAATTGCTTGATGAGTCAGCATCACAAGTTGATCTTCTAAATTCTACTCTCAGACGTTTACCCAATCACCATAATCAGCTTTGCCCTGAAGATTCAGCAACTCTGGATGAAAACAACTTCAGTAATGTGCATACAATAACAACGGTAGAATTGAAAACTGACTCTTATGATTTAGCTTTGAATCGCATAAAAAATCTCATAGTCACATTTAATTATTTACAGAAAATAACCAGAGAAACTTCAGATCTTTGGAATACTCGTTTAAAACTATTCACAGAATGGAATTTTAAAATACAAACTACAGAAACAAACTTATCAAAGTTATGTTTGCGTATGGAGAAAATTAAAGAACAATTTAGTCCTATTAGTGAAGAGTTAGAAAAGTCAGCAATAATTTCCGACGAAAATGATAACAGTGAATCTTTTAAAACCATTGAAGACAATTTGATGTTAGTAGATGATATTATGAAAGGGCGTGAAGTGATCGGCGCTGAGTTTACTGAATTACGCAGTCGTCTATGTAGTTTATCTACTTTCATGAATCGTAATGGTCATAATGATCGACAACAGAGAATGGGAGATCTACAACGTAATTGGGAAGAATTAGGTAATAATTTGTTGAATTTACAAAGAAATCTTGAACACAAAACCACAATTTGGACAGACTTAATCTTACAAGTGACAAAAATATTCAATTGGTTTAATGAATTTAATGAGCGTATGAAAGTATGGAATGAATCTTGTCCATGGCTGTCGATGAATATACCTACTGAACTTGCCGACATTTTATCACCAAATACTTCGAAAGATTCTTCAAAAACTTCAATAATTTTGAATGAATTCAAACGTCATTCAAAGGATACTAGTAAATTTCTTACACAATGTCAGTCTAATATGAATTTAGCTCGCGCACAACATTCAAAATTATTATACTTTCATTCAGAATTAAATAATTCTAAGCGTCAGTGTACTGAAATTCAATCTGATGCCTACAATCAATTGTGCAGCATGATGAATGAATCTATTGAAACAAGTAACCAAATTGAAAACCATCTAGACATTACAATATCAATTGGGAACAATTTCAAAACGAAATTAAACCAATTTACCAAGAACTTTGAGACCTGTTTGTCTTGTATCAATCATATCAAGACCGAATTCGATCAATCTGTAAGTTCCATACCAAAATGTGATCTATTGATGAAGTCTGAAGAAGATAATCGAGAAGTTCAATCATTAATTAAATCACGCTGTCTTATTTTAAACAATTTAATTGAACAAATCGGTGATGCTAAACAGTTAAATGATTTATTAATTGATACATTGAGTGAAAAGGCGGAAGACGTGAATAGCAAAGTTGCAGAAGAAAATAGAAATCCAGATGATCATTACCAAAAGAAAGATGGACAAAATCTTATTCAGAATTTAGAAGAACTTTTAAAAGAAGCCGCTGATCTTGACTCTTTTTATCATTTAGATGATATTAATAAATCATCGTCAAATGATGTACAACATTATGCCTATTGTATTGCAAGATATCTAATTTATGAATCAATACAATTACGAGAAATGGTATCACAGAAATTAATTACAATTACCAATGAAACAGAAGAACAATTAAAGCTAGATTCTATGTTAAATTATTTTGAGCAACAGTTGACGAAATGTCAAGATGAATTGAATCAAATTGTAGTTAATATGTCAGTTTATCGTTCAAAATCATTTGATGATAACGGCGATACCGTCATCACATCATTGAAATCTTCAAGTTTAAATGCTGACAATTCTTCTGATTTGTATTGGTTTCATTTGAGACAATCAACAGATAACTGTGAAAATCGAATATATCAATTGGATAATTGTTTACAGTGTATGATTGATATAGGTAAAGATGACCTATTGACAATTGAACAAAATTTAAACAATTATTATCATCGAACCGGAAAGTTGGATTTGAAATTTTCGCATCGTTTTAATGAACTGAAATCAAAATATGAAATTAATTTAAATAAAATTAAAAAATTAAAAAATCAATTCAGTAAAGAATTAGAATCTTGGCGACAGTTTATAACAAATTTAGAAAAAGCTGAAAATTGGTTAACTATAAATGAATCACTTAGTAAAAAAGTACTTTATGTTGTAACAACAGATGATAAAAAACAACTAGATGGAGGAGACCAGCAAACAATAACCGAGACTATTCATGATAGTTGTATCAATCCAAATATGTCAGAACAAGAGATTAAAGCAGCTAATGATAAAGAGATACTTTCAAAACAATTGACAAATTTAGAACAATTAGAAATCGATTTAAAAGAGCATGGAATTGAATTAAGAGAACAAACTGAACAATCAGCACGTTGTTTATTATTTAATCTTATTCCTAATTCTATGAAATTAATTAAAGATAAACAGTCTAGGTCGAGTAAAAAATCTGAAATTATTGATTATATTAATTTGGCTATTGAAAATCTACTTAATCGTTATAATGAATATAAAATCAGTTTACAAATGATACATTCTAATCTTAGTAAGAAATATTTATGCTGGTCTAAATTAGATAGTAATTTAGAACAGATGAATCGTTGGTTACATACAATTGAATTACAATTAAACACTATGGAAATGGAAACAAACTCATTATCTACCATATTGATTAATGATATATCAGTGCATAAAACAGATGAATATTTTGCAGTACATCAATTAAATGCATGGTCTAATTCAAAATTATGCATTTTAACAAATTTAATGGATGAAATGCGTAGATATAGTGAAACAGAATTAATTCAATTAAAAGAACTTGTACATGCTCAAAACTCTATTGATGAAGTGTTTAAAGAATATTCCAAGGATGGTAATACTTCAGATGATGTAGTCATTTCATTAGGACAAAATGCTTCTAAACGATTGAATAATTTATTTGAACAACATCATAATTTAAAAAGTCGTTTAGAATCTCTGATTCATTTGAATCATGTTATTCTTAATTTGTGCGAGAAATTTGTTCGCAAACGATGTGAAATATTTCAATGGCTAATTAGTCAACGTCGTGAACTAGAGTGTTTAATAAATCAAACTGAGACATATGGCTCACAAACTACTCTTCTTTCATCATCTCCTGTTTCATTAAACGATGAAGTTGCCAAATTATGCAAATTATTTCACAAAACTACTTGTGATTTAGAAGCGTTTAAGATATCCGTTTCAGTAAAATATGAAGAAAGTCTAACTGATGTTATTAAACTTATTGAAGAATTAGGTCAAATGACTCCGTTAAGAATGGAACCAGCTGAAACGTACATTATTGACTTAAAAAGAGATGTTACAGAATTTTTCAATCAAGTTACCGATAAACTAGAACATTTTCGTGTTTGGAATGATAAATGGTCAAACTTTTCAATTGATTGTAGCTCTTTAACTCAATGGATGAGTGAACAAGAATCATTTATCATCTCAACATTGAACTCTCAGTCTACCATTGAATTGGAAGATTCTTCCTTCCAAATTACTAGTTCCAACGTAGTTGAAAAAGAATTGAATCAATTAACCAGTCAGCTTGATCGTAACCGCCAACTCAGGATCATTTTGATTGGGCATCAACCGGCGATGGAATCATTGGTTGTAAAAGCTCAAAGTTTAATCAAGTCCAGAATGTTCTCAAGTAGTGCGTATTTGGGCGATGATGGCGAATCCAAAGCGTCTGATAAATCTGTCAAGTCATTGTTTACTAGTAATATGCCTGTTGGTAATATAGCAATGAATATAGCCACATATATAATGCAAAGATATCAAACGTTGATTAGTATATGTGATAGTCGATCTGAAACATCTCAAACTGCACAAAAGATGGTCGGACAATTATTGAATTCATGCAGAAATTATGATCACTGGGCTTGTGAATTTCGAATCAAATTGTCTGATGTAGATTTCATGCTGAATTCATATGATTCTCACTCCATTCCCTTACATGAATCAGATAGATATTCATCAATTCGGTTGTCTGTAGTTGATCTAGAAACTAGAATTGAATCAGGTGATAGTTTTGTTCAACTTATTAAAGACTGGACAGATCGTTATATAACAGAATTATTAGTTCAGGTCAACCAGCGACGTTCAGAACTGGAAACTCTAGGCCGTTTAGCTAAGATAAGCAATGAAAATTCCGATCATGACAATCAGTTATTGCACTGTAATGGCAAACTGAATAGTGTTTCAAGTTATGCTGAAACGGATTATCAAGTACTTAAAGAGATGGTTCGGTCATTACGCAATCGGTTTGAAAAAATCATCCAAAATGTTAATCAACGGAGTTTATCACGAGAAAAGTTCACCTCATGGATCGATACTACCGAAAGTCAATTGGATTTGATTAATAACCATATGAATCTGTCTGGTTTGTCCAAGATCATTTTAGAAGCACCCATGGATGATTTCGACAGATTAATAGAAAAGGTTATAAATTATATGCTTACCGCTTCAGAATCAATCACTCAGTTAACTGTAGACATTAGAAAACAAAGCGCAGAGATTAAGAATTCAGACTATACCGATGAAAATTTACAAAATCGTTTTGATCAGTTGACCGAAAATATTCATTCAACTAATCACGATATTTCAAGTTGTTTAAAATTGCTTCATCAGTTTCAAATTGAAGTACAAAACTTCTCCAGTTGGATATCAGATTGTGAAAATAAATTTATTCGTCTATCCGATGGTGATTCGAATCAACTGGCAATATTCCTTCAGTCAAACAGTTCAACAATGATAGTGAATGATGGTGATAATGATGCTGAACAAATTTTGCATCAACTAGATATTTCTTGTCGAAGTTCAATATGTCAGTTGACCGAAGCTAAACACAAGTTATTGATTATGAAAGAAATTAGCTCATCTCTTGAGAATCGAGGCCACCAGTTGAACAAACAGTTAATTGAGTCTGGTGAACAGTTAACTAGTAAGTTGAAAATTCTGGAAGAGTTTTCCATGGGAGGAGTTCAAATCAAGTCCGTTGGAGGGGTAGATGTTCGGAGATCAATTAGCACATTGGAATCATCGGATCGTTTAAGTGGAATCATTCAAAATTATATAGATCAATTACAATGTCGTTTAATCAGATTAGACAAAATTCAAACTGTTTTCACTATCAATTTAACTGAATTAGCAGATTGTTGGTCTGACTGGAAAAATAGTTTCGATAGATTAATTGATTGGTTAAATGGAACTGCTGCAAATCTAAGGCGCCCAATTTTTCATTCACTCGATTCTTTATCAACTAAACAACAATTGGCTAACAGTTTGAAGGTAAGTCACCCTTTTTCGAAATAAATAATCACAAATAGACATATATTTGAATTTTCAACGATTCCTCTAATCTAAGAATGATTCTTATCGTTCATTAAAAGTCGTTACTTAGTAAGATTTTAATCTCTCCATCTAATTTTTGGGTATGAGTGCATATTTCTTTCCATGTAAGTAAAATATATTTAAATGTAAGCATCTGATCATGCGTGTTTTCGAAGCATTACTCACGTATTGTGAAACTGTAGAATGAACAATACTAAGGTTAGTTGTACTGTGTTGGATAAATGCATTGGATTGGTTGATGAGCTGAGTGCATTTTCGACTGGAATGGTAATTAATTTAACGTGCAGTGCTTGGTGGATTGGGGAAAGATATCAGTCAATGAAGTCATTAATTCTTAATCGGATTAGTTTGAGTTGCTGTAGTCTTTTTCATTTGGGTCAGCATGATTGTTATGATTTTTAAAACATATCCTTGGATAAAGTTTCGATACATACCAGTTTAAAATGGTTATTAATCCTTTGATTATTTTTATGAATTTATTAAATTTATTTTTTGTAGAAAATCTTGTTTATTATTTTTGTCAGTATAAAAATTGTAAAGATTGTTGAATTTCACTGGAATCACTAACCGATCAAAGTTGAACAACCATCGTGGACAGATTGGAACTAGACTTGTACACGATTGGATCCTGGTTCAGTGGTCTGGAAGTTATGAATTCGAGCTCGAGACCATAGATATTGGGTTCAATTATCGCTTTCGTAGTCGTGGATATGTACTGCTTAGGAGTGTCATACCAGGATGAAGCAGCCATCCAGTACTTTCAGGTTGTCAATGCTTTTCTAGCTTTGATCAGTTCGTGATCTCAATGAAATTATTTGCTCGTCAACCTACTAAAATATTAGTCATCATTTCCATATTACCCCCTCCGTTTTTTTCTTTAATATACTTTCAATAGGCATTTTATCAAGATTGTGTTGGAAAGAAGGCTGATTTTGATATGTGCTTATTAAAAGCTAATCATGTGAAAAGTTTGGCGTCAAGTTGTAATCTACCTGATCAAAGTGAACAATTATTTGAACAATATAGGAATACATTGGATACAGCATATGTAAGCATAATTTTACTTTTTTCAACTTTGTTGCGATGGGAACTGTTAATGATTTGCTTCAAAACATTTCTATCTGTACATTGATGAGCAAGAAATTTGTTTGAAATTAAGCAATATATTTGAGGACATTTAAAAATTAGAATCCAGACTATTATTCTCTAGTACGTCTATAGACGAATAACTTCAACTTCGACTAAGTCGATTATTCGATCGACAACATTTAACCTTGAGGATTCACGAGTTAGTATAAATGTCGAAAATTACCACTTCCCCAACATTCACAAAAAAGGTTAACTAATACTTCCAGATTTAAATCAATACTCCAGATGACATTAACTCATTTTGTGTGATAACTATCTTAATGTCGATAGAATTGGTCCATTTATTGGAAAACGAAAGTTTTATTAAAATAAAACGGAATCTATTTAACAAGCAATCAGGCTGTTGTAAATGTAGTGAAATGCATAGTTCGAAGATTTGATTATTGTTAAATGTTCCTTAAAATAGTATAAGGAAATTCGGGTTGCTTTTTTCCTAAATCCATCTCCTTTTAACTTTCAGAAGTTACGGAATTACAGTGAACATTAATTCTTTCATGTTTTTCCACATCTTTTTTTAAAGGCTGCGTTGCAACAAATGCAAAATTCAGTAGAAATTCATGAACAATTCGATCAAGTTGTATCTCGCACTACTCAATGGCTTGAAAGTTTGGCTTCAAAGCTGAATAATCTGTCTGCTAATGACAATACTAATCGTGTTGGATTAGAGCAAAATTTACTGACTTGTCAAGTATTTCCTTACTGTTTTCTTTCTCATTTTATAAGTGAATGTGGATTCTGGAGTGTTGCTAACTTTCTTCCACGCCACTAATTTCTTTTTTTTTAACATTTTATTATGTCCATGTTGTGTCCGTGATCTTAATGCTTATGTTTGACGATAAGGAACCACTGTGATTCTCATGGCACAAGGTGAAAATACCAAATTCTTTCATTTTAAAACGCAAAGACTGATATAAGGAAGATATATTACTCTAAAAAACACGTCATCTTAACAAGTCATCCAAAAATATTCTTATTAATCCATACTGAACTCATTTATACTACAGATAAGGAAAAATACATAGAGTTACTACTAACATACACATATTGAATATAGTTCACCAGCATTGATACAGAAGAATATTAATGTCACACTGGAGAAACATTTCATCTTTGTCGTATTCAACAAAGTTCAAATTGAATTAGTACAAGAAGTATTAACTTGAAATAACATCACACTAAACAAGAGTTGTCTTTTTTCTCTATAGCGGTAATGAAAACAAGGTAAAAGAACCTAAATGTAGCTCATTATGCACACACTATAACAAACTTGACATTTTTGTCATGTTAGTTGATATCACCGCAATGAAAAGTTAAATATTCGAATGGGATTCGTTTAAAGTTGGTAGGTCGTTTAAATACTGACATAGCATAAACTGTAAGATAGTTATTTATATAAGATATATATTCATTTTTGTCATACCTGGTGCCAAGTTTATGGAATCGACTTCACAAAATATTGTTCTTAGTTTCTTGAAACAGTGGTCCAAACCACATGATTTAGCTTTCGGTATTGAAACTCTGTCGAATCAGCCAATAGGTTTCACTAGTTATAACTACTGAATCTCGTTCTGTGCTCCGAAAACCCACCTATGGGATCCACTCGACCCTCACCTAATCAATATAAAAATCCATCATGATTAGATATTCGTCCCTCTGCAGACTCAATTTTAACATTAACTGGAGAACGCTTTCAATCCAAAAATCACTGAGACTTCTCAGTAATGTGCATTGAAAATCTTTCCAGAAATTAAACTGAAAACGTTCATATCTTCTAAGTACTTAAATTCAAATGAAAAATCACTTTAAAATAATCAATCTTTGTAAACCGCTCCAACTTTAAAAATGATAGTTTTTTTAGTATGATAAAGAATGAAGTGTTTGGGATATGTATTACGTGTGCCCAACCACCCATAATGTTAGCCGGTGTAGAAGTAGGTCAGAAAAAGGCAAGATGTAACTAAACCAAGACATACCATTGGTTCATCGAAACTTCAAGTGCTAAACTGAGTTATGTTGACAGGTATTGACTACCTGGTAACAGTCTTAAAGGCTATCTCAACCAATGGTTGGATGATGTGTCTCTGAATTTGTTACAGTTCAAAAGATCCACTTATTATTTATCTTCCTAAAGTTCTCGAACTGATGTACTTATTTGCTAGATTCTATGTTTCTGATGGTTAACTGACTAACCGACTGGTGATATTATATATGTATTCAATTCACTCAAGAATACACAGAGAGATGTTAAACATTTTTTCCTTAAATTATTGTTTGTTTTCTCCTAGAATCTTTCAGATACTATAACATGTCAATCAGAAACTTATATTTCTCAATTAGTTGAATTGGCTGATCAAGTTTGTCGTACAACTGATTCAATGACAAATAAAGAAATATTAGATAAAGTCGATGTATTTCGTCAACTAATTCGTCAAAATATACAACAATTAACTGATATTCGATTGAGCGTTGAATTAAAATTAAATATAATAAATGATTGGGAAAATATAAAATCTATCATTGTCAATACTTTAAATTCAATATCACAAACTATACTAACAGTTTTATTGGAAGAGAAGACATCCATTGAACAAATTCAACCAATGACATCAACTGCGTTACTAACTATAAAAGAAGAAAATTTAAAAAAATTTGATGTAAGTGATAATTTATGTAATATAAACTATAATATAAGCAAAGATGAATGGTGGCGAGCAGTGGAATCCAGGACGCACGTTTTGTCCTATTTCGACGGTACGCGTCAACTGGATGTACCTGTATCCCAGGGTTGATGTTTACTCTGGCACTCGAACCCAGTATTATTATATAATATATTGTAATTAACGTATGTAATTTATCGTGGCTATATATCGAGATTATTTAATGTCTGACTTCAATTGCACTGATCATGCTGTATCATAAGTTAACAGAACTTGGAGAAAATATGAATCCCATGGAATATAATTCAATATTATTAAGATATCTTGGTCTCCCTTTGAAAACTGAACTCCTTTCAAGTGCTAATACTAATAAATGGTTTTGTACATTCGGCCCACTGCTCTGTTGTATACGTAAACTTGATGCTTATATTTTTGGGGATGCAGGTTTTCTGTAGCCCTCTCGTAAACGACTAATTTATACTTGAAATTTATCTTTAAATTACAAGAATTCTTCACGAAACAACCGTTTTTTCCTTTCATCATTCTTTCTTTTTACTTTTTTTCTACAATACATCTCATGAAACATATGGCTAAAGTATATTCTCTTATAATCTTTAAACTTTTCTTCTATAGAATGTCAAGCAAGAACTGGAACCAGTTCAATTTAAAATTGATGAATTAAAGAAATGTACAGAAAAATATATCGAATTTGAGCATAAATTAAATGTTATGCAACAAGTTAATCAGCTAACTGAGAAATATTCTAAGGCGCAAAAGGAAGTTGAAGTTAGTCAATTGTTATTTTCATTTATTTGTCATGTATATATCATCCAGTTAATTTATACAGTGAGTAGAATTTTTACTGGAAGTTCTTAAAGAATGTATAAATATTCCTAGTTATAAGCTATGAAAAAGCATTGATTATCATATGTGTATAAACAGATTCAGATTTGTGTATTGAGGAGAGGAGACCTACGGCTTGTGATAGTACTTTTCTAGTAAGTTTCTGAGATTGCATAGTTTTCTTTTGTATGAGTCAGTTGAAGGAGCGGACACTACTTCTTTGGGTGACAGGTTCCAAGAATTGATGATTTGGTGTCGAAACCTGTATGCAACGTGTATTTTGTTTTTTTGGCTTGTTTACTCGCCTGGTATGTCTTCTGAGTTGTACTGATCTAGTAAGAAAAAAAGTGGAGGACACATCTTGTCCAAAATCATTTCTCAGTATTCTATAATAACAAAATCAGATCACCTCTTAATATGCTGTAGGATAAAATAAAAGGGTCTATCTTCTCAGACCGCACTTTGTATGGTAAACCTCGGAGTTCTTGGATTTCACGGGTAGCTGCCGTCTGTACTTTTCCCATGATATCCCAGTTACTTTTTAAACAGTAGCTGGTAGCATGAACGCAGTTTTCAAGTTTGAATCTCACTAATGTTGTGTATACTGTAATGAACATATTGATATCTAACCTAGTACATGTCTGTCTTAAAGCTTATAGGGTCCTTAACCCCTTGACTGCAACTTCACGTCAAAAGTCCGTCGTCTTTACATCATGACTCACTGTTACTCCAAGATCCTACTTACTTCCTATTTACTTTAATGTGTGCATTTAAATGAGTTAATGTAGCGCAGTCACCAATTGCAGTTTTATGTACTCGGTTTTGAGCTACACTGTTCATGTAAATATCAATAATCTACCAAATGACTGCTCAAACTGAAACAAATGTTGTGATGTTCAAATCCATAGCCTATTGGTTAAAAATTGTGCACATAAAAATTAACAAATTATTTCGTATTATGATCGTTTACTCATTTCAGATCTGTTTAGTTAAAACCAGCAAAGAATTACAAAATCTTCGTATATTTCATACAAAAATTGATGAATCCAAAAATTGGATACTACAAATATCTTTAAAATTAATGGCTATTCATGCTACCGATCCGGATGGACCAAAAAGTGTTATACGTTTAGGACAAGCAGAAAGTGAATTACGTAAACGTCTCATTACATATCGTGAAGAAAATTTAAAGGAATTAAAATTATTGATTGCAAATTGTCCATCAGAAAAAGATTTAATTATTGAAACAGATCGTGTGATACAATCATTATTTCAAACACCTAGTGGTGTTTCGATTACAGTTGCTGAACAAATTATGGAGAATATAAATAGAATAAGTGTTTCTATTCAATCAGAAAAAGTTGGAGATAAATGCGAACAGAAACACTTGTTAGTTATAGAAGATAACAAGAGTACTTCTAGTCAAATACTTTCTGCAAATGATCACAATACTGGTCATTCCAAAACTTGGGCAGAATTATTCTCATTAGAAGTTGTTCAATTAGAGTCAAGTTGTGAAAATTTAGAAGTTATGTGTAAACGTATCAAAGTGAGTTTTATATATTAACTAATTATTATTAATCATAGAATAGGCTCATCTATTCAAACCAAACAATCAGGTACCACTTGAAATTCCGAAAGCAGAATATAAGATTTGTGTAAACTTACTAAATATTTACAAAAAGCAAATTATAAAGTATTCATGTAACATTTATATTACCGTATTGCCTTTTTTTTTTAAAGATTTCGCGTCATCCAATTAAGTGAATGACAGACAAATTATAACAACTGTCGACTGTTTTAAAGACATTTAAGCGTTCAACGAAAATAAACTAAAGGCTTTTCTTCAAAACTCACTAATCCGTACAAAATGTTAAAAGTAGTGTGAATGGAGATTGTTTGTAAGTTAGATTGAGGATTATAAAGTGTTGTTTTCCTTAAATCCTGAAAATGATAGCATGACCTCATTATTGATTGATCCTAAGGTCTTCGGATCTTATTGGTGTGTTAATTTCACACCACTAAGTTGTCATCGAATGGTCTCTATGTTGAGCGTTTCATTTGATGCACTGTACGAATTCCTGTTTAATTGATATCAATACAAGGTGAAAGCTATTCAGCACTATTCTTATTAAATGCTTTGATAAGCAGTCAGCTGTTACTTATGTACTCAACGAAACTTGTTTTTCACAAAATAGTCTTACATACCATTCATTTCGTTGTAGAAATCTTCAGTCAATGATTTCTAACAAACCTGAAACTCTTGATTTTGTAACATTTTTTCTTCTAATCGTCTTCAAATGATAAATGATAAACTATGCTCAAATCAAATTATCATAAATCTATTTATTTAAGCAAAGTAATTTTATCTTATTTCTTTACAGGATAGACTAATGGAACAACAAAAACGGTGGGCTAAATTTGTTTCACTTCTTATCCGGATCGATAAATTTTTACGCACAGAACTTCCTGAATGGTGGTTGACAAATTCGAAAAAATTTATCAATAATGCTAATAGTACAGTGACTATTATTGATGATGACGCTGATGATAATGATATGTGTAATGTTGATAATGATGATATTGATGATAGTGTATCAATCAATGATGATAAATCAATTCAATCTGAAACTTCAAAAGAAGTAGAATTAGTATTTTATGAAGAAAATGTACTACTTCAAAAAAATGAACAACAAACTAAAAAGCCAAAATCATCATCAGCAATAAATTCACCACCAACTATACAAGAATTATTAGCTCAAATAACAAATGTTAAAGCTATGCACGCTAAAATACAAGTAAGTTATTGTCAACATATATTAATTACTGTATTATTCTTTTCATATATTTTTCAAAGCTTAGTATAGTGAAATAATTGTATTTATTCTGTAGTCTAATTTGGCTATCTGATATACTAGGCCAATCAGAAATAAGCCGAATAATAAATAAACGCTATTTGCCAATATTTTGTTTCTTTTTTTATGGAATCAGACACATACTATTGGTTAAAAATATGACTTGATATTCTAATGGACGGTTCGATGAAACCTTCAGAGGCTCCACAGGAGCCAGAGAGATTCCATCCAACCATAACCCGATAGGGCCTTCTAGGATATCAACATGGCATGCTTCGATTGGACGGTAGCATAACTTTCCTCCTTGCGGATTGACTGAATAATAATAATGTCACAACCAATTCTAATACCTATGTTTTTTTGTACATTCTTGATTCGACAAATTACGGGATTCGACATCCAAATATGATTGGATTAAAAAGTAGTAGAGATTTTGATATGATTGTTAAAAAACACTATATATTTCTTTGATTATTTTAATCTTGATTATTTCCCTGAAGAAGTCCGGACAAGTTAGCTGGACGAAACGTTGGAATTATTTATATTTCAATCGCTGAGATTATTTCAAATATAATTTTTTCACATATAATGAATTCTCTGTACTCGGCGCCCAATTATTGTCAAACTATTCGTTCTAACCTTGACCAATATTCGTATAAATTACTTCATTTTTCCCTTAATAGTTAATTCTAGAATTTAAAGCACTTAGTCTTTTTGATAAATTTCGATAGTGTAATAATAATAATATGATTATCATAAGTATGTGATATATTAGCGCAATACAGTTCGAACAATCTGATCACACATATACTTGTAAAGAATATTTATATATAAAAATAAAAGTTCAACTAGACTGGAAATGAGGGGTAAGAATAGACAAGGATAATAATAATAAAATTTGAAAACAATTTGACACCTAATCACTTTAGATAATAATATAACATTACCAGGGTAGGTTTAAGGTGAGGACAAACTGTTTTTGAATACACAAAGGGGGTTTGAATTTCCGTATGGCCAAGGCTACAATAAACCTTAGTATACGCCTTTTCACACTTTTATGCAACACCACAAAAGCCGAGTTAAGATCATTATTATGGCCTGTTTCGATTATACGTCTGGCAATAGAGGATAATGGGTGTTTATCCTCTACTCTTTTCGGGTCATTTGACTCTATTTGTTTCTGCAACCATTTTGGTACATGGTCACACACCCTAATTTTCAGATCACGACTACTCCTTCCTATGTATGTGTGGCCACACACGCACATTTAAATTGGTAAACATAATTTGATGTGACGCAATCTTTTTCATGTCTTCTAGGTTTTCGATAAAACATGAACCTTCTTATTTCCTACATAATGACCTTTGCTGCGTAATACGTCTTGTTAATTACTGATTTAAGCCTATGCTTCAATGAAAGGCTATTTGAATCACCTCTGAATCGTAAGGTGATGTAGACAGACGAATACGATCAAGCCTGTTAAATAGGCAGCTTATCAAACCTCGTTTGTTTTGTACAGGGCAATAACTATAACTAAGGTATTGGTCTGTCCACGTTGGTTTTCTAAAATTAGATCTTTTGATTGAGCCATCTTCTCGTCTACTTAGAAGTATCTAGGGTGGATGGCTGTTCGTTCTTATCCTCTTCGCATGAGACTGATGTGGTTTTGGAAACTGATAGGTTTATTCAAACCCCCTTTGACTATTCATAAACAGTTTGTTCTCACCTTAAACCTACCCTGGTAATTCATTTGGTATTGTTTATTTGAATCTTCCTATAGATGTTTAGGACTGCGATTGGTTAGTCTTTTACTGGCATATGTACGTACTGTGCGTATTACATCGATATAGCCAAGATACCACATAAAATGGTGTACAGGAAGGCGTGGATTTTTAACCCACAAAAATTTAGTGGCTGAAAGCTGATTGCTTTAATTAGAAATCTCCCTATATATCATCTCCGTTTTACATAAAAAACTGATGTATTTTTATCATTTAAAGAACGATCAAGAGTTTTGAGTAACTGATTTAACTCTACAGTCAACTTGAACTAATCTACTCAATATTTTTTTCTTACTTCGAATAAATGCATTACGAGTTAAAAATTCAATTATTTTTGACGACACATAGCCTTTGCTAAGTGAGTAAGTAAGTAATAATCTAGGAACTTTTGAGCGTACCATCATTAGAAATAGATTATCCATAAACAATAACCAAAACACGTGTTTACAAATTCCAAGTAAATGTTTTGATGACCTGAATAAATGAAACTCTTCGTTACGTAAATATTTTTTTCAGATTTATCTGCAAGAGTTGTCAGCTGTCAAGCATCGATGTTCAACACCTCCTCCTCGTCCAACCATATCTACAAGTTTGGCTTCATTGAATAACTATTATAATCCATCGACATTATTAACTGAACTATTGGATAATAATGATAATGATAACAATAATAATAAAACCAGTCAAAATGTCAACTTTGCTCTCTCTATTAATGGGTTACTAACTAATAATACCACATCCACTAATTATGAGTTATCCAATACGAAAGCACAAATATCTGAAGAGAAAATGCATGCTTTAAGTGGTTTGGAACTACGTCGAAGAGCCTCCCATATGAATGAACAACTTGAAAACGAATTAAAACAAGTGAATTTTTGTTCTTTTTGTGTGTTCGTCATAACACTTATTCATGGAATTCAGTTGAGCTACACTAAATTACACTTATATGAAGCTACGTTTCATAAAACAAGGATTTGATCATAGGTATTGTCGAGGGTTAAATATATGGTACTAAACAAACCGTCTAATTTGACCGTGAATTTTCGTCTTCAGTGCTGGTTTGGACATATATTGCTTATCCCTGACCACCACCTAACTCGCCGATAACGTTGGCTGGTAAATTAGGTTACAAGGAAGACAGGGCTAGTTGAATTAAGACTGTCCACGAACCCATGAAGTCTCTGGCTTTTCGATTTAGCAGTGCTGGGTTGGTCCCTTAGATTTTAAGACTATACTATGCTATTCCATGGATTTATTACTTATCAAACCATATTCTACACTGTTTAACCTTTCTCACCACTATTAATATTATTGGTTTGAATTTTTGACCATTCACTCTGTCACATTCAGATTGCTTTGCTGATGTAGCATGACAACTAAGATTGATGCATATTTATGTGCATGGCTCTTCATTAGTTTTTATTACAACCATGTAGCTAAATGATACTACTTAATATACTTTAGAGCAGTCTGACTGCCGATTCATAACTTTTAAATAAATTACACTCCATAATTTTTCTATTTAGTCTCTCACTTTTCGTATTGAGTGGATATTAAATTTCAACTAGACTGCTATGAACTCCGCATCCGATTCAACTACAATGTACTCAAGGTCCCTTAGTGTTTGAGAAAGCCTTAAATTTCATTGACCTGAGATGACCAGAACTTACCTTGCAGTCAAGCTAATTATGTTGTATAAAACAATATGTTCCTTACTCCAATCGAAGATCTATGGGTACCCCTTACATTTTACTGCTAACTGTGTAGGCAAAACTACATGTATCTGCCCAAGAATTTACATTAGAAGGGCCTACATTCTATTCCAAGAACATATCCAAAAATGTCTCAGGTTAATGGGATTCAAGGCTTTTATCATAGCTATTGCAAAACTTCTCTATAACACAGAGTATCAAGTTGATAAGCAAAAAATCTTTCAGCATCATCAATTGACAGTCAAATGCCCTTGTTCTCTCATTTGCCGAAGCCATGACAATTAAACGACTAAACACGATTTATGTATAAAAAAGGGACACAGTTGTAAATCCATCCTTACCATAGTGATTTTATCGTCATTTCATTACATCATTTTTGCAACTTGCTCTTCTCTGCCTTTCCTATTTTAATTGCATCACCTATTTCGAAGCCATAACCTCATGATTTACTTTTTAACTGACTGATTTCAACTCATGTTATTCTTAATTGTTACTAATTTATGCTCAACTACATCATCATTCAATCACTTACTTATTTGTTACTATATCTGATAATACAGAACCTTCTCTCGCGTATAAGATTTATTTGCAACACTCACGATATGTCTTCACTCTTACTACTCCACCATGATACATATCCAGTTTTGCCCTAATAAGTATGTAAACTTTACAAAAATTTGGTTTCAAATATTGTAGGTTATAAGCGGCTGATGAGAACCTAATGAGATAAAATGTGAGATGCTGATGATGTCATTCAGAAGGTCGATGAAAGCTCCACGACCAAACCATCCAGCTCAGAGAACAAACCCACATCAAGAGATAAAATGTATCCATGTTATTCTGCTCAATTCTTTGTTCTGGCTCTATTTAAGATAATAAATTTTAATTATTGTTACACGAAAGTGAAGAATTTATTCAACTGAGTTATGTTTTCCTTAAAGACACATACATGACCTAGTCATGTTCCGAAACTATTAAAGATAATGTAGGAACTGATATACATATGTACCAAATTGTACATAGCTTCAAAATGAATATGACTAAATCAGATTTAAAAGTTCATTTGATGATATGCATGGTCTAGAAATTTTATAATTATCTATTCATAGCTTTATAATAAATATGTTTTTGTTATATCTCGATGAGTAGAAAATTGTACTTCTGACGTTTTGTGACTTAGTGTAAGCCGTTTCTTCAGAATAAATAAATAACTGCAATAAAACTAACACAAGTTTAAGTAATACGGAGGAATCAATGCATAATATTCTTAGTACAGTCAGAATCATATTAGGTCTGAACATGTCAATGTCACTTTATTTTCGGTCATCGTGAATTTGTATGACCTGTCACTATGTTAATTTGTACGTCAAACAGTGAGTATGAAAAGTGTATGTATTTGTAATACGAAGCTGTGGGATTAAAATTGTGTGTGTGTTTGTGTATAGATTGTGTGGGAAATAAATAAGGTCAAATGTAGTTATTCGGATATACAGTCCGGGTTGGATGAATAGTTATCTCTTCTTTCATACTGGAGGCAGACAGATATAACATTCTGTGGAACGCTTAGACTACTCACCTATTTTATAGTTGGTAGAACCTTTTGAATTTTAATATTTTTAATATCAGTTTGATAATCATTGAAAATAGCTTGTACTGCTATCGGTGATTTATAGATTTTCCAATTCTACAAGATTATTAGATCTCTTTGTGTAACTTAAGTTCTCTTTGGCACAGGTCGAGATCTCATTGGAAGACTCTCCAATGTAGAACGCTTGTCCTCTTTCGAAATAATCATCTTGGCTAATCTTCTGAAAAGATTCAGGGCTACAGGATTCTTTGCACTGAGCGGATTTGTTGAGTTAAAATCAATAGGCCCATTTGAATATGTCGGTTTTCAGTAAATTTATATTTCGGTACATTTATACTTCCATCAGAATTCCTTTAAACAGTCTAGGAATAATAGTTCACTTGTTATCTTCCTTTTAGAAAGTGAATTTGATGTTTTCTGAGGATGAGCTTATCTGTTTGGAGAAATTTCTATAAAGAGTCACTTTAATAATGGCAAATATGTTATCAATGTATCTGAACCATATGGGTGGCCTGATGCTACTGGCAGAAATAACCGACTCAATATGTTCTAATTGTAATTTTTGCTATATAAACGACCCAGCTATTCCTATTGCTTAGTATTCTTATACGATGACACTCGAAAAGACCCCGAAATCAGAACACGTTGAACAGGAATCAAATTGTATTCAAAATAATAATAATAATAAGTGAACAGCAATCACTAGTTTAAATATCGTTCATATATTTATAGTATATACATAAGAAGCTTATAGATTTTTCTGCAATAATATGCCCGGGCTGATCGGTTTAAAATTAGCCAATCACCGCGCAGCAACACCATCATGCATGAAACATGCTTTAATCCAATCTATGTCCCACTAACACAATATGAGACAACAATCAGAGATAATAGAAATCTATTGACTACTCTATTCGCTTGCTTTTATAAAGTCGTTTTGGCAATGAATTCTGCTGAATTCAAGCATAGTTTAAGGGATTTCATGATTGAACTATTGATTCACGTTTGTCTGCTAGATTAAGTGTTATCATCCCCTAATAAACCTTTATCGAAGTCTAGATATCTATCAATTAGACTGCTAGTGTATCAAGATATAACATCATGGTTTACTATTGTTTCGTTCTTGTTAATGAATAATTCCGAGATCATTGATTTGGATTCATATGAATCCATTACAACATTCATTAGATTATATTAATGAAATAGTTTTAGTTTTACATATATTAATGATCATCTCTCTGTTTTTTTTGTATTGTTTGTTATTATAGTTAGATAAATATATTGAAAATTTACAAGATTTAAAAATACGTTGGGATCAACAAAATTTATGTGAAATAGAATTTCTTAATTGGTTACACCATAAACAAATTGAATTTGATCAAATTATCCATACACAGTCATCAAATCTATTACATAATAAGAAAATTTATACTGATTCAAATTCTAATAATAATTATTCATCACAATTATATAATTCCATAGATACAGTACGTTTAGATAATTTACTTAATGAATTAAATTGTAAAAAATCAATTATTAAACAATTAAAATATCAATCAAAAATATTGATTAATAATAATAATAATAAAACAATCTATTCCCATAATATTCAATTAATTATACATGATTATAAAATACTAATGAAAAAGATTCAAGATCATCTTAATTATCGTCGTTTACTTACAAATGAAATTTTAGAAGCAACTAAATTAACTGATCAATTACATACTGATTTACATGAAGTTGTTAAACGTTCAATAGGTATTGATAATGTACAATGTTCAATGGATAAAGAACTGAAAAAAATTGGAGTAAGTAATTTGATTGTTTATAAATGTATTCAATGTTGTATGCAGTAAAGTGTTGGTGTTGTTGTTGCTGTTTTTTAAGCAAGTGTTGTTACACTATTTAGTATTTTCACACAAACCCCCCCTTCTGATAATTAAAAGAGTTGTCTACACGTAATGTGATATGTATTTTCGTTGTAAATCTACATATATTGTGTAATATAATGCATCGTTTTATGTTGTACTTTAATCACTGTTGTTTTCATTGATGTATTATATATATGTATTTTATGTTACTTGTTCATATTTTGATTGTACCTTTTTTTCTTTCTTTCATTCCTTCAAACATATATGTAAAAAAAATATGCATATACTTTTAAGTGGAAACATTCCAATGAAAGATTCAGTGATATCAACAAAACATCTAATCAATATAAAATCTCCAAACAACCATCGTTTGGTGCAAGTCATTCGAATTTATTAGTGTCAAGTTCAGAGATAAAACAATCTTATCGAGTATCAACACCAATTCCATTGTCAGATGTACAACCTCTATCATCAATCAGTCAATCAGATTTTAATATTCATTCAACATTAAATAAACCACTGGAAATCAATGTGAAAGGGGTAACTGATTGGTTATGGTATTCTGCTTCATCAGTTTTACCTGATTCATCTTTATTACCTATGGATGCTAATGAAACTTGGGAGATGGATCAAATTCCTGCAGTGTCTGATGTTAATGAAGAACAAAATTTAGATAGATCAAGATCATCTTCTAGAATTTCACTGACTATACAGCGACCTTGGAGTGCATTTAGAAAATTTGAACGACAACGTAAACGAGATAGTGTTGCGGAATTCAATGTAAATATACCAAAAGAAACGAAAGCCACATTTAAACATAGACCAAATAAACTATTTACTCATATAAAACCACTTACAACACAATCTACAGGAACTTCTTTATGGAGATCTCAATCGGCAAAAGTATTACCTCTTGAAACCAACATAGATAAAATCTCTAGTCAATCAATTTGCAACATTTCAACTGGTATAGATCGGTCCGATGATTCAAATATTATATACGCTGAAAGATATTCAACACAAAGTCCTATGATTCCAATGCTATTACGACGCAGTATATCTCCCATAGTTAGTAAGACTCTGGAACACAGAACTCAAAGGATAAAAAATACAAATTATAATAGGATTCCAAGTCGATTCGGCAGTTCAGTTAGACAAAGTGGAATAGTCGATATACGTTCACCGTCTATTATTGATCAAAACAGAGAAGCTTCAAGTCATCCCAGTTTGTTTGACCCGCTTACTTCATATCCTCGCATTACTACTAACGCTACTACTACCACTGCTTCCCAACTTTCTTATTTAAATAGAATTAACAATAGTTTATCACATTCTTTTCTATTTCGACCACCAGTTAATTTATCTGAACATAGTCTTCATAATCAACCCCATAGACCACTTCATTCAATTCGAGTCTCAGGATTAGTTAGCGGTTATGATTTCTCTTCTCCAAGTATTTCTGAATTTGAAAATGTATTTTGCGCTGGACGTCCACAACCAATGGGTGCTTCAATATCGGATAATTTACTATCACCAAAACTGAAATCAACTAGTGAACACGGTCTATATGATTTAACTAGACGAAGAGCAACTGAGCCATTTCAATTTCCAGAAACTCCTGTCACTACTACTAATACTGCTGGACCATCTACCAGTTTTATCCGAAATTTACACAACGTCACTTCATCACTATCATCAACTATTCAACAACAACAGTCAAATACAAATTCAATCGATTCAATTCGTGTAGTTCGACCACAAACTATAGCTCAATTAGCAGTTCAACGTTATCGTAATCAACATAAACTACAGAATCAATTTAAATTTAAACGTTAATCAACTCACTGTACTGCTGTTCAATGATGATGATCTTCCATTGAATTTTTTTTGTTCGTTTCTTTTTTTTCTAAAGAAATATTACCAATATCATATGTATGCTAACCTAGCTTTGCTGTTTTATGTTTTCTTTAATATCTCTCATAGTTTTTACCAAAAAAGTATTCTGATTTATTTCCAATCAGCGGATTTTTTTTTACACAAATACATAAGTATTTAGAAGGTAATTGATGTGAATAAATATTAAATATATACATAAGATTTTTATTCACTAGTAGCTTCGTTTGCCTTCTCTTTTTTCATTTTTCCCCTCTTTTCTATTCTTTTTATTCGACCTAAAACATTTGTATCCTCACACAGGAAGAACTACTGTCAACACAGTAAAACATAGTAGTATGTTTGTGATATTCTGCTAAATATACAAGCTTTTGTTCTTATGGCAGTGTATGTATATAAAATTCAGTTTTCTTTGGTGTGTTTTTCTCATTGGCTATTTGCTTCTATTTCAGTGTTTTGTGTTCATTGAGAAATTTTATTCTTTATATCTCCTTTACCATGACAGCTGGAACTTTTTTTATACTTCTGCTTTGAGATATGGATATATTCGGTGTATCTATCATATTTCATCTGTATAATCCGACAATTATGTACATAAAATATTATACAGTGTGTGTGAGTGTGTAAAGTTGGCATTTGCTACATCCTTGAGTTGCTACCCGAACAAGAGTGAATATGACTTGTGTTTTCTTTTCCCAATGGTTTTCCAAACTTAGAAAATCTTCCAAACAATAGTGTAGAAATTTTTTCAATGACCAACTTACCCACTGCTTCTTTGTACACAAAATGGAAATGCTGGATTGACTTTTGGGAAACACACTCCTGGCATTGAGATTATTTTTTGTGGTTTAGAAGTGAATGAATGTGTATGCACATTGTTATTATCATAATCTTATTCAGACATTGAAGCGTATTGATAGGATACAATTTCAAAAAAATTTTTGTTTTTATTTAGTGAGGGTTTTTTCTCTCTCTCCTCTCTATTTTAGTAGCAGAACTTCTGTGTATTACTTTTCTCTTTTTCCTTTTGTAACATTACTTTGGAGAAGTTTGTTCATTACTAATGATAATAATCAGATAGTAATTTAGGCATTGATTCAAAATGTAGAAGTAACCAAGACAGAATACATGATGGGTATGAAGTGAACCTACCTCTGTTAGATGGCCAGAGGTAGTTGGCATGAGAGTCTGCTCGACCTTAGATTATATTTTACTTGGGACTTGTCAGCAAAGTGTGCATATAATCCTGATGGAAATGATTCTGGTTGTAGGATTTGGACCTGTGGCACCCATTTGCACAGTCTGAGACGTTACCACTCAGCTATTCGGGATTTAACTGAGATACTTACACCGACTGATTGATGAAGAGCGACCAATGTCATGTTTGCCCAGTTCTTATTACTATTAGAATGCCAATTTCTGTAGGTAGAGACATATGATCAGGAAATCACACCATTTTTTGGTACGCTACGATATGAGACGCTTCTGTATATACACTTGATAGCCAGTTCAACAGTGTCAACCTTTTTTAAATCTTTGTATATAAACAAGTATGCTAATATAATAAATATTTTAAGTTTTTCCACATCAAATGGCTGCTAGGCTTCAAGTATTTAGTTTGTATTTACCAAGACACTGACTAGCTCTCAGAATCCTCATAGGTCGATGGTATGTGCCGAGTCCTACCATCCTGAAATATATTTTTGGCAAATTTTATACTTTTTAACGTAATGTTATATTTAGACTACCTGAATTCTGTTGTCATAGGGTTAATGTTCCCATTTCACTGGATAATTTGGGCCTAAAGTTAAATTACGTTCTCTTTTTGACTTTTTCATTCAAGAATAATATTTGCTGAAAATTGTGAAGAGCTTGTAGTGTCATTATATGTCATACTGTTAACTGCCATACCAGTTTTATATTCGTAGAGAACTACGTGTTCAACTTGATTAGCCAGTCACTCTAACGTGTATTTACCATTTCATCGTCATTTACATTTTAGCCATGGTTTCTTCCAAAACGATTTCTTTAGCTAATGTGAAAAACTGCCGTTTGTTGTCTATAAACCTTGACTTTATTCATTTCTGCCAATAACCACTGATCAGTCACTTTTGCTACTAATTATATTTTCGACATAGCCAAGAGATAAGTCAGATTAAGTAAAGTTAACGTTCATAAAGATACTGGTATTCTCTAATTATTTCCAGTGGTTTGTTAAGGGATATTTTAAATATCCATAACTTTGACCGGAAACATTCGGTGAATAAAAGTTAAATATACGTAATCAGCAATTGACTCCGTTTCCTTAACTATATGTTTCATTTACTTAAGGATTGAGACTATATGAAAGCTCGTGATTCAAATTATTGAAAATCCAGTTTTTTATGATTAACGACATTTGTACTCAACACGTTAATAACAGGGTTTCATATTTTTTGAGAAACATTTTATCAATGAAATGAAATTGATGAAACCATCAGCCACTGTTAATTTAGCAGAATCGTGTTCGACAGCAAACGGAAGTAAGTATAGAATTGTGAAGATTGTTGATTTTCCTTGGAGTCATAGACCGATCTAAGTCAGACCACGACTAAAAACCTAGAAACACTAAACGGCCGTTTCGTCCCAGTGTGGGTTTCTTCAGTCGTGCACATCCGCGATCCTACACGTCAGGAGTCAAACCCAGGATATTAAAGCTCTAGACCGTGGTCTAATCTTGATCGGTTCATGATTTCAATGAAACAGAAGTAGTTAAAGAGTGTTATGATACTAATAAGTTGGAGTGGAGTTGTTTATTCAGTTATATATGATTTCATTAATGATAATCATCAACTGAGCAGGACATTTAATTTCAACACAACGGCAATTTAAGATAAAAAAAAACTTATGAAGACCACTAGAATAAAGTGATTCAATGCTTACGGAAAAGTTAAGAAGCTCATTTCTACATGAGTTAGCGGCTAGTGATGCTCTCCCGAATAAAAAAATGAAAACTCCACATTCAAGTTACCATCTAATTTAAAGAACTCAGTGCACATGAGAAA